AGCATCTGCCGTTTAATCCTAATCCAAACTGCCAGATGATCAGTAGTTACATAAATATTATCATCACTGGACTTTAAAAATGCATAGAATATTTAATTTTTTGCAAAAATTTCGAATTCTTTTTATAATATATAAATCAAAATTTATCAAAACGATAAAATAAATCGAATTGAAGAAATGGATTAATAGAAAATTTGAAAAAGGAATAAAATGAAGATAAAGAAGAAATAAAATTCAATTGATAATAAAAAGGAAATAAAAGAAGAAATGAAAACTTTAAAGGAAAGAAATTAAATGAACTATTATAGTTTTGAAATAAAAGAATTAATTGCTTCAAATGTTTTATCATCGGCTCAAAAGATTTAAAAAAAGATTCTAGAAAGTCAATAACAATGAGAATCAAAAAAGTGAATGTCGAATCATATTTTTCTCGTTCGATTCCTTTTATATATATATTTACACATATATATATGATGGTTTTTGGTTCTATATATATATACACGAGGAAGGTAAAATGTGCGAACGTCTCGCTCTTGTTGAAGCGTGGGTAGCAAATACGGAAGAGGGTAGGTGGTCTCAAACTAAGAAGAGGAGGATAGGACAGAGAAGAGGAGAATGGGCTAGCGAGGGTGAATTTGGGTGGAAAGAGTCCATTAGCAGATTACGAACCGACCCGCTTCGCTTCGCTCATTCACCCCCCCATGCCCATGGTGTTTTTCTCTTTTCCCTTCCTTCTTCGACTTGGAACTTGAACCATTTCTTCCTATACCTCAAACGATACTATGGCACGAGTGTAACACACGTGAATTATTTCTTTTTTCTAAACTCGATCTGTTTTTTTTTTCCTATATCTATATACATTCATCTTCTTTATTTCTTCCTCTAATCTAAATAAAAATCACTAATTGCATTTTTTTTTCAATTTTTTTGTAACTATTGCATCGCACTTTTGCATATTAGAAAATACTTTTTACATGAAAATATATAGTATATAAAAAAGCTTTTTTTCTCTCGCTCTCGTAACGGCAAAACTGAATTATATCAGATCAAACAGTAATGCCGTTATTAATAAAATGGATTTCTGTTCTTCCTTTAAAGGAGGGGAAGAAGCTGTCATCTCGGCGTAACCTCGTTTCGTGTAGCTCTGATTTAATCACGTACCGAACCAAAGTGAAGCCCTTTCATTTTCATAATAAGCCATGGCAAGCAAGAGAGTATCATCAACCATAATATCTAGAGGCATTGTCAACGCAAAGAAGATGCTTGTGTAGAGTATACACTTAGTCCCTGGGTGACTTGTCAATGAAGAGAGAGAGAGAGAGAAAAAGCCTTCACTCCAAAAAAGTGTAATTAAAGTAAAACACTCGTATTTGATAATTTTTCCTTTTTTCTGTATTCACACACTATCAAAAATTCGATAGAATATTTTGCCAAGTGCGGAAAAAAATTTATCGTCGATTATTTTATATATACCATTATATCAATATTTAAATTTATAAAACGTGTAAATAAATTATTTTAAAAAAAAATTTAATTAAAATATTAAGAAATTATAAATTATATTATTGGATATTGAAAGTGATAATTAATATTCTTTATTTTAATTAAATTATTTGAATTTTTTGTTAAGAAAGAAAAAGAAATGATTTTAATAATACTGTCAATTATCTGGTTGATCCCATTTTGAATTAACAGATATTCGCGAAGTAATTCTTGACGGTAACACACCCTAAGATGATCGATTTCTCGAAATTAATATAGGGACAACTGTGTTTACACTTTAATTTTTTCTATCTTCTCTCATCTGACAATTATCCGCAGCGATTACTTCTTAAGCCCGCTGAGATTGTCAACATCTCTAACAATCTTGGTCGAATTGATTTTTTTTTTTTTTTTTTTATCAATTTCTTGACATAATCCTTGTTCCGCAATTTCTTTTATAACAAATCCCTATAGTCAGAATTTTGATAATTATTATATAATAATAAAATGCTTGGTCTGTCCTTCTGTCCTAACTTGAAGTTGTCCTTTTCTAATTTCACATGTTTTTTTGAATAGTAATCTTATGACGTGTCAAATTTTTACAATTCTTTTTCTCATTTTTGCCAAAGTTGTATATTGATTCAAAAATTGTATACAAATACAAAAAATTTATGATGAGAAAAAAGATGCGCCAGAAAATTTCGTACAAGATAGTAATTTGAAAAAAATTTATTTTTAAAAATTAATTTTTAAGGTACCAGGGGCCAACGAATACGTATTAAATATTAATTATAAAAACACAGGCCTCGAATCAACTTAAAGACACAAAAAAAGTCGATTTAGTCGATTTATATTCCAAAAAAAAGTGGATTTGTTTTTTATTTTAACAAAAATATTTTACAGATTTTTGAAATAAAAAAAATTTTTTTTAATAATAATCCTTTTCGAAGGGTTAAAGTTGAAATTTTTAGAAATAATTAAATTTCAAAAGATATTGTTAATTTTCAATCAATTATTAAATTTTACAGAACTAAAAATAATTTATCAAACAATTTTTGGAAAACATTTTTTAAATTTAATTGAATTTCCAAAGATTTAAAATTGAGATTTTTGAAATTAATTGAAACTTTAAGTGTTTTTTAATTAAAATTTTAGATGATTTCACTAAAAATTTTATTAGAAAATGCGGATAAAATACAATAATTTGAAAATCATTTTTTATTGAAAAATGGTTTCAGATAGTTGAATTTTCAAAGAATATTATTAAAATAGTTAAAAATAATTGAATTTCCTTAGAGTTATAATTGAAATTATTAAATTTCAAAGAAAAAAATTTCGATGGAAAATATTAGAAATAATTAAATTTTAGATGCTTTTAAATTCAAATTATTGAAAATTCAATTAATTTTGAATTCAAATTTTTGAGAATAATTAAATTTTATTTGATTTTAAATTTGGAAAATAATTGAATTTTAGTTCATTTTGAATTGAAAATTTTGGGAAATAATTGAATTTTAATTGAAATTTTGGATAATAATTTAATTTAAGTTCATTTTTGATTGAAAATTTAAATAATTAAATAAAATTAAATTTAATTTAAATTAAATTAAATTAAATTAATTAAATATTAAATAAATAAAATAATTAAATAATTAATTTTGAATAGAAATTTTAGAAAATAATCTACTTTTATTTCATTTTAATTTGAAAACTTGGTAAATAAATAAATTTTAAATTGAAAATTTTTGATAATTATTGAATTTTAATTGATTTTGAATTAAAATTTCTTGTAATAATTGAATTTTAGTTTATTTTGAATTGAAATTTTTGAAAAATAATTCAATTTTATTGTGATATGTTTTTTTTTAAATTATAAACAATTGTTAAATTTCATAAAAATTTTAATTGAAAAATAATTTTGATATAATTGAATTTGTGATGTATTTAATTAAAATTATTAAAAATAATTAATTTAGTGAAGAATCATTTTAGTTCAAAATTTGTTAAATAATTGAATTGAAGAAGATCTGAAGAAGATCTACATTTTATACTAAAAAAAATGTATTTTATTTACATTTTTTTCAAATGTAAAAAAAATGTTACATTTTATTTACATTTTTTTCAAATGTAAAAAAAAATGTCGCATTTTATTAAAATAAGTCGATAAAAGTCGTATTTTTGAAAAAAGTCGGAAAAAGTCGTATAATCCGAGGCCTGTAAACATATAATTTTCATTATTATTATTTAATATGTAATAATATTCTAATAAATTAAATTATTATTGATAATATTAATCTTTAATTTCTTTATAACAAACAATTGAATATTAAATTTGGCGCGCGTTTAATTTTGCTAGTAATCTATAATTTAAATACAAATTATCGGTAACAAAAATATAATGAAAAATTCGTAAAATTTCAAATTCGAAAATTGGTGTCTCATTACTTTTAAATTGTTATACCTATATATATATAAATATGATTGATCGAGAGATATCAGATTTTGTGCATTTTATACAATGGATCAATATATATACAGGAATAGAAATATATATGTACATATCACGCAGAATAATGGTAGTTGAATTAAAATCGTGACTAGGTTTTTTTTTCTCTTTTAAAAATCGGCAGGAAATTAATCATGCGCTCCCAGGCGTAACGCTTCGCCACTCATCGATAATCGTAACCTGTTTTTAAACCTAATATTATATAAAGAAAATCACAGAAAAAAAAACAAACCGTGTGAAATCAAGACAGTTACAACAATGAAAAGAAAAACAAGATTTAATCATGCGACATTTCGATTTATGCGAAAACTCTTATTTAAAAAAAATACAAAAAGAATTAATGGCGTCTGATTTAGTTTATTATTTTAAGTTTTAGAAGCAATATTATTAAATAGATCGCAACTCTTTTCCGTGAATATACTTGAAAAAAGGTTTCCACCTACGCAAACACCAATGTCTTGTTTTCAGATAAGATTACAGACGCAGTTAAAAGAGCAAGCGAGAAAAAAAAGAAGGGAAAAGTAGATTGAAGAAATATTATATGTTTAAATGGAAACCAGAACTATGGGCCAAAAGGGTTAAGAGTGGCGTCACGTGCTGCATTTTGGGGGGTCTCAAAAAAAAGGAAGTTGGTCCAGGTGTAGTTCATCTTGTAGAGACCCAGATCAGATCACATGAGCAATGCAATAAAAACACTCTGTTTCATGTCACTAGTCAAAACTTGTCGACTTCGTTCAGTCAAATTCAAAAACAGTTTTGTATTTATCTTTCTCAGGTGGTCCATCGATTTACTATAATTAACTTTTATGTTTATAATTATTAAAATAGAAAAACACTTTTCCGATTTTAGTGGAAAAATAATTTTTTTTTTTTTTTTTTTTTTATTTCTAAATTAATAATAAATAAAAGACGGAATAAATGTATTGATGATAAAGAGAGAAAGTGATTGCTCTTTATTGCATGTCAAAAGAGCATTAAACCCTTATTCGATAGTGAAAATAAAACTACTCACCCAACGATGTCCTGTAGGCGAGCATGGAGGGTAGGTTTTTCGAAAGGCACTTCAGAAATGAGGCTGCAGAGCAACTGTATGGCCCCAGTTGCTACAGATCCGTTTCCGCTTGTGTTGTTAGAAGCTTCCTGAGCTTGAGAGTGATCGTCAAGAGCGGTCACCGCCTAGACGAGAAAAAAAAATAGGAAATTATGATTTAGTTTAAAAAAAAAAAAATAATTTCTTTTTCTTCAAATTTAATAGAATTTTATTTCAATTAAATTGAAAATATAAATCTAATTTTTTCAATAAATAAAGTTAAATAGAATTAATTCCAATTTTAATAAAATTTATTTCAATTTTTACGATTTGTTCTCTTAAATTATGTGTAATATCTTTCAATTACGTCGACATACGGTTTAATAGTCAAACATCAGAACCGATGACCATTTGGTTTTTTTTTTCTCTTTTATTTTTGAAATTGTAAATTTGCTCACCGAATTGGCATAGAAAGTTTATTCGATTTGAGGGAAAGTACCCCCTTTATCTATATAAAGCAATAAGTATCTCTGCTCAATGATCCATGAGTCGCTTTCTCTTTTCGGAATTAATAATAGGGTTGTTGCACGAATTGAACAAAAAAAAAAAAGGAGTTACAATAGAAAAAAAAACAGAACTAAAATTTCAAAAACTTTCAAATTTCTAAATTTAAATATTTATATATTAAATTTATATTTAATATACTTGGTTATTATATAAAAATTAATGATAAAATAAAGTTATTTTCAAACAAAATTAAAGTACGCGTGGTTAGTCAATATATTTGTAGAAAATTATCATTTTGTTAAATTTTAATTCTTGTTTAAATGAAATTTAATTTCATACTTTATTAATTCAATTAAATAAAAATATATTAAATTTAATAAGAATTAAAATTAAAAATAGAGATCTAAAATAGTTTTTACAAGGCAGCACTGATTATAAAAGAAGATTTCCTCGAGACCAAAAATGAAAATGAGGACTCGATCTTTCAAATAGACTTATATAAGCGCCAATAACAAAAATATAAAATAGTCAATCTCAAAAGCTTGTGTCAAATACAGATGTATGTATATATATGTGAGTATATCTCACACGGTTACTCTTGCTTTCTTTTTCAGTGCTACCCAAAGGATTCTAGTGTGTGTGACGTCACTAAAAGCTCTCTCGCCGCTAATGCATTTGATGGGGGAAATTGGGGGGGAATCAGGGCCGCACATACCAAGTGTGAACAGTGAGCTCATGATTTTGTCTGCTTTTAAGGCCACAAGTTTACGAGTCACAAAAGAAAAGAAACAAAAAAAATAAAATACAAAAAAAGTAAAGAGCTAGAATGAATTTCTTTTGTCAACGATTTTTTAAAGATTATATGATATAAGGGTGCAAGAAACTTACTCTAATTTTAGAGCATAAAAAAATATTTTTTACAATTTTCTGAAAATTTGCGATTTTAAAAAATATTATAGATGAAAAATTATTAAATACCTCCAGTCGATGAATAATTAGATCCAGTATAACAAGTATTTTGTTGCTAAATAGAATGGCTTCAATATTATTAATATTGTCAATTATTCCAATTTTATAAACGCGTAATATCGAAACAAGACTCCTGAAAGAAAAAAATTAACAATTTAATAAAAATATTTTATTTATACTATTATTCTTATTTAAATTCATTTCTTATTTATTTGATGTCAATTTAATTGACTTTTGTTCAAATTATTAATTATTTTCAAGAAATTACAGTTCTTAAATAACTATGTAATTTAAATTATTAATTAAGTTTCTTTATCTGTCTAATTAAGCATTGGCAAATTTTATTAAATTATTCATTTTAATGATATTAATTTAAATTGACATTCTATTAAAAATTATTTATTATTTAAATTATTTACTTGTTGGGCAATGCATTTGGTGGATTTTGAGTGTTTAAACCCAATGTTAACAGACTTGTAAGAATATCGAATCCGCCTAATTGAAGAAATGCCTTTTGATCTGAAGAACACTGAAAAATAAAAAATATATTTTTTGAATTCTCTTAGAAAATCAAATTTAACGAAATTTTTTGTTAATGTATTTAAAATTTTATATATTCACAATTTTTGATAAGGAACGATTAAGTTCTCCTAAATTTCTTTCCAAACTGGCAATAACACTAGTGCTCCATGAACTTTTTGCATGATTTTGACAAAGTTTTTCTAAATCTTTTAAATTTCGTTTAAATTTAATTTTATTTCCCGATTCTGAAGAAAAGGAGGTATTCTCCTTTTTGAAAGATTCTTCCCATTCTTGTCCACGAACAGCCATACGTTGTTTGATTTTTCTACTTCGACGTTTTAATGCCTTTTGTTTTTCTTTAGCCGCCTTACTTTCATTTGTACTATTATTATTTTTTAATGGCGTTTGTATATCGCGTATTTGTGTTATATTAAAACGTTGTAATTCATCTCGACAAGGCTCTCGACCATCGTGCATTTTTCGTACCGCTTCCAAATGAGATTTCTCCTTTAAATGACTTAGAAGGTGAACTTCATTTGGAATCTGTGTGAATAAGTTATAAATTAAAAAAAAAAAATTTCTATTACTTTGTAAGAAAATTCAAATAAAAAAATTCAATTTACCAATGTTCCACAAAGAGAACATTGTTTTTGAGCAGGATATGATTTTAAAGTTGGAGGCACTTCTTCTGATCTCAAAATTGACAATTCCACTGCTTTTTGTCGTATGTGTTCAATATTTTCAACATGTCTTCTAGCCGATTCCTGTTGTTTTTGAGCAATTTTCTTTTGTAATTCTTCTTGATTTGCCAGTTGAGCAGCGTGTAGAGCCGACAAACGTTCTTCCCTGTCTCTCGCTTTTTCTCTAGCAAGTTCCTAGAAAATAAAAAATTTTATTTTCAATTAAAATAATTATTGAAGAAAAAAATAATACAAAAAAAATTTAATATTCACATATATGATGACGAAAAGTAAAATTATAGTACAAAAAATGCCGCTAGAGGCAGCAGCTGACGGGCAAGCAAAAGTTTTCGATATTAACAAAATTTTTAATAAAAAAATGTTTTTAATGTCTTATTATGGAATATAGTATTTTATTATTACTATAAATACCTGACGTTCTTTTTCCCTCTCTAATTGCATTTTTCCTACTCGCTCTTCACGTTCACGTCGAGCCTCACGCATTTTTTGTATTCGCAATTGTCTCTCCGCTTCAAGTGCACGTCTACGCTCCTCTGCAGCAGCTTCTTTTGCTGCTTTTTCCTCCTGTCGACGTTGACGTTCTTCTTGGATACTCTAGAACAAAATTTTTTTTTTTTTAATCATTTTTCAACATTACACTACTTACAATAATAATTTTTATTCTAAATCTCACTCGACTTACCTGCAAACGTTCCTCTTGTTCCTGACACAATGCCATAAAATCGTGACGCTTATTTTGTGCCTCAAGTTCATTAATAAAGGCAATTTCCTTTAATTTCGAATCTTCATCGTGAGCTTTTCTTACAACCTCTAAAAGATGTTGAGTTCTATTCTCCTCAGCTCTTTTTAATTTCATTTCCAATCGAATTCTTTTGTCTTCAATTAATTGAGTTTTTGCACTTTTTACATCCTCAACTTTATTCAAGAGTTCTCTTAATCTCTGTGATTTTTCCATCAAAAGTTTTTGACGTTTATGCTGAGCACAATCTTGTTTTGTTTGAAAACGTCGTAAAGTTTCTGCTAAAGATCTCTTTCGTGATGGTGATGAGAGTTTTTGATGAAGCTCCAAAGCTCGACCAGGATGACGAGCATCTAATGCTTGTAATTGAGCTAAAGTATCCATTTGCTCGGCCCATGACATTCCTTCCAGCATATTTTCATATCTACAAAAAAATTACAAAAATGCAAATTTTATATAAATTGACTATAAATATTTCTGAAATACTTACCTATCTTCTATGCTAATATTATCAATTATTGGACCAATTGAAATGTCTTCTTCTATTTCTAAAACCATTTCGCCATCCATATCGTCAGTTTCTGTATCGACATCAATATCGGTAGATTCCAATTCCATGATTTGTCTCTGTAAAAATGCTTCCTCATCGCAAAGTTGTTGTGATCGTTGAGTATCTGCTTCTTCTGTTTTTCTCTCCTCTTCTAAAATAATTCTTTCCCTTTCTGCTTGCGCTGCCATAAATTGTTGTATTCGTTTCTCCAAAAGTTCGGCTTCATTTTTAAAAATAGCTGCTATTACAGATGTTGAATTTGTATCGGTGATATTCGGTATATCTCTTTGGTCCAATTTTTCATCAAATATTTTCACATTTACGTTTACATTGTCATTTGAAATTTTAAGATTTAATTCTTTTTTCTCATTATTCTTCGTACCGATAATTTTACTTTTTCGTTGTTTTTGATTTCCATCGGGTGTGAAAGATTTTTTATTTTTCTCCGGTGAATTATCTAAACAAAGAGCTGGCAACGAAATAGCAGTGCTTGGTTTATGAAAACGAGTTGACATATTGAGATTATTTGAACTTCCTCTTCTGTAACGACTTCGCACTGTTTGCCATCCATCACCGTCTTCTTTCACTTTTGTATTTTCTTTTGGTAGAACCTCAACAGAAGTACTTATGTCCTCGCCTCCCTTATTGGAATGCTGATCATGTTTCTAAAAAATAAATCACAATTAAAGAAATAAGCAATTTTTAATGTACAAATTTTTTTTTTAAATTAACTTTTGGCAAACTATTTAAAAATTTACGCATTGATGTGAATAAATACCTGATTGTTAGGCTGTGACTGTAGTGGTCTTCTAATCATAATAGATGTTCCCTGTCTTAATGGAGCAGCACTTGTTTCCCTGGCACACAAAGTTGTTTTACTTCGAAACATTCTCGGTCTTTCGGGAAAATTTCTTGAAGGTTTTGCTGTTGACGGTCTACCTTTCGATACAGTTGAATAAGCTGGTTGCATTACAGGATTTACTTTGAGTCGAGTTTTATTTACAGTTGCACTAGAAGTAGTAGTAGTAGTACCACTAGTTTGATTGATAACTTTACTTTTAACAGTTTCTCGAGTCTGAAAAGTTGATTGCTTTTTCACAATTGGTTTGAAATTTCTTTTCGAAACTAAATGTGAATTTTCTCTAGATAAAGTCTTTTCTAAATTTCTCTTTTCACTTTCAGTTTGATTACGTGAAATATTTCTATTTTCATTTTCATTACAATATTCCGTGTATGAGTGATTAATTGTATTAATTTCATTCTTCATTAATTCTACGTTTCTCTTATTACTTGAATTTCCTTTCTCATTTATTAGGCTCTTATTAACGGCACTAGATTCGGTGTTTGTTTTTAATGTACCAACACTTTGATTACAATTTATTGATTGCTTTGAAAGATTTTTTATTTCAGTGACATTTTTATTATCATTTTCATTTTGATGATTAAAATTGTCAATACTCTCGTTTCCTGTAATAGGAGTTGGTTTTTTTAATTTTAATTGAAATTTATCGTTGTTTATTAATTCGACATTTTTTTTGACAACAACTTTTTGTGTTTCGTTTGGATTTTTCATTTTATCGCTAAATTCATTGTGAGAAATTTTATCAGGTTCCTCTTGTATGGAATTAATTTTACCATCACTTGAGACAGATCTACTGTCAAATGAAGTTTCAATTGGACTTTTACAAGCAGAACCTGTAGGGCTTGATCTTTGGAGGGGACTTGTTGACTTTGGTGTTGAATTCCATAAACGACATGGTGAAGTTTTTCTAATTTCCCATGCTAATGGAGTGCGTCTCAATGGTGGCACTGTACTTTCATAAGCCCATTTTACTTTAAACCATTCAATCAAATTATGAAAATCCCGCACATAATTTTCTAAAACTAGAATTACTTCTTTACATTCAGATATATTTTCATCTTCTTCGCAGGTTTGATAAATTCCATCAATGGCTCGTTGTAAATTGCCAAATAAAAATGCCCAATATCGTGCATGTAGTTCTAAAATAAAAATTAATAAATTTATTACAAAAACATTTTTATTTGATATTTATGATAGAAAAATATATTCAAAGTAATTATATTTTAATTAATTAATTAGATAATAATATTTTTCATACCAGATTTTTTATCACGTCCAGTAGAAGCAGATCTTACTCGTGTGTTAGATTTCACTGATCGCTTCGTAGAACTTGATAACGTTGCTCTGGGAACACTTGGAGGTTTACGAGTAATTTTCTCCGAGTTACTTGTACCAACTGGCACGTTAAAAGCTATTAAATTTCTAGCTGCTCTTCCTTCTTCTTGTATCAATAGCCTAACGTCTTCCATTTTCAAATGTAACCTATAATTTAGAATAAAATTTAAATTTTCTAAAAACAGGTAAAATTTTGAAAAGTGATGAAGCACTTTTGTTTTGTTTGAATTTAAAATCCATACATTTCTTATATATTTAAAATATGAATATTATTCTCAACGAATTAATATTTTTATATAAAACACAAATAAATTATTACTGAAAGCATATATTATTTACATTAAACTAATATAATTCAAAAATAAACATGTGTGAGGTTATGTAAACAAAACACAAGTAACATCAATATAGTTTCTATGAAATATTAGTATTCAATCATCTTTTATTCTATAGAAAATAATTATATTATTATAAAATACGTAATAATTAAATATTTCTACATTTAATAAAATACTCCAACTTGTAAAATATTTTACATTTGTTAATTGTCAGTCATATCATGAAACTTATAGATAAATTTGAAGAAAAAATTAAAAACTTACGATTATAAATCTACAAATGAAATAATTTGAGATGACGCCAATACACTAATTATTCTCGCAAAAGAAATACTGAATATTTGCATTTTGATTACAAACGATGACCATGATGACATTTTGTTGTTGATTAATAAGGATTTTAAGCAAAATACGCCCCTGGTCTTATTGGTTAATCAAGTTGGTGTTGATTTTAAGGTTAGTTTTGGGATTTTAAATCAATTTTTTCTTCAAAATTTGCTTTCTATTAAATTTAGTAGTTTGTTATGTTTGTAAAAACTATTTTTAAAAATATCAAATTTATCCACTTATGAAATTAATGATAATGTTGTTTGCAAAGATTTAAAATAAAAAAAAGTCTATAAATAATTGTCGACAATTTGATTAATGCAGTAGACGACAGTAGCGCCTTTACCGCTGGCTGAGGAATAAAGTAGAACTTTTCATCAGATTTTACACACATTTGCGTGTGGGAATTGAATTAATAAGTCCATTTCAAAGGTATTTTGGAAATTTCTTACCGGCCATTCAGCCGTGTGTGACAGATATTATAAGTGAATCGGTGACTACAGTGATTTTTACTGCGATTTTAGAAAGACGAGTTAAAGGGGCACCGGAGGCGAACTTTCGGGGTGACGCGGGCATATTTTCTCAAAAAACGTATGTATTCCCTAAACTTTTGCGGTCAAGAAGCGCATCAAGATTGTCTCGACAGTACTTTCTTTTTCTTAGAACATCTTTATGAATGAAATCGATTATTACCTTTATATATTTCACTTTTATTGATACTGACCATTTTCTGCTCGCGGAGAGGTTGGAATAGTCTCCTCTTTCATTCTCAGATTTTTCTCAATTCAATGTTGCATTCACTTCTTGATGCGTTCTTCTTTCAGAATTTTGTTTCATACATACAATTTCTTTTATATTATATTAAATATAAACAATTTTTCCATTGTATAATTTTTAGATATCAGAATAATAATTTAGAAAATTATGCTATTTTTTAAACATTTTTGGCATAAGGAAAGAAATAGGCTTTTGATTTATATGCTAGAAAAATGCTTTTATTTCTCAAGTATATTCATATTTATTTCACTGATCATTAACTGTAAAATATTCGAGTTTTATAAGAGTATGTAAATTATAGTAACATTATAACTTTATTTTTGTAAGATAATATTCGTATCACGTGATATTTTAATTTAATTAAGGATAACACGCATTTATTGTCAATTGACATTATTGATTATCAAAAGTTAGTAATGGTTTATTGTTTTACTGTCATTAGTAGTAATACGCAATTAAATTGTATTAAAAGTTGATGAAAAAATATTGAAAGAAATTTCCAAATTGTAACATAATTCTTTTGTTGTAATTTTTAATATTTAAATCTATATTTGGAAAACGTAGACTAATATTTAATCAATTTTTGTTTATATTTATATGATAAAACATGGGAAATATCAAAAATATTTAAATATTATTTCAATTAACAGTTAATAAAAAATGGCTGGATTGCCGCGAAGGATTATTAAAGAAACACAAAGACTCATGCAAGAGCCAGTGCCTGGAATTAGTGCTGTACCAGATGAGACTAACGCTAGATATTTTCATGTAATTGTTACGGGGCCTGAAGATTCACCTTTTGAGGGAGGACTATTTAAACTCGAATTATTCTTACCTGAAGATTATCCAATGTCAGCACCAAAAGTTAGATTTATAACAAAAATTTATCATCCAAATATCGACAGGTACTTTAAAATCATAGTAAATTTATCTTTCCTTTTTTTTTTAATTACAGTTAAAGATTAATTTATTATAAACGTAAAATTAAAATTTAACAGGCTGGGAAGAATTTGTTTAGACATCTTGAAAGACAAATGGAGTCCAGCACTTCAAATTAGGACAGTACTTTTATCGATACAAGCGTTGTTGAGCGCACCAAATCCTGATGATCCATTAGCTAATGATGTAGCTGAATTGTGGAAAATTAACGAAATCGAAGCGATACGTAATGCCAAAGAATGGACCAGTAGATACGCCATGGAAAACTGATCTCAGTATCAAATGATTAACTATCGCGCGATGAAATGTCATCATAATTTTTTCTACTGTCAAATAATCTACGCCAGTTGCACCCATGTCCACAGTTTTTCCATCAAATGAAGTAAAAAAAAAAAACAAAGTTGTAAGACCAGACTGCTGGGGACTGTATTTTCTATAATAATTATCAAAGAGAAGACGTTTCTAATTCAATCGTATAAAATTTATGCGATTGTGCGCAAGACTTATAAGAATATATTTTCAAATAGTGGTGAAAAAAAAAAACAAACAAACAAAAAAACACGGGGAAAAAAACAAGGCCGATGATTTGAAACAATTAGAAAAGAAATAATGATAATAATAATAGTTATATAATTATTATCATTATTAAATAATAATAATAATAATAATACCTCTAAGCTCGAGCTCGTATGATCCTTTTTGCTGTTACACTACGAATATTCCGCTTGCCGGCGTTCTTCTGACATTTAGGATATAAAATTGTACATAATTTATTTTTCGGTAATTCATGCACTCATTCTATGTTATAATTTTAGAATTTGGTAGAATATAACACTCAATTATCGAAAAATCAGGTACAGCTATATAAACAGTCTTTTATCTTATATGAAAAAAAAAATAAAAAAAATAAAAAAAAAAAAATGAAAATACATTGATAACGTGTTAATCATATACATTCACAGTTTAACTGCATTTATTAATTTCACTTCCAATTAAATGTGCAAAGAACTTTTAACAAGTTTTTAAAAACTTAATTGGTGTGGTGCATCAGACGTCGAACAAGTTGATAATTTATTAAATGTAGGAATTTTATTATTATTATTATTATTATTATTATTATCACTTTATTATCATTATATAAGTTGAAGAAAAAAAAAACAACTGTAATATCAATTTATGCGAAACTAGAGCAACTGTTTCGTTAAGAAAGTTTTTAATTTTTAAATGGAATGCTGGACGTAATTCCAATTAAATAAGAACTCGAATATATGTACATTTAATAAATGCTAATTTAAAAAAAAGTATTAACGTGAATTGTTTAGAAGTTTGGAGCAATAACACCGCTTTAATATAAAATGGTCATAATTTAAATTTATTTGATATAAATTGGGAATCTAGGCACCTTACTTACTTATGGACAAAGTCATTGTTCTTTTAATCCTCCGTCGAAACTCCATGCTTTTTTTTTTTTTTTTTATTCTTCTATTTCTAATAAAATTATAATTTAAGTACCTTTCACAGCAATCTTTTTTTAGTTAAAACATTTTTTTTGTGCTCTTCAGTTGTATTATTTTTATGTTATTCAGTTTGAATATAGTAAATGTGGATAATTTTTTAACGCATAGTTAATGCGTTCGATTTGTTATTAATTTTTTTTTTTTTTTTTTTATTTTTATAATAATAACAAAGGTTATTTTAACATTCAATTGAAATTCTATTTTAACTAACTATAAGCTGTCTCATATATTATCAACAATTTATTAAAATATGTAATTCTCTATAATTAAAATCAGAAAAAATAACTTTAGGTTGGATGGAATGAAAGTTATTAAGATTATATATATAAAATGGGAAATTGATAATAAAGAAATTGAAATTACCTTTGTGTATATTTCTCTCGTGTTGACATAAAATTACTTATTGCATATGTCGCAGGTGAATTTTTCCTTCATTTTTTTTTTTTTTTAAATCAGATGTTTACAAAGCAACTCAAAATATCTTAATAGGAATGGGAATAATTACGTCTCTTCATTTTTGAAGCGATGTTATATACAAATAATTAATATGAGTTCAAAATTACAGTTTATTGTTTTTTTTTTATGGACTAGTACACATTCAATAGCTCGCTTAGTTATTATCGTAACTTATAACATTGATAAAGACAATCATGGTAACACACCATGAATTTTTTTTTTTTTTTTTTTTTTTTTGAAGCTACAGCGCAAGCTCTATTATTTATGTATAAGGTTTTTTTCTCTTCTTTTTTTTTTACTTAATTGTACAATTAATTAATTTTTTCTGCAAAACTGATTTTTAATGAAAACAATAACAAAAAAAACTTGCATATATAAGAAATTCTGATGAATTTTAGTTTTTTTGACTTCTCTCATTTGGAAAAAAAAATTTCAAAAAGTGATATTCGATTGTATCGCATATTAAAATGTATACAAAACTTTATAGTAAAAACTTTGCAAATATAAATATAAAATCAGATGAATAATATATTGATGAAAAAATGTCTTTCATATTTGAATTTTTTTGTGTATAAAATAAAAAAATGATTGTTAATTAAAATATTGTTGCAATATTCATGTTATAATGAAGTATTTAGAACTTCATTGTAGAATACTTCATTAGAAGTATTTTTTTACAGAAAAAGTTTTTTCTTTTTTTTTTTATATAGAGAATAAAAATGTTTTTCAAGGCAAAATTTTGCTTTTTATATGTTTTTTCGAAGCTATTTAAAATACAAAATATGACATATACACTCTTTAATTCTGAATCTATTTAGAGTTATTATGACTAATTGCAATCAGTGTATACGCTGATTAAAATTAGTGATAGTATCATTGATTCAGATTTAGAGAGCATATTCTTTTTTTTTTTTTTAAATATTAATACAGATTTAGAAGAGATGACGTAAGATTATTAAACCGATAGATTTTCGCATTTGCGGCCTCATTTTTTGTTAAAATAGGGTTAAACATTTTCAGTCGGAGTGGCTTGCGATGGCTGAGTATGTACTTTGTTATTTATAATATATATTATTTCATTCTTAGCATAGTGACTAGATAAGTTTTAGCCACCCAACTATACATCTTGTTTGATCCCATATATTTTACTTATTACATTCCAATGTTCATCGAATATATTATGTATATTTTTATGGATAAATTTCCCATGCCAAAGTTCATTAATTATTACGTATAGTTGACTAATTTTTTATTTTACTTTTTTTTTCTTTTGAGCCTATTATCCAATATCACTTAATCATTTCTCAGTTCATGTACTAGTCTAGATAGATAATGTACAATTGATTTTTTTCATTTTATTAATCCTTTCGTATGTACACAGGATGTGTGTGCAGTAAACTTCTTTTTTAAATTCTATATTCATGTGATATGCAATATGTTTTTTTTTTTTTTTTTTCTTTTACATTGTTCCTTTTCATCTGAAACAATGAAACTCTCAAATTGTATTCGAAGATTATACAAGAAGTAAAGAAAATGGTATAATAAATTAAAAATTATAATCAATTTCTTTTATTTAGAAAATAATACTTGAAATTCGTTAAATTTTCAACTAATTAAAAATAAATTAAATTTAATATAAAAATTTACAATAATAAAAAATGATAAAATCGAAATCATTCAAATAAAATTTGATGAGTTCTTCAGATACTAGCCTTCTTAATTATTTCCTAGAATTAAAGTTATTTTTTTTTTTTATAAATTTTGGAAAAGAAACGAGAAAAAATATTGATGATGAAGATTTTGATAAAAATATTTGGTACATTTCTTAGTGAAATAATTTTTATAACTAATTAGTAAAAAAAAAATCTTTTGAACTTTTTATTTCCTATTATTGAAATAAAAAAAAATGAATTTACTTATATTAACTATAATATATGAGTCACATTGAAAGTTGAAACAATCACAGAATAGTTCAACTACTTTCAAAATGGATTTACATCACGTACAATCAATTTTTTTGCTTCTATTTCTTTCTCTATAATTTTTCAGTTTCTCAAAATTGAAGCAAATCAATTATTATAATTTAAAAATAATATGACACTTTGGATAAAAAAATTTATTTAAAATGTTGAAAACTGAATTTGCGCTTGAGTATATGCTTTAAAATCGATAAAATGAAATTTTGAATTATATTGAAATTTGTTTTATGTATTGTGTATGACATTTTTTAGAATGAGAATATTGTTTACACATATAAAAGCGTGAGAAATATATGCAGAGATCCAATTTTCAAGTATATAAAGGCACTACACGTCTGCTAGAAATAATATATTTTAATAAAGTTTAGTTTTAGATTCTAAAAAAACATCGATGATTTAAATTTTGATTTTATTTCGAATAAGCCGACGTGATAGTCTGTTTACCATTTTTTAATTTTTTTTTGGATCACCATTGCAATATGAAGCTTAATTTACATTTTCAGGCCTTAAAAATCTTATGTCCTAGTGAAAGTGAAAAAAGTTATGTTGAAGATGACTCATTATGCGTCTTTTTTTTTTTTTTTTTTTTTTTTATTTTGTCATCATGTACTTTGGCATTGAAATTTTATCAACAAATCTAGGATCTTACTATCCGCACCGTTTGCATACTTGTTGATATTCAAAGCAGAATAGCTTAGAATTTGAATGTTTCCATTAAAAATATATGAAAATTATAATTGTATTGGTAGAAGATTGCAAGTATTTACAAATATTTAGAAGAGCATTCTGAAAATTGTTTTCAAAAAGAAAAAAATCTGCACTCTTCTAGATACGTAATGGGCGCACGCTTTCCCGACATATTTTTCTTTTTCTTATTTTCAATTTATCTAAATTTATAAAGAATCGATTAAAAATTTATTGTTTTTTTTTTTTTTTAAATTTAACTTTCCGAAAAAACAAAATTACATACTGAATTTTCAAAGAAAATTTATTGGAAATTTAGTTAAATTTGAAAATAAGAAAAAGTAGAATTTTGTTGACAATCATGCAGTCCGGTACGTGACAATTAGATTTTCCATTAAGAGGCTTAATTAAAATTAATAAAGATCGGTACAATTTGTTATAGGTAACGCCGATGATTGCGGTACATGTCAAATGTTTTTGACGTGATTTAAAAAAAAAAAAAAAAACAATATTTGCGAAAGAAGAATCATTTTCGCTCTTATTGTTTTGTCATCTGACTCTAAAACATCGTCACAGAAATTTAATCTTACTTCAAAGATATAAAATTAAACAAAGGAATGTATTAAAAAAAAATCTGTGAAAAACTTAGGGAGATGATTAGAAAAAGTTACAATTATATAATGATAATAATAATAAGAAAATTGTAATTTACTTTACAGTTCCAGCTCTGCCCTATACGTTAGTAAAGAGCTTTTGTGCTATTTATAATCATGTGCATTGCATCTTCCTTGGCGCAAGTAACTTAAAGCGACTCTTAACGGCAGTTATTTGTAGTGAACATAGTGCTTGTACTTGATACATAAAAACACTCTATTTTGTTCAAGGAGTGGGCGCCTTTATACATTTTTTTTTTATTATAAATAAAAAAAATAGTATATTCAATAAAGCTTCGACTTGAGAAATTTCATTTAACAATAAGTATATATGTAAATTACAATTTGGAATGCATCATGATTGAGAGGCAAATAAAAAAGTTACTATTATTTCATCAAATACTAGAAGCACAAGTACAAAAAATATTTATATCGCTGCCGTGTAAGATGTCACATTTTATTTATTTTTGATAAATTTTTTTTTATAACTTTTGTCACTTAATAAATAATCGGTGAATAAATATATTTAGTTTCGAAGTGACTAATAGACCAGACCAATATAGTCTATTTCAATTGTAAGCAAGAGATGATGTTAATAAGTGGGACATGGGGCGTTCCAAATTGAAATACAAAACAACTCACGTGGAACAACTTGTACAATGAAGTTATATATAGTACGGTAGTGGATGGCAGATGTATTGTCTGTTCACTATCGTGTTTTTTTTTTTTTTTTTTTGGCCAGGTAAAAACGCTTATATGTACACCGGAGATTCCTGACCAGTTAACAGCCTAAACATTGATGTGGGCATTGTCTTCATTAAAATCTGAAAATATTTATTAATAAAAAAAAAATGAGGAAAATGTAAATATGATTAAATAATTGTATTCTATTTTACCTCGCCGACGGAGGTTGCTAAAAGATTGACAATCTTTTCGTGTGGCACTGCAACAACGCTCTGATTATTAATTTCAATGATCCTGTGGCCAACTCGAACACCTCCTCGTTCAGCGATACCTCCTCTTAGTAAACTACATATAACTCCATTTTGTACACTAAATCCTAACTGATATTTTGTATCTGGTCTCTTGATTTTGACTTCAACAACAGGCGCGCACGGCACGACAGTCAATTTAACGACAGTTTGGTTCTTGGAATTTTTTATGTATGTTTGACATGTGGATAGAGGCAAACCGACCAGCGAGACCCCATTGATTGCAATTATTTGATCGCCGATGTTTAGCTGCCCGCAGCGAGCGGCTGCACCAGCTGGTGCCAAATTTGCAATCACCACTGTCGGTAGCATTGAACCCCAACCAGATTCCACTATCACTACTCCTAAAATTTCACCTTTTGCCTTTGGTACAACCACCTGAATTGAAAAAAAAAATTTAATTTCATTATTCATTTAATTAATTGATTTTTGATTAAATATAGTCTAAATTTTCACTTACTTCTTTTTGCATTTCCTTTTTTGCAAACATTTGTAATTCATCGCCAAAAATTTCTTGTGAATTGAGCACTTCTTGATAATCCATTTCTTTGACAAAACTATGATCTTCAATCCCATTGGCCTTGAGAAATTCCATATACGCCACTTGAAACGCTTGTCCAATACTTTGTGCAATAAACTGAGCTTCTTCACTTTCAAAAACATGGCAAATCATTTTTGGAGTTCTATTAATTTTTGGTGCTTCTTCCATTTCATGTGGTACAAATCGTCTTCTAGCCATTAGAACAACCAAATCTCCAATGTCAGCAATATAAGATATTGTCCTTAGGGCGTGATCCATCATAATTTCTTTTAAATCCGTATTCAAAACCATAATCTTCTCCGTTGATATGAAGAGATCAACTTCTGTACTTGGTTGCGTTTCTCCATCTGGCGCCTGTTCAAATATTTGTCATTAAATATAATTTCTATTTAAATTTAGTCTAGGAATTTTAACAAGAAAGGTAAAATTATTTTTCAAAAAAAATAATAATACTCACCAAAGCCTATCGGAAAGCAGCGTGAAAGACAAAAACAAATTGCATTTCATTATAGGATTTTATTTTTCACAATTATTCTCTACCACATATAGAAATGCTTATTTAAAAAAAAGGAACCATAAATTACAACAATAAAGGAAAAATAAATACAAATTGAACTCGATATAAAAAATATAGGAATCTTCTAAACCTGAGAGTTTGTTCTAGCTTTGTCTGAATGAATCAACAATAATAAATTGACATAAATTTCAAATCTCTGATTAGAATTAGCAAATCATGCCATTCAAAAGTGAGAGAGAAAAATAGAAATAAGAAATATTCGAGACGATATAGTATATGTTTATCATGTATATTTTGAAAGAAGAAAACAAAAATTTCAACCAGCGATCGTCATTTATGGGATTATAAAAAAAAAAAAATAAAATAAAAAAAAAAAAAAAGCGAAAGAAAAATTTTTTTTTTTTTTTTAATTTTGGGTGATTGGGTGAGGCCGACCTTTATTTTAGTAACGGCCTCTTCCACCATGTGCTTCTTAAGGCGTTTTCGCCGTTTGCGACCCCCTTCCTCTTCAACCTCAACCGACCCAAGAAATTGAAGTCTGAAAACTGTCGTGGGCCCGGTGGACCCCACCGAACCACTGATAGGGGCCAGCTTAGGCTGTGCCCCAATTGTCTGTGTTTGTGTTTCTGGTTGGCCGCCACCGGAGGCGGATGCACTGCCTATTAGTTCCTCGCTTGAGTCGCATTCATCTTCATCAAGGCTTCCTTGTGACGCAACGCTGCAGCGCTCATACCCTTGGGTCCCCCCATAGTTTAAGAGCGTAGCCTGCATCGACCCTGGCCCATCCTTTGGTTACGAACGCGCGCCAAACAAACAAACAAACAAAGGCTCTTGCTAGTCACATTGCCACGGCAACCACCAACGGAACAAGGCAAATAAAGAGATAGCAAAAAAAAAAAAAAATCCCAACTCTCTGAGCTGCTAATCTATTATTAATTATACAATCATAATTAATATTCTCACAAAATCAGAAACAAAAAAATTTTAATTTTAATTTCTAAAATTTCAGATTGTAAATGTTCTCTTAATTTTTTTTTCCAATGATATTTGATTGAGCTGTTTTGTCAATCAGTAACAAAATTTCATTTCAATCAAGTATAAAAAAAAAAAAAAAAAAAAAATTAAGAAAACATTTACGAGAGCTGACAGTAAAATGGAATTATTTATTACATTATTATTGTTATAATTATTTTTATTATTGTTAACCTGATAAAATATTTTTTAAAATTTCAAAATTTTCTATCATCATTTTTCTCTTATTAAAAAAAATAGCAGCTCAGAAATTAAATAATTTATGAGTAAAAATATTTTTAAAAAGCGGCTGCGATTAATATATATATATAAATTTAGTAAAAAAAAAAATTGATAGGCAAATATATCTTTAATTAAATGAGTATATAATTTATCAACAAGGCACCAATTAAAATTGATTGTTAAGAAAAAATAATATAATCATATTATTAAATACTTTTTTTCAATCTAATCAAGCAAGGATTATAGGAAGGAAAGCAAGCTTTTTTTTTTTTTTTTTTTTTTGGATTAATGAACAGGACAAAACGGTGTTCCCTTAACATTCGAAAAAAGAATCCACAAAATTCAAGCACAAGTCAAATATAAATATATATATATAGTAAAAAATTAAATGCAGCAAGCAATATTATTTTACTATTTTTTAATATTAAAAATTCTTTAAAATACTTTGGGACGTATTTTATCGAGGGCTTTTCAAAAAAATTTTCATCTCGCACTAAATAAAATTTCTAAGAATTTTTCTTGCTGTATAATATCTAGATATAAAATCAACTGCAGCATTTCTCTGTATAAAAATTCTTTGACATTATTCAGCTGGCAAATTTCTCCAATAAGTTTTATATATTATTGGAGAAAATATATTATCTATAAAATACATATATATAGAGATTTCCTTGAAATATTTATGATTGAAGAAGGCATTCTTTTTGCAAGCTGTGCAAATCTAAGATTTTTTTTGCGCTTGAAAAAGAATAAAAAAAAAAAAAAATACCAGCAAAGCTAGGTGCCCTGATATAAAAATATTCATTTTTCTGCTTCGTAAAGTATTTGAAAGAAAAAAAAAAGATCAAAATAATCAGAATTTTAATAATCATGTATGATTTCTTGAAAGAGCAGATTATTCTCAAATAATGTACTTATGAAATGACGTTATAATCATTATAATCTCATAAAACCAGTAGAACAGAAAAACAAGAGGAATTATACCTCTTTTAGGAAACACGTACGTCGTCATGCTCTTGAAAAATTCTGATATTTATTCCTGTTTTTTTTTCCCAACAACTTTACGTAATAGGTAATGTTTCCAAATAAATTTCGCAAATATATATTAATATCATTAATGAAAATAAGTTTCCAATGAGGTAAATTTGATTTCGGATTTCGAATATTTTCAATAAAAAAAAAAATTTCAAAACCCCTTTTTTATTATATAAAATTGTATCTTGAAATCTAATCTTAAAAAAATCAAAAGTTCCTTTTCTTTTCCAAACCTATGTTAATCTCTCCTAAAATAAAAAGAGAGCAATAATTTTAAAATATGATATACGTTTCTAATCCCAAATAATAATTAAAATCAGGAAATATATTTTTTTTGTTTCGAAAGTGTTATTGTGTGTTTTTTTAAAATTTGCCAAAAGCAATTAAATTTAATGAGAAACATTAAAGAATTATAATTCAATTTGAGTGCAATACGCTTCACATGTGAATAATTATAATTAGTCAAAAAATCTACGAAGAGAAGTAAAAAAAAGATTTATATATATATATATATACCAGGCAAATAAACAAAAACAAATAGATTGTATATAGCTATATAGATAGGTAGATAGATATAGATAGACCGACAAACAGACAGACACATCAAACGTTACACTGAGAAGATGACAGTGTTCAGTGGTCGGGTGGTGTTAGTGATGTGAGGAAGGGGGGCGCTACACTGAAACATTCAGGCCTCTTTACACAACGGCCACTTGACAATGATCTGGATTAATCATTGAAAGAAATAAATTAAAAAATTATTTTAAACAAATTTCTAAGAATAAACAGAATAATATATATTATAAATGATATATATACAAGCAGAATATTATTTATTGAACAATATAATTTAAAAAAAAATATTGTTCAATAAATAATATTCTGCTTGTATATGTGTGCCTTTAAAAAAAAATATTATACTTAATATTAATATATATATATGAGTCTGTCGAAATCAGTCTTGTATACATTTTTTTTTTCTTTGTATAAAATTTTTAAACCTAAAAAAAGACTGATTCCGTCAATGGATGAGAGTGCCGGAAAGAAAACGATGCTTAACTTTATCTCAAGGAAATTCTAATTTAAAAGAATTTTAATAATTATTAACAACTAATTAGAAACATTAGTCTTTTTTCGAAAAAAAAATATTTAGAATTTTTTTTTTTAAGAAAAAAATAGAAAAAGATCATTTTTTTAGTGTTTGTTTTTCCTTGAGGCAATTATACAGCATGTGCTATAAATCTTTCCTGCTAAAACTCTCAGGTTCAACTATCAATTCTCTAATGATCCAGTACCTTATCTATCTGAGGAATTCAAAATGCGCCAATATAAGTAACGTAGAATTACCTCAGAGAGATAAGATTTCTTTTTTTTCTTTTTTGTTTAATTATTAAACATTAAAATATATTATTGTGGCTCAAACTATTACAATATTATATATGTTCTCCATAAATGAAACAGCAAATTAAACTGATTTAGAAGCAATCCAGAGCATGCCACTATATTAAGTGTTTCGACTTTTAATCGAATGTTACTGGGATTTGTATATAATAAAGTACTAAAGAGAATTCATATATATTACCAGAACATTAAAAAAAAAAAAAATGAAATAGAACATAAATGACCTAAATATTATTTTCGAAATAGAGTTCGCTACATTAATATATAGTTATAGGTATTTAATCACGACCTGCGTATAACTAATTTTTCGTGCGTTATTTTAAATTTAAAAAAGAATTTATATATTGTACGTTCATTACTTGTGCTGATAAAGAAATTTTTTTTTTTTTTTTTTTTATAGAAAATTATCAGGAAGAAAGTTTTTTTTTTTGTTGAAAAAGAATTAAATTACCTTTATCCTGGAAACAGCTTCCTCGGCCTGACACATACGAGTCGATTTTGTGGGTTGTCCTTCGCAAACTAATTGTGTAGATCCAAGATATCTTGCTCGAAAAAGTACACCCTCGATTAGAACTGATGGATCGTTCAGTAGTGCTGAAATCGTCATTGAAACATATAATTTTGAATTAGATGAAGATTGATCAACTAAAGTGCCAAATACAGTGAAATAGTCTGCGGAGCAGTGAAGTGCCCTTATCGAAGATACGGGAACAGTTTCCAAAAAATTTTCATTATTATTTGTTTCTTTTGTACTACAACTGATCACTAAATTTGGATCACTTGTAAAAATTTCTAAATCGTTTGCACTTATTTCCGTTTTCATTTTTTTTTTTTTAGATACACTTTACACATTAAAAATCACAGAAAGAATTTTTTTTTTAGAACAAAAATATAGAAAAAATAAGAATTTTACTACTTAGAGAAGTTGTATATCATGTATATAAGAGAACGTTATTTTATTGAAAAAAAAAAAAAAAAATTTGTTACTAACTGAATTATTACGATCTATTCTGATAAATTCTTTTTTTTATAATCCGAGATAAAATCTTGTTCACATTTGTGTCAAAGAAATAAAAAAAAAAAAAAAGTAAATTTGCTCTCGAGCTTTTGATATATCAATGTAAACAATTGAAAATAGAAATTTATTGATGCCTTGAACTGTTTGCGTCTTCTTTGACACTAGTTGACGGTGCAGTGTACAAACCACTGCTCCACAGACATAGTTAATTCAACAATTATAAAGTCATTTATTCCCTCATGAGGCTGTAATTACTTTCGTGTTTACGAATACGAGTCGATATTAACACGCACATTCCTCTGGAAAGAGAAAGGCCATATATATACTTAACTGCCTGATACAGTCAGTATTAATTTTCAAATTAAAGGAAAAAAATAAAAAGACAGAGAGAGAGAGAGAGGTCAGTTGAAAGGAATACGTTATATAATATCAAAGAAAGAAAAAAAAAAAAAAAGAAAAAAAAGATACCTACCACGTGTTAGATGATGAACGCAAGACATGCACCAGGTCCAAGGGTAGCAGCGTTAAAGAAGATTAAAAATACAATTAGTATTCTCATTTCAACAGGTCATGCTTCTGAAATTCACCAATCCGATAAATTAAAGATTTACAATTATACCTACAAGCTACACTGAAATTCGATTATTGTTTTAATTGTGCCATATCTATTTTTTTTTCCCTTAAATACCAGAATAAATTTTGTTAGTAAAACAACTAATCATGCATTACATAAAAATTATTCTAATTTATTCACCTATGCCATTTTGACTTACATATTATACCCGCACTTTTTACATAAATATTATGTGATACAATTATTATAAAATAATATATAAAAATTAATTAAATAATTATTTAATAAATTAACCCATTAAAATGAATACTTTAAATATGAACTTTGAATTTAAATTCTGAATCGATTTTTTATTCATTAAAGGCATTAAAATTTATAAACTTCTTGGTATCGTTATATTTTAATGATAAAGATTCATGAAAAACAGGATATTGAAGATAGACGAACAAGAATTACTATCAATAGTGATAAAAAAAAACAATTGAATTTACCTCAATATTTAAATTTATTATTTTAAAATAAATCTGTCATTGTAAATAAAAATAATAAAAACAAAATTGAAAACTACTAATATAAGGTAAACGACTTTTATAATATAACCATCATAATAAAAGTTTCAGTGATAATGGAAATATGTAAAACGAGGCTAAAATGTTAAGGTTGTTAATGTTGCGCAAGGAAATAATAATCTACTAAAAAGGTTAATATATTGTTCAAGAAAAGCAAAAATTAATAACTCCCAAACAAAATTGGATTTGTAATTAAATTAACCAGAATCATCAAACAAAAAATAATTAACATTACCTTCTTTGTTTCTGCTCTTCTTCTTCCCTTCTTTATCCTGAAAAAATAGCAGTATTATTATTTTTGTTATAAATTTTTCGAAAATTTTTTATTTCTATGAATATAAAACCAAACGTGATTTTTGTCTTATATTTTAAACTCTATTTTAAAATTGAACATTTAAAATTTAATAATCACGATGGGTTTATTCAAATTTTTTACAAAAAAAAAAAAAACATACAGTCGTGCAACATACAATCATGAAAATATTTTATACCCGTGAAAATAGAAAAATTATACTATTTTAAAGTCGAAAATAATATCAGTTTAAATTCTCTTTCACATTCACATATTTCAAATACTGTTTATCTTTTTTTTTTTAACATAAATTTCAACAGCTTTTAATAATACGATAATTTGCAATTTATTAGTTTATAGAATAATTTTAATTTCCCAAACAATTAAGTTAAATTTTTTCATTATAGAGAAACAATTTGAAATTAACAATTTTACTACCTTTTTTTACGGTTTGTTACAATGCTGAACAAAATTCATGCAATCGATACCAAAAGTATTTTAAAAGTGTATAATAATAATTTATTTCATCGATCAGAATTTGTAATGATATAATTAAAAATTATCACTTGCAAAATATTTTTTTTGTTATTGTTCCAATTAAATGTTAACTAACAAATAAATTTATTTAGTCATCAATTTCTCGAAATTTAAATCTCCTTGATGTGAAAATAAAATTAATTATTTAAAAAATTAGTTCTTTAGCAGTGAAAATATCTTCATTCAATCGAAGCAAGATTTTAAATTCTAAGTGATTGGCAATAAAAAAAAATTGAATATTCGAAATCAGTGTGTGTATGTGTGTGAAAAAAATAAACATGACATAATTGTTCTTTTTTTTTTTTTTTGTTGGCATTGCAGACTACTACAAGGTAATCTCTATTCTACAAGCCATAGTCAGAGGCAGAGGCAGAGGCTAACAATCATAGCATTTGAAGGGGCACCTTTTTCACCTTACTGCTGGATTCCTGATGGCTCTGGGGAGGTGAGGGAGAATTTTTAATCGGGGTCTTCTGTGGACTCGACGAAGGTTGTGTAGGGGAAGATATTTCGCGTTCCGAAGGAGATGATTGAATGACAGTAACTACAGGAGGTGGGGATATAGAGGCCGAAGTTGATGGCAACGGTTCGGATTGTGCAATTGGTTCTAAAGGAGTGACACTTAAGGTTTTAGGTGGCGTTTGCTTTGGAGTTGCAATTTTTGCACTCATTGATGGTAACATTGTCCTAGTCTTAGGTTTCCTCCACCCCTGTGCAACATCAAGTCATTATATTAATCGTTAGAGCGTTTATACATTGAGTTAACACACGTTGCTTGGCTAATTATTATTATTATATGTTATACATATAAAGGATTGAAATTAATATCTAGTTTCCTAAGATTCTGCTAGTCGACAGAGTATTATAAAAAAAAAAATTATTTTAAGCATAAAAAGTAACTACATCTTTTCTGTAGACTAAGCAACATCTTAGTTGATAAACAAAATTTGTTGGTTTTACCTTGTCATCGTAAAATCCTTGATCGTCTGTTCTTTGTTGACCAAGTAGTCGATCCGTTTCAAGATCAGTATCGGCTTCTTCTTCATCAACGCCTTCTTCGCCGACCTCTAATTCTCTTTCCTCGAGACCCCTTCTTATTTCCGAATCTTCGCTATTTGTTTCAGTGCAGACTCTCCGTCTGCCATCGAGTAAACTATATCTTAGTTAGATGAACTTGTATTATGAAATTGTGTAATTCTCATCGCAAGTATTCCAAAACTCATGCTGATAGATATTGACAATATTGAATTGCATATTTTAATAAACAGCATGCGTTTTGGAATACTCTGAATAGGGTTGGAGAACTTACCTTGGAATCCAAATGGGACTCACACTTGATTCTAAATGATCCTCAGATGGTGATTTAGCAGGTAAGATTTTTGTTCTTTGTAGAGCCATTTTAATGTCTTTAATGGCAGCTTCAACCTCGCCTCCAATTTCTAAATTAACACTTTGCCTTCCCTGAGGTGCCGGAGGTGGTGGAGTTGCCAATGGATCTAAACCATCTAATTGCAATTCGCTAGTGTCATAGGAATTCTCTTTCTTAACAAATAAATCCGGTGATGAGGTTTTAAGTGTATGTAAAATATCTTTAGTTACATTTAAACTGACATCTTTCACCATTGTATCATTATTATCAGTGCCAAGCATATCGTTTCGTGTTCTTTGGATTATTTCCTTTTCAATTTCATTGATTTGTCGTTTCATCAACATCACAGTTGGATTATTATTATCAGTATCGCTTGCATGTCCACTGGACAAGCCATCCTCGAGTACTGGCATACTAGTATATATCCTCAGGGAATCAGAATTATTTCCCAAATCCCCAACTGATCCAAGTAATCCACTTGCTGGCAACAATTCATTGTCCATCATCATAAGGGACATTTCACTATCTAGATCACCACAATTGCTATCGCAGTCGGTCGTTTCTGGACTGAGGGTAAAATTTCGAGAATGTCCAACTTGTAATCCCACTTCCGTCTCTCCCAAATCTTCACTGCTCCCTGTTCCCATCGATAAATCCAGAAAATTGCTTTCATGTTCGATGGTCTGAAATAAAATACTCTATTTAATGAAAACTAAATACTCAGTTGATAAACAATTATTATCAAGTAGTTTAATTACTTTTAAAATAAACTGTTTCTAAAAAATTACTAATTCTAAAACTTACTGTTTGTGGATAGTCTGATTTTTGCTTTTTCGGAGATTCGTGAACCAACACTTCCTCGTTTGGAAGTCCACTTGCTAACCGTTGACCAACGTAGGAACTACCGCCTTGTCTCCTGAGTTCATACTCAAGATCCTGGAAAAAAAATACAATATAATACGTAATATTCATTTTGCTTTTATAATATAACAAAAACGTACTTGAAAAGCAAAAGAATCTGTATTGTTTTCCTTTTCTTCCGATGGAGGTGGACACTTGAAAAATTCCTCAAGAACTTTTCGAGTTTCAGAAAATTCGTACAAATAATCAAAAGTACTGCCTCCAGGTGAAACAAGGCTGCTTATTGTTTCAGATGGTAAGACAGACGTTTTCAAAGGATCCTCATCCTTGTCCTCGACTTCCGTTTTATTTAAAGGCGTTAGAGAATTTGTATTTTGATCCTCAGAATGTAGAACAGTCGACTCTATCACAGATTCTTGTACATTTAAACTTTCAGTGCAATTATCTTCTTTCTAATAAAAAAATAAATAAATCGAAAAAATACATTAAATTTTTTCTATTCGAGAAATGAATTTTTTTTTTAAATGAAAAAAACTTACCTCTTTCTGATTAGGCGTGTTTGGTAATACTCTTTGTGGGAAACCTGGTCTTGGTGTCATATAAACAGAAGGTGATGACAATAAAGTTGGTAATCGAGAATTCTCACGAACTCCATAACGTCGAGGACTTTCGGAATATTGTGCAATGGGTAATTCACCAATTACTCTGGTAACTTTGTGATTACGTTCAGGAGAAGGTGAATGTGCTTCGCAATCACTTGCTGGTGTTACAACCTGTAGATTAATATTTTATTAGAATTTTCTTTTTGATAAATTTTTTTTTTTATTATCTTCTATTTTTTTAAAAGTAATAATCAAAAAAAATTACCTTGAAAAATTCAGTTGAATTTTGATGAAACGTTGGACTACTGCCAACACTAGAACTAGGAGGTTCTGGAGGTATTCGTCCCCTGTGTGTATCATCAACGCCCAAATCAGAATTAGTATTATTGATTTGACTTGTATTAGTTGATCCTAAATCTAATCGTAGTCCTTGCCAATTATCGTCAATATCATCAAATACAACAACTTCCCCATCGCTAACGATTGCCATACTTCTAGCGGGTGTTGTATGATTTGATTGATAGTCTATACAATTTTTCGTTAGTCCATAATCCAAATCGGTAATACTTTTTGGTACACCATACTCTATATTATTGCTATTTAATATTGAGTCATAATTAATTATGCGATTACTTTTTGGTGAGTCGTAATCAAGAATTGATTTCACTGGATTTCGTCGTACAGAATGTACTTCGGATGAGAAGACAGTCTCGGTCACTTCTCGATTCATACGATGTCTCTTAGTTTCACCGCATCTGAAAATAAATTGAAGCATTTTTTTTTTGTTTTGCCTTTATATCTCTTTTAGTCACGCAAGCACTCAAGTTTCTTTTGATTAACTTACCGACTTCTTAATTCCCACACACTTTGTCTATTAGGAGATTTGTTGTTCTTCTTTGCAGATAATTTTTCAGATGAAATTTCATCGTTTGGAACTGAATTCGAAGCTGTAAGATAGCGTGACTTTCGAGATGCTACTTTTGCACGACTCTGCGAAAAGACTTCACGACCACCGGCTATTTCAATTATTCTAAAATAAAAATTCAATTGTGTCAGTTATAAATATTGTCAAAGAATTCTTTGTAGAATAAAATAATTTCTGTGTAAAAGTGTTTTTTTGTGAATAAAATATTAGGTTTAGATAAATTTTCAAAGGTGAGTAAAATTTTTGATGTATCACTGATTCTTTTGAACACTTCATTGCTATTACTGATATATGATTTCATTATTATTTATGAAGCATAAGAATAGTATGCTCCACACCCATTGATACAATTTAAAAATGTAAATATCTACAAAGCAATTGTTTAGTGAATAAAAGTCCTGTCAAGTCGTTAAAGAAATTTTAAATTAGTTTCTGTTATTGAATTTCATCAATAATTAATTAAAATATTAAAATTCGCACCTATTTTTTAAAAAAAAAGTCCAAAAATGACAGAAGGTTTAACCTTAAATCCATATGTGTAATTTTGAAAACTCGTTGTATCTTTAAATATAATATCTAAAAATTGACAACAAATGAAATTGTATTTTTCAATTTTTCCTGACAATTTCGAAATGCACATTTTTATAAAGTTTAAAAATAAATAGGGTGCCATTCCATTATATTTTTATAAGCAATAACTTCTACACACTATTTTCCAATGTGTAAATATATATAAATATATGTATATCGGACACAGTTACTTTCTGAAATAACATTGATTCATTGATTCTCCGTGTGTGACGCTTTTGTCGATTTCCGGTATTTAAATAAAACCTATCTCGCCACATATGAAAATTAAAATAGCTTTCAATATTTTATGGAGAGAAATTTATTAAATCTATTTAGAGCAACATTTAAAACAAATAATTTTTTGTTGCAATATATTAATATTAATTTTATATTTAATCTTTTTTTTTCTTTTTTTTTTTTTAATAAGAGAGGTTTTTCATTTTCTGTTTATTATTAGAAACACGTCGCAGTTAACTTGAAGTTTTTAAAGGGGATAGATGATTATTATGCTCAATTTTTACGGGATGAATTTGAATTTATTTCGCAATTTAAGATTTTATTTACCTGTGAATTTTATAAAATGAATTTACATTATATGTGAATGTATTTATTTATAATAATTATTTGTTTGGCTAATATAATAAATTATTTAGAAATTGAATCATTTTATTATTAGTTGGAATTTTTTTTTGATAATTAGAATCTTTTACATATATATATTTATTAGTAAAAGATATATTTATTTATGATACCTGGAGTCTCGGAGTTTATAGCTGCGATCGTCTTTAGTTGATGTGAGAATATATATAGGACTCTCTTCTGTTCCACTATCCTCAAGTTGAGACTGAGGCTGATGATCACTTCCGGCCAGGCTTCCGTAATTTGGAGCATCTTCACTACGCCCAGAGGCAGATGATGAACTCGAGGACGATGCCTTGGTTGTAGTTGGAAGTTGTCCTTCACCAATGAAACCAGGCACCATACTCGTTGTCCTACGGGACAGCGAACCTGATTTTTTCCTACCATTGGCTCGTTTCCTACACCTACAAATGTAACTTGAATCTCTTAACAAGTATATTATATATGTACATCCAATTAAAATTGAAGCTAATTGGCATTCATCTAGCATCATCTACTACACTATATTTTCATCTCAAAAAAAAATTGTTTCTACAAATATTTTTCTTCTCCTTTCTTTTAATTAACTTTGTCAAGAAAATATTGATTATCATTATATTGGGAATAAATTATTTTATAAATTTATTCACAATAATGTGGGTTTTGAATTTGAATTCTAGCTTTCACGATAAATAAATAATTAAAATATTAGCAATATTCACGTAATATCGATGGAATTGAACCGATTTCAATTTCCGGGATTTCCTTACGGCATTAAACGGGATTAAATTGATTCGTATTTCCACCATCCTAATGGAATTACTTTTGATTTGAAATGGTTTGGAGAAACGAATAATATTTCTCTATATATATATATATATATATAATCGTTTCAATTTATATTTTAATTAAAATACAATCTTAATATTGGGTCACAAACACTCAATACATATATATATATATACATGTAGAAAAGTGTTACTTGCCTGTCGGAAGTTTCCCTTTCAAGGTCGATCATGTCTTCCGATACCGCGGAATTGGAGGGTGCGGTGCTGGTAGCAACGCTTGAGATGTCAATGATGGAGTTGACCTCCGAGTGACAAGGATGGTCATGCAGCTGATCAGCTTGCGTTGAACCCCCTGAAAGCGGGGGTGGCCCTCCTCTAGGCCGGCATTTTGGAAAAAGTCGATTTAAATCTGCGTTCTCCAAAATCAAGCTTGTCATCGCCAATTAACAATCATTTCTCCATAAAGGGTCCTGTCCATTATCTTGAAACCAAAAAACAAAAAAAACAATGAACCTATAACATCAATTATAATCTTTTTTTAACATAATCAGATTTAAAAAAAAAAATATTGGATTTTTGTAATATTCGTTAAATACGTTATTTTAAAGAGAAAACTCTTTTTTCTCCATTAAAAATTATTTTAATCGTATACAATTAAAAGTTTTAATTACTGAAACGTTTTGTTTTGATAACATTTCGTGGAAAGCTGCGCATTTTGAAAGAGCAAGAGAGAAATGATTTTAATTTGGACAATTTTATTACTGTCCTCTTGTTTTCATTGCTTTTTCTACTATATATATATACATATATATATGCGGACAATGAATAGAGCATGTGGCATTTTACACCTTTTTGAAAGAGAGAAGGTGAAGAGAAAAGGAGAAATTATTTTCGCCTAGCTGAGTCTCGAGCTCTCGGGGCTTGGCTGGGTGTCGTGCCCACAAGCACAAACATGGGACACGACTACTCTGTGCGAGGTGAACGGGGTCGGGGGTGAGAACCTGGTCTGTGTGCGCTCCTCTGAGTGTGGAATCAATAGGGGGTCACTGGCATCAACAGATACAATTTGAGTACCAAGCAGTACTTTTTATTCATGAAAATATTTTTTCTTTTTATATATACTAATATGTATATATAATCTAATAAAAGGCGTAATTTTTTTTTTTTTTTTTTAATCCAAACCATTATATTAATAACTAGCTTTCAATATAAAATTCTAATTATCTTTTCAATGCGCGTGTATACATATAGTTTTTTTTACCATTCTTTTTTCGTTTATACATTATATTATATATGTAAAGGTAATTCAATTAAATCAAAAACTTGAACTTTTTTTTGAAATTGAAAATAAATGTATAAAGTGCAAACTTATTTTTGCACACCCTTCAGAATATCTATAATTAAGTGCTAATAAAAATTGTACGATGATAAGCTTTTTTACTTTATTATTCCTTGATTATTATATTTTAAAAACTTCATATTCGCAGGATAAAAATATTCTTTTATTTTAAGAATTCAATCTTGCTAAAATGCATTTAATATACAATAATACAATAAAATAGAATAACAGTATAATAATAGAATAATAAAACTAAAGAATATATTTTTATTCAAATTTCGTTTGTTTGTTAAATTTGTTTTAAATAATTTAATAATTTCCTTAAAAGTGCAATTGATTTTACAATAAAGTCAAACAACTTCCATTTAGCGCTATAAACGATTTTATATACCTAGAGGCAAATTTGTAAATTGAAATTTAACAAATACTTTACAATTTGAATTTTTAACTTTAACATTTTATCAAAAAAAAAATCAAAGATAAAATTAATTTAAATTTTTCAACATAAAGTACTTTAATAAAAATTGTTATAATTAATATTAATTATTTATTTAATATCAAATATTTAAATTTTTATTTCAGATTCAATTGAAATTGAAATTTCAGTAATCAAATAAATGGCAATTTAAAAAATTAATTGTAATAAACAAAATAGTAAATAGCGTAAGCATACACTATAAAATCGGTTCAAGTTTATCTATACTTAAGATGTAAAAATTTTTAACTTTTAAAAAATTGCTAGCAATTAACATTAATTGACGTGATAGATATAATAAATATATTTTGAAATAAAGCGAACATTTTCTAAACTACCAAGCCTGTTTTTATGAACGAGCTTATTTTTTTTTTTTTTTTCAACAAAATTCCTCTCTTGTGATAATCAAAATTTCCGTTCATTCTCACACTCCAATATAAATCTTTAGGAAAGTTTTAATTAAAGCACTAAATATAAGGATATGCAAATATTCAGCTTTGTTCTACTTAAGTTAACATGAATTATATGTGAAGCATGCACATTGAATGATTTTAATTAACTTCAAATATTTGACATCGTATCAAATGATAAGAATATAAGTCAAAGATAAGAATAAATCGGTTTTTTTTTTTAATTACATTTCAATATTAAAATTCATTGATATATGAAAAATTATGTGTCTCTGTCACTTATTCCCAGATGTTTGGATTCATCATTCTAATTTTTAACTAAAGCACAAATTCTACAAGTGCTTCTTCAGTTCTTTTTAACAAGCTCTTATAATGTTTTTGACACTCACTTCCGATGTTGAGAGAGAGAAAAAAAAATAAAATAAAAGGAGTACCGACCAGAATTGAAGGTGAGTCGTACTTGTCATGAGCAAGCGAAAAACCCTTCCGTATTTTCGTTCGTGCGCAGTAGCTCTCATGATTTTCGTTAACTTTCTTCACTTCGATCTCGAGAAAAGCTCTGACTACGGGTACATATCAACACCTCTCGTCGCCATTACATTTAAAAATTGAAATTTTCAATTTTTTTTAAATAGGTCACATAAAATCTCTTTCTTTACAACATATTCTCTGATTCAGTGATTTTTCCATTAAAAAAAAAAAATTCTTTTACTTTTTTAAATCACTGCGCTTTTTTGATGCATATATACGCTTTTACATTTGAACGTCATGTTAACCACGTTGTAAGAGAAGAATTTACACCCTTATTAAAATCAGCCCCTATGAATCATCATTCGATTTTCTGAATCATATCAAAAACGAACACATACTATGTGTAAAAATGACGAATCAACTATAGAGAAATTGAGAGGGATCAATGAAAATTGAAAGAATATTTTCAAAAAAAATTAATAAAATAATTAGAAATATTGGATGATAAAAATTATATCTCTAATTGAGATTTATTTAGAAAGAGAAGAAATAGAAATAAAAGTGTCTAATCTGCAGACACAGAGTATCCCCTTATACGACTCAAGGAGGGGAATCGATCCAACACATTAATGTATCCCACGGTATATCGCATTGAAAAGCACTGATGAAAACGTGAAATCATAACGAACATTTTTGTAATAAATAAAAAAAGATATTTAAAATTTTCTTTACCTGTCAGTTTTGAAACTTAAAACATACGCCTGTCACTAGATTTAAGGCACAAAACACCGAATTCAGAGGACTTAAGTGCCTCAATTAACAAGAGGTCCGGACATAAAACACTGTATACGGATCTCGGAGGGTGGCCGGTCACTGTCATGTCAGTGAAAACCAAGGAACAGATGGCGCTGAAAGCTAAGGGTTGTTCGCGACACCCCTAGTGTGGCATAACCCCTCTCATGCCTTCATATATAGCCAATAGGGGAGTTAACGCAAAAGTTCCAATGTGAGGAAAGGGTGGTTACCTAAAAAAAAAAAAAAAATTTTATTTTATTAATTGCATTTAAAAAGAAAAATTAGAAGCATATTTTATATTAGTTATAAAATATTTATTAATTTTGTTCTGTTTTTTCGAAACTGCAGTAGTTTAATACTTAAATTAATACAGTAGTTTCTAAATTAAACTATTATTTATTTTTCACCAATTAGAATAAATAAAATAATAAATAAAATTTCCATTTATTAGGATTTAAAAAGCATATGTATGAATTCATTCTGCATTGAATTTATATAAATAGAAATAATGTTAACATCATTGAAAAATTATTTTTTTTTAGAAATAAACATCTATTCCATAAATGAAACTTTGTTTCTATATTGCTACTTTATTTCGCGAACTGCTTTTGTTTTAGAACCAGTTGTTTTCAAAACATTAATTTTCATTTTCTTTTTATTATCTAATAGACGTCTATTTGTCTGTTTTACGTTATTCATAAGTTAAGTAAATAAAAACCTGCTTTTTTTTATTAGCTTTATAAATTATTGAATGTTTTGTTTAGTAACGGGTAAAATTTTTTGACGTAAATAGAACATTCATTCTCAACGTACATTTTGGAAAATATCAAAATATAGTGAAAATTTAGAGGTTATATAAATATAAACTCAAGTGCCTCGTTTGAATTTATTAAACAAACGAAAAACTGAAAAAAAATAATAGAATTATAAAAGGTTAATTAAACTGAATATAATTTTACAAAGATAAGTTACTTTTCAAGGAAAATTATAAAGAAATGTTTAAGCATTTCGTAGTTGATTCTCTATTTTCGATTTTTTTTTCAATTCTGCAATTTTTTCCACATTTTCTGTAAACTGAATTATACTATTGAATATAGATTTCGTACGTTATTTGTACATTACTTCTCTTATTTATTTCCTTTTTTATATTTTTTTTTTTAAACCTTTATTTTTATTTTTACTGAATACGTTACAAACATTGAACAATTACTATATAGATACGGCAATGGCTACACGCATTTGAAACCTTAAGTCGTATTCATATGTACTAAAATTGAAAATATCAAGAAGGCTAGCTTCCCACCTCTGTTAATATTTGATTTCCTTTCTCTGACAGTTACATATTTATAGCATTTTTGTTGTAAGCAGATTACCATCAGTGGTGGTTTAATTTTAAATAAAAAACAATTTAACAATTTAAAATGGAATTACCAATAACATACTGCTTGTGCGGTCAACCTTTTGATGATGAACAATTTATGATACAATGTGATGTCTGCAGAGATTGGTATCATGGAACGTAAGTTTTTCGTTTTCATGGCATTTGATTGTAATTACAAACCCTAGCTTGTTGACTAAAATAGACAAGGAAAAAGCCCATTATTTATTAAATAGTTTATTTATACTTAAAATAGAACATAGTTTTCTATTTAGTCTTTAATATCGAGCATCAGTTGATTACAAAAAATGAGAAATTTATTAAATGCTTAAAAAAAATAAATTGTTATGCCTTACATAACCTACAAGGAGTATTTTTAATTATACATCAATTTCAATTAAAAATGTAATATTGTCAATGAAATACAATCTGTTTTTAAGTTAAAAACTATTTGCACGATTGAATAGTAACTTTTAAAAGATAAATTTTATATAAATTGAATTCGAAAATATAAATAATAGTATCGAAAATTTTTTTGTTCTATTTATGATTTTAATGCTAATTTTTACCTTTGTGTGAAAATATTTAATTGTAAAAACTATATTTACTTTCAAGGTGTGTTAATGTACGAGAATATATGACAATAGACCTTGACAAATTTCATTGTCCACGATGTGAAGCAACTAGTGGACCATCTATAAGTAAGTACAAATTACAAGATATTTTGAATCTGCGAATACTAAAATTTTTAATTTCCCTCTAGTGAAAACCAGGACAAATTGGCATCGTCATAATTATTTAGAAGTAAATGCTGAAACAAAACCCGTGCAAACTGGAACTCCAGTTTTTATCAGAGAATTAAAATCGAGGCATTTTGCAAAAGCAGATGAAGTTGTAAAATACGTAAGAGGTCAACAATTAACAATACAATATTTACAAAATAATAATTTTGACACGCCTATCATTGTTGATGGAAAAGAAGGTCTGGAAATGATTGTGCCACCGTCCAATTTTAGTGTTTACGATGTCGAGAGTTATATTGGTATGAAAAATTGAAAAAAAAACAAACTTTTTTTCCATTATTTTAATTTAAAAAAATGACTAAAATTTGAAATATTTACTTTAGGCGGAGATCGAGAAATGGATGTTATTGATGTTGCCAGACAAAATAATATACGAATGAAACTAAGAGAATTTGTTGAATATTATAATGCATCTGTTCGTACAAGAATTTTAAATGTTATAAGTCTTGAATTCACAAATACTGGGTATTTAAAAATTATTTATTACATTATTTAAATAATTATTTCATTAGTTAATAATGAATTATATAGATAGAATTTCATAGAGATGAAAAATAAAATTGTAATATTAAAAATTACAGTCTTGCACCATTAGTGGAAGCACCATATATTGCACGTAAACTTGATTGGGTTAATACAGTTTGGCCACGAGATTGGCCCGAGGACAGTGAAATGAAACGTCCAGAAGTACAAAAATATTGCCTAATGGGCGTAAAGGATAGCTTTACAGATTTTCATATTGATTTTGGTGGCACATCTGTATGGTATCATATTTTACGTGGTGAAAAAATATTTTATCTCATCAGACCAACACCCACTAATTTACAATTATATCAACATTGGATGTGTAGTTCAACACAAAGTGAAACTTTTTTCGGTGATCAAGCTGATGCATGTTACAAATGTACTCTAAAACAAGGACAAACAATGTTAATACCAACAGGATGGATTCATGCAGTTTTAACACCAGTTGATTCTCTTGTTTTTGGAGGAAATTTCGTTCATAGTCTTAACATTCCTATGCAAATACAGTTAGTATTTTTTTTTTTTTTTTTAATATTATTACTATTTAAATATATATTTTCGTGTTTATTTCTTACTTTTCTTTTTAGAATTTATGAAATAGAGAAAAAAATGAAAACACCGTATAAATTCCAATATCCTGGTTTTGAGACAGTCAACTGGTTTGCTGCTAAAAAATTATTGAAAGAATTAAAGGAATTGAATCATGAAGGTAAAAAATGTCCTGCCTACTTTTTACAAGGAATTAAGGCTTTATTAAGTATACTCAAACAATGGAATACCGATAAAGATGTAAGTTAAAATTAAAATAATTATTATATATCATGTAAATATTAAATTTTTATAATATTACAGTACAATATGGCAAGTCGCAGTCAAATACCAGCAATTATAAATAGTGTAAAATTACTGAAAGATATCAGTAAAGAAATTCGACATGCAGAACGTTATTTAATATCGTTAAATCCACCGAAACCAGAACGTGAAAGTAAACGAAAAAAGAAAAAACCATTGAATAAAGATTTTGTTGACTTTGAAAGTGCAGATCGCATGAAAAATAGTCCATTCACTGCAACAGTTAATAATGAAGCAAATAAAACTGATACTGTTATTAATGAAACACGAACAAATTGTAGGCCTCCTATAAAAATGACTTTACCTAAACCACTTCCTGCCTTTTCGTTTGTTAAGGAAAATGCAAATTCTCAAGCAAAAACAACTGATATGACATTTACTAAAAAACGGGCATCAAAACCCGGCAAACAAAGTCCAAAAGTTATTAGATTTAAATTAGGTGATAAGGAAATGGTTCGAAGTACAAATGACAATATTAATATTTATGGAAATTTTGCAATAGATAGTACAGTTGAAACGCCTAAGAAATTAACGTGGAAACAAACATCGGTTTATGATTTTCACGATGGTAGTAATGAAAGTGATGTGGAAAAATTCACCATCGACGAAGAGCCAAAGCGAAAGAAAGTTACGAAAACACCACAAAAAAGAGTTAAGCGTTTATGTACACAAGATAATAATATTCCTAATGAAACAATTCCAAAGAATGGCATTGAAGAACTTTTAAAAGCATCCGCTTATACATTGGGAACAACAAGTCAACGATTGGACGTTAAGTATGTATAATTTTTTATTTCATATTTTTGTCTGTATTTTTATAAACAAAATTTGACATTTATTTTCAGTCCTTCTGTGTCCAATTCCTATTTCGAACAACCGGCCGCAACACCAAATATGGGGTAAGAATTTAAAAAAAAAAATTTTTTTTAAAGTGTGTAGTCTTAGTTTTAGTTTGTTGTAATGTTTTATTATCATTATTATTTTATTATGTTTTCTTTGCGAATGGTCAATGCGTCATTTTTTGATGTCTTGATGTCTTAATAATTATAAATTGAAAACGGTTAGTTCTGGCAGGGCATCTCCATCGACGCAGGATGCTATTGCCGGAATGCTGTCAATTAGCGGTCAATGTTATTCTTCAACGTCGAAGAAACCAACGAAAACGCAAAAAGCAATAAAACCGGCTCGAGCAATAATTGACGATGATGATCTTTTACTTGAAAATATTGACAAAGTCCATCAGGACGACGATTTTAGTAAGAATCTTTTTATAAAAAACAAAAAATATTAATTAAAATTCGATAAAAATTTTAATTACGGATTTTCTATTTTCTAGTTTATCCGGCATTAGACGTATCGGATGACGAGGAATTTGTTTTTAAATCAAAAGGCAAAAGAGAGGAGGATGAAGCATGGAATCCAAAAGCAAGAGTTGGACCACTTTTACCAAAAACTAATCGTCCCGCACGTGAAGGTGCTAAAAAAACATCAGTGGAAAAAGGATTGGAAGCCGCAGCTGCTAAACGAGCGAAGCAACCGGTAAATTTCCATATTTTTATGTATTAGAAAAATAGAAGTTCATCCATTTAAATAATTTAAGAATATTAAAAACCTATAAAATTACTGATCACTAAATCACATGGCTTTGAGATTAAATTTTTTTCAAATTCTATCATCAATAATTTCGAGAATATAGATTTTTAATGACTTTAAAATTTGTTAGTATTTTGGAATTACCTGACCTTGAAATAAAATGAGGAAATTATTTTCAAATTAGTCTTATTTATTATTAAAAGAATTTTTTGAAATAAAAAATTTTTCTTTTCTAAAATAACAAACAATATTGATAAATAAACTAATTTTTAAAATTTCTTCAATTCTTGTCTTTTTAATTTATTTAGTCTACGTCGAAAAGAACGTACAATAAAAAGAAGCAAAAAGATATATCTATTGCATCAGCTGCGACAAGTTCTGTAATATCAAGGGAAAGTACACCTAAAGCAAGTACCACTACTTATACTTCAATTTTATCCAGTCCAAATAGACTAAGAGATGTTAAGGCAAAACTTGCTGCTCCCGTTCCAGTTGGTAAGAGAAAAATCAAAATTTATTAAATTGCATATACGTTTAATGAAGGAAAAAAAAATATTAATGATAAACGATTTTCAGAGCGAAAACCGAAAAAGGGTATGAAAACGGCCAAACAGCGTTTGGGAAAAATTTTAAAAATTCATAAAATGATACATTAAAACCATGAGAAACAAATTTTGAATAATTTTCATTTATATTCATAATCACTTTGGTAGTTCCGAACTGCTATATGTAAATAGAGCGAATATTTTTTTAATTTGAAAATATTTTTTTTCAAGAGAATATCTTTTCAAGTACAATATATTTACTTAGGTAGTTTATTGTTTTAATTTTGTATTGTTTAATTTTTTTTTTTTTTTTTTAATGTATAAACGAAACTTCCGAGCACAGTATTCTGAACAAAGTATATAGAAATAATAATACAACGATTGGTTAAGGTTTAAAAACCTTAGACATTTTATATATTCTTTCTAGTTGTAAATATGATAATTCCGAAAGAGAAAAAAAAGTTATGTTGACAATCAACCTCTGAATATATTCCTAAAGGACAAAATCTTTATTTATTTACTGAGGTTCTAAAATAAAATAATTTTCTTAAATTTTTAATTGGTATTTTTACATACCATATACTTATAAAAATTAGGCAATAAATATAGAGTATTTAAAAATTTACATTAAACTTAAAACAAGTAGGAATTTGTTGTCAAACAACAAATTGATAAATATAATATAAATAAAATTTATATAAAAAAAAAAAATGTTATTGACAAGTTTTAACTCTTGCAATAAAATTCAATTTATTTAAAAGTCTGAATATTCGAAATAAATGTAACTACATATAGAGATTGTATAATAATTCGTACAATATACAAAACTGTAGAACAACTTAATGAATAGGCTTAAGAGAGGCTGTATTTGTTTAATCATATACTTTTCTTAAATTTACCTTTCTGAATGCAAAGCGCAGATTGTATATGAAAGGTAAATTATTAACTTTAAAAGGTGTTATAATTATGTATACATATATATATATTCATACAAAAAAGCATTTGTGAATAATATAATCTATTTTTAAAGTCATAAAATTACATATATACTCTATATTAATTTCAATAATATTATTAACAGAATGTATGTTGTTCTATAATTTTATTGCTTCAGTATTGATTGTTGAATTTTTAATACACATAATTATTAACATTAACCTGACAAAATATGCGACCATAAATGCTGTGAAAAAAGACTTTTTTACTATATACCAGGCGGTAAACTAACAATTTTTTAATTTTGACAAAATGCAATTTATTTGTTCTTATATAGTTAATTAATATTAGATATTAAGCATAACTAGCGTAACTCAATCCAACTCATTTATAGTACTTGTATTTCATAAAAGTTATGGGAAAACCTTCGAAATTAAAATATGTTTTTGCACTCACATATTTTAAATGTCAAAAAATTTTTTTTTTTTTTATTCCTGACCTATTTTATTTTTTATGAAATAATTTTTTAATTGTTAAATATAAGAATATATATTTATAAATCAAGTATGAAATATTAACTCATTATTATTTAATTTTCTAAACTTGGTCATTAAAAATACCTTCTTAATGTGTTTATAAATGTGGTGGTAGTAAAACAATTAGTTGAAGCAAGAGTTGAAGGTATCGTAAAGTTACAAAGAGAGCGTTAGTTTAGTGTGTCATGCGCGACTTTACACACGGTTGTCTGCACTGAAAAAGTTCGCGTTTTTTTTTGTATATACAGTAAATTGTTTCATCATTTGTGCAATTCAGTGATTTAAGTTGACATTGCACAAATGTAGTTGAGTTAAGATATGAATTTTTAGTATAAAAAGTATTAATCTCCATTATTAAAGTGCAGTATCATTAAACAATTGCCTATTAAATCAATTTGAGCTGTGAAATTAATAGTAAAATTAATTGTGTTTGTGTTATAAGTGTAGTAAATTAATTGTGCGTGTGTGACTCGAGAATATTTAGGATTTACATTAGAAATCAAAAAATAATTTATTCAACTTACTTGTGACAAAAGTTGTTGCAATTTCTCCAATAATTTACGTCTACAAGGTAAATTGATGTTGATATTAATGATATTTTCTTGTTTTTCATTATAGCAATTGTAATGTTATTTTTTAAACAATTAATTTAGTTGTCATTAAATAAAAAAAAAAAAAAAATTATCAAATGTATGCTTGAAAAAATAACTTATAGATAAATTTTTTCAAACTTTTCGTCAAATTTTACGAAGATAAAACATTTATTATATTTACTTTAATTTATGACTGATCTAATAAACTCTATCTATAAGAATTCCCCAAAATATTCCATGTCATTCTATTTGTTTATCAAACATAACCTTAAAAGTTATCATTTCTGTATAATTGAAGTCATAATAATAAAATTTGTTAAATTAATATCTTATGAAATTGAGCTTGATATAACCTTTTTTTCTATAAACAAAATATAAATTTTTGTTTCTTGTAATTAAAAAAAAATCACTAAACAGTAAATATTAGTAAAAATAATACATTAGCAAATCCTATTGATAAATGCATTTTTTTTTATCTGATCATTGATATGTTCAAAGGGCACCTGATACAATTTTTAATTACTTAATATTTATCTTTTGCGCAGTGAATATTATCTTATTTTGATCTATAAATTTTTAAGTTAAGCAATATTAAATAAATATACGCAGTTCTGTAAATTACTTTCAAAATAAATAATATGGGAATGATTCAAAATTTTAACAATGACAACATTAAAAATAGAGCTTGATTAACAAAATGTAATTTTTGAAAAATTCTTATTGTTATTTATAGAAATGTTTAAATAATTTTTTAATGTTTAAAATGTTACCAAAGGCTTTAATTTAATACTTTTTAACTGGGAATTCTTATAAAATTTGATAATTTATATTTGTTGACAGTTGACAGCTAACTTCAAACTATGTAGTATAAAGAATTGACGATAGAGGGTACAATAGAACCTCCAAAATGTGACACCTCTGCGTTAAGCTTTTTATACAATTTAGTTTGGCAGAAATAAATGTATGGTGTCATATTTTTGTGTTTTGTTGTTAAAAATTTTAAATAATTCTTAATATCCAATATGATTTTAACAGTTTTAATTTTCATTTTAGTGATGCTGGTTGTTTGGCAACGTCGCCTGTGTTACAGCGGGCAACGAATTAATTCGCGTTATCAAAAACATCATCACTGGATAGTTACTCAAAAGTTGGAGAGATATCAACTTTTAGGTAATCGGTAAGTTGTTTTAAATTATATAGACTAAAATTATTTTACATTTAGTAAATATCAATGCGAAATACTTTTTTTTATTACCAATGTGTGATTGCACCATTATGATTCAAGTTACGTTTTAAAGGTATGTTCACATGTAAAAAGAAAATAAGTGTGTGACTATACTAACCCATCTCTGTATGACGTCATGACAGTTACGGTTATTCGTTTCTTTTTTTCGTGCCCTTGAATTTAAAATAATATGTTATTGTGTAGTGTCTTCTTGTTAATAATTATATAAACATTTTACTGTTTTACAAAATTTATCGTGTTTAGTGAAGTTAAAATGTGTTTCAATCTTTTAAACAGATATAATTCGTGATTTGAAATAATTGCATCAGATTGTAATAGTAGGGTTAGAATCGTCAGTGTTATTTGTTTTCATTTGTTTCAACGTTTTATAGAAAAGAATGACATTTAAGTTACTTCAATAATAATTATAAAAACAAGATAATGTAAGTAATCTAAATACTTATTACAATTACTCATTACAATAATTATATATGTATATGTAAATCTAACAATGCCGTGACAGAACTTTGCACTTTCACGGTATAAACAGAGAGCACGTGTTTTAGTTTGATATAGGATATTGAATTATTACAAAATTATTATTATTGCGAAATATAAAACAATTTAAAATTGTTAAATTTGCAAATTTTTTTTTGATTTTCCATAAATGAAGCATGAATACATTTACGTACACGTAATTGTAAATGCATCTAAAAGTGATTTCTATTTTCCATGAAATATCAATTACGTTAATGAGAAATCGATCATGATTTATGATTTCTATTACTACATCCCTTGTGAGTACGTGCTCTCTATATAGTATGAAGGAACAGATATTCTCCTCTGTCGATGACCGTGATCTATTTGATAGAATCTTTTAATCATGGAAAAGTTTTCATTAGTTGAGATTTCAATATACTTTTAAATATTACTTTTGATTATTTATTTTATTATTTAATTATTATATAATTTTAATCAAATGTAAAAGTTGATGTGACCATTGAATGTTACAAGCAATAGAAGTTTCTCAAACACGCCAATGACCTTAATCAATTTTATGAGATCTTTTAATTGTGGAAAAGTTCAAACATTATTATAACAAACTCTCTTTGTGTGACATATTCTCTTTGTTTATTTAAAATAACAAGTAGTTATTTTTAATTTATAATTTTAATTTATAAACTTAGATCAAAGGTAATATTTAAAAGTAATAAAATACAAAAACATAATTAAAATAATAATAAAAACAACTCTAATAAATTATTAATGACAATTTAATTAATTTATAAAATTAAAAGTATAAATAACGCAAGTTATTTCTTAATTACAATGTATATATTATAAATATATTTCAAATAGTCTTAATTGGATTAAATTTTTTATTTATTTGTTACATAATAAAGATTGGAAAATAAAGTAATACAAAGTTATTGACGCGGTAATCAACTGTATAATCATGTCGAATCAGGATCAATCATTCAGTTGATGTACCTATATGTCGTGTTGATTCATGTCTCATCAGTTAGCAACTGACCGGACCGTGCAAAACTTGACTCGTCTATTTAAAAAAAAATTGTTTATTTAATTAAAATTCATTTTTATCAATTTAAAATGTTTTAACAAATAATTGTGGAAATGTTGTATTTTTTATTTAAAAAAAAATATTTAAGTTACATAATTTTTTTTATTGATATTTTAAGAAAGTGTTGTTTAAAAATTGAAATATTTTTAAAGTGAATGTAGTGAATTTGTGAATATATGTAATATTGTCAATTATTTTTTAATAATGCTAAAGTTTAGGATACACTACATGCTGAAAAAATTATTATTTTAAAAGTGCGTATCTCTTTTCTTAATCGTATATAATATATAAAAATTTTAATTTAATTTTGTATAAATTACTGTTTTATAAATAATTTTTAAATTTAATTACTTTCGATTAATTATTAAATTAATTTAATTTAATCAGAAATTTTCTTTTATTTCATAAATTTTTTTTTGATTCATTTTGGTAATACTTTAATCCATTGAAAATTGATATAATATCAATTTCCATTGATATTTATCACCAAAAAAAAAAAAAAAATACTTTTCTTCGTTAAAATTGATAAAATTCTTGAGCCATGAATTGATTGATTGATTTTAAAAATTTATCATTTAAATAACATTATTTGTAATCAGGGAATAATTTTTCTGTCGTTTTTAGAAACGTATTTCCTATCTCGGTCTTTGCATATATAGAGACAAAAATGTATAATAGTGCCTTGATTATGATAACTATATACAAACAAATGAATATCTATTTGATTAATTTCTTTTCAATAATCCAATAATCGTTGAAGGTCCGTTGATGGCTATTATTTTTTGACGTCATTAATATGAACTTGTTGCTATAATTTCTCAGTTTCTATGACGTAAAAAAATTAATCTTTGAACCCATATCATATCCCATTGATGTGTAGCCATTAATCTTTTTTTGGTTCTTTAATTCTTAAAAAAAAAAGTGGCATTATTTTGATGAAAGACAAATTATTTCTTGCAAAAAATATATAAAAGGAATAAATTTTGAGTTTGGAGATTTTAAGTTTGCATTTTTTTTTTAAATTTTTATAGTTTTTAAATAATGAACAATTTTCTTCAGTAATTGGGAAAATTGTTAATGATATATTTATTAAAATATAATAAGACATCAGGAAGAGAAAATTTCATTGATTTATTATTTAAAAAATTTTATCATTAAGAGATAACAGAGTACTATAAAGAAAATTATGTCGATAAAACTGTTTTTTTTCATTGTTTAGTAAGTAAATTGTTCAAAGAAATATGATAAGATGGCAGCACGCGTTTTACTATTTTTTCTTTTTACTAATTTTTCAAAATATTTTTTTTTTTCAAATAAAATCTTTAATTGTTCAAAAATGTTTTCCCGGAAATGTTTAAACTTCTTTAAGAGAGTTTAATAAAGTAGAATATTTTTTAGATCTGAATATTAGTTTGAAATTATTACAAAAATTATTTATTTTATTATTTATTTAATTATTCAATATTTCCACTTTTAATATTTTTTGAATTTTTCTTTAAATTTAATTATTATTATTATTATATATATTCGCGTTGGATAATTAACAGAAAAGTGGGTAATTTTTAAAATATATTTATTGATTCAGGAATAAGTTTATTTGAAAAAAAAAAATACTTATGCATTGAGAAAATTAAAAGAATAATTGTACACTTTAAAATAAATTAAACTTACAATAATAGATAAATATCTTGACATTATTTTACGATATTTCAAAGAAAATATTTATTCATATCAGAGTAAAAAAATACATTTGTTTAAAAATAATTTTTTTTTTGTAATCATTCCTCTTATAAATTTTTGTAATTGGAATTAAAAATCATTGAAAAGATAATGAGACTCGCGACTAAATAAATTTTAGGTAATTGTCTGACAGTGAAAAGAAGAATTAATTTGTCTATCATGAAAAATTTCAATGCGGAACCGGATTTGTTATACATTTATTGATTGATATCTATATATTGAATAATCATCAAGATTTGACTTTCAAGTTTTATGTTAGTTAATTCTTCTTATTATGAAGATATATAATTCCACATATACATATTACATAAAACGTAGCACGTTTTTCTAGTTTTTTTTTTCTTTTTTTTTTTTTTTCTCTAAAATTCTCCAGATTATTATCATTGAAATATCTCATTTTTTTTGTTGTCATTTTAACAATAAATTAATAATTATGTGAAATTTTTGTTTTTATTCTTCATTAGTCGTCAATTATAGTAGAATGTAATGATGTACCAAATGATAGCTTGAATCACAGAAATTTCAAACAATTAAATATAAATGTCCTGGTAAAATTTTCCACTTGTTTATAAAGTCAATAATAGATAAAATTAAAAAAATTGAGAAAATAATAAACTTTTGTCATTGTTTAAAAATAAACTTTATCGAAAATAATTGAATAAATAAAATATTTAAGAAAATAATTAATATATATATATATTTTTTTTTTATTTAGATAAAATAAAATATTAAGGGGAATATTGAAAATAAAATTTTGCAATCACTTTGTTATTTTATGTATAAAAAAAAATAATAACAAGGTGACTTGTCGAATTTAGCTATAATAACGATCACAATTGAAAGGTTAAATATATATAACAATCAGAAAATATGATCATTTCATAATTTAACGAATTTAATATTCGGAAATGGAGTATTATTATTTGAATTAAATTGATGTGTCAAAAAAGATATATATTTTTTTAAACATTAATATTAGACATTAGACTATATATATATATATACTTATACATTAGACAATATGCTTAATAGGAAAGATTGTATCTAAAAATAACAAATTTTTGAAGTGTCATATCAAAGCTAGTGACGAATGAATATGAACCCTCCAATGAGGATGAACCCTCCATACGACCTATTTCCGGCTAAAAATAGCAAATAGAATGATTATTCTCCTGGTCAGTCTTTATAGTCATCATCACCTTGTTGTTGATGATGCGAAAGCATCTTTTAAGGGCCAATGAACGAATGTCTTTTGAAAAATATTTTCACACACATTCACCTTTAACTGTATAAGCGGATTTTTCTAGAATTGCTAAAGATTATTGTTAAATAAATAACTAAACACTTTTTGTCGCATTTATATTTTTATATTTAATTGAAGCGATTTTTTAAAAAATATTTTTTTTTTCAAAAAATCCATTTCAACATCTGGTAGAGGAAAAATAAATTTAATCCTCGGAGTTAAATAAATATTTTTTTTTTGGAGGAAATAAAAATTTTTGTTTAGCATAAATAAAATTTTATTTTACGTAAATAAAATTTTTATTTCAAACAAGATAAAGTAAAATGAGGGGTAGATGAGGAAATTAACAGATTTTAGGTCAAGTTTAGACTAAGGAAATTTTTTTATTTTTTTATTCTCTTTTTAAACAACATTTTTTTTTTAACACCTGTAAAATATATTGTCAATTAAAAGTATCCCAATTTTCATGAAATTTAATTAACTATGTATTTATCAGTTGAAAAAAAGCTATTTTATATAATTATCGTTTCTAAATAAGCTGACACGAAATAATTTATTATGCGGTTACATCAGACCCCTATATTCATCAACCTGCTGTTATAAGTTACGACATATTCTATTTGAAAAGTCGAATTGATGAATAGAAACCGAAGTTTTGTCTCTTTAGTGTCAATGTAAGACACTTGCGAATTACAATCAATTAATTGCTTCCACGCGTAAAACTTATTCAATTTTAACGCAGAAGTGTTAATTTTTTTTTTATTAACAACTTAAGCTTTATTAGTTGATCTTTTTAGTAAAAAAAAAAAATTGTTCAATTTGTTGTGGTTTTAATCGTAAAAGTCAAATTTTATCTCCTATAAAAAGTAATTTTTATAATACATCGTTTTATTCGCTAATAATTGGTTTGTAATTTATTATTTTCTTTTACGATTTATAATTTTTTTATTTACTTAATATTTTTTCCCCTATAAATACCTAATTAAAGAGGCGTGTAAATACAAATTATAATTTAATTTTTTTTTTTGTTAATACAAATTTCGAAATTTATGATTAATTTTTTTTTTGTATTATAATTTTTTGCATAAAAATTATTTAAAATGCATTCTTAAGTATGAAGTCTTTTTTTGTGACCTAAAAATATTTAAGAAAAAAAAAAACGTCGAGTCACATGCTGTAGTTTTAAAAATAGTTTGAAGTGCGTGTTAAAACTCACGCACTCATTTAAATTAAATTACTGCAAAAATTTGATAATGAGCACACATCATCAAAAGAAAATAGTAAACAAAATAAAAATTAAATTTTTTTGAAAATTAATTTGATAAATAAACATCGAAAAAAAAGTGATAGGAGATAATTTTTGTTTATTTTTACAGACATACTTTTTATATATGGGTTCATATCAAAAAAATAATTTATCATACCAAAAAAATGTTAGGTACTTAAAATTACACGAGAATTTTTTTTTTTTTCTATTTCGAAATAATAATGAGAAATATAAACAATTTTTTGTTCCTCTCGTTTTTGAATTAATACATGAAATAAAGAAGTAAGCTATTGGTAAACAATTAATAAAAGAATTTGTAATTTTTTCTTATTTTTTTTTTTTTTTTCTTTTAATGGGCTTAATACATATTTATTGAAACGTAAAGTTTGTTCTAGTTAACAATGTGATTTCAAATTGTGGAAAAACACTTGACATGAAAAGATTAAAAAACGTGCTAGCATTTTGTCACTTAAATAGAAACAAAAGCAAGGTGTATGCGAATGTTTTTTTTTTTATTTGTTGTTATATTTATCAAATTATGCCATCAATAATAATTATATTAAAAAAATATAATTTGTTTTTAATTTTAAAAATGAAATAATATACTTTATATCTTTTACAAAGCTTTTTTTTAAGTATATGTTATAATGTTATTTTTTCTCGTTAAACTAAATATAATTAAATAAGTATTCAGTTGAACGATATATTTAACATTAATTTACTAAGTGAATAGAATTTTTTATTTTTTTATTTACAGGTATTTTAGTATAGATTTTCAAAATTTATTGTATTTATAATTGCGCAAATAATACATGGATTTTTTTTCTTTTGCAAATTTAATGAAGAATTATTTTCTATAAAATTTGCAGGAAAATTATATACAATTAACTGTTTTATTTTTTGAGTCATAAACAGTTTAATACTTTTAAAAAGACGACTCCTTTTGTTGAACTCATAAATATTTTTTATTTTATTATTATTATTATTATTATTATTATTATTATTAATTTGAATTTGCAATATTCAAATTCTTTAATTTCTTTCTTTAATTAAATTTCTGCTTAACAACATTTTTAATGGGGAAAAATTTCGATTTGTTCAAATTTTTATTTTGTTGAAATAATTAGAAAACCAATCATGAATGATAAAATTATCAATTTCCTAAATTAAAAGTTTGAATAAAATAAAAATTAAATAAAATGAAAATTTTTTGTCATTACAAATTAAAAGAGAAAAAATTATTGGAAAATTACTTTATTTAATAGAGATTTTCATATAATATTAAATACACTGTTTTTTTTTTTTTATTGAGACACATATCCAAACAAATTTTATGTGTCTCAATATAACTGAAATATTTTTTATTCCCAAATTTTTTTTTTTTTTTTTTTTTTTTTTGATGAAATTTTCTGCATTCTTGCATTACTCGCGACTAGTTTACACAAATATGTAGCTTGATCTTTCACTTCGCGGCATTAGAGCGATAAGAAGAAAATAAAAGAGTGGTATTTTGTAGGTATGTAGGTGTGTCGATCCGCGGACCAATCAGCGTTCAAAACCAGGTGGGCTCGACAAATCTTGACAATATATTATATCACTTAATAGTATGACGCAAAGCAAAGTCACGAGTCACAGTTAATCAGAAAGTGGGAATAGAGATTTAATGGACTTGTACACACAATGTGTGTAATTCATAAAGGCTATAAAAAATATTTGTTTTTTATATTATTTTCGTGAAGATTATTTAAAAAAAAAAAAAAAAAATTTAGCATCATAAATATATAATATTGACTATATATGTATTATCCTAATATTAATTAATTTTTTTTTTTTTTTTTTTATTTTACCTGTGTTTCTTGATAGTGGGTCTATATCTAACCCCTTCTTATATTCAATTGTAAATTTCCCCACCACAATCTCCCACCAAGTCGAAGCTTCTTCGTAATCATTTGCTATGTGCGAGTTCAGAAGTCAGTTCTCAGTTTAACGCGAAGTACAGTGAGAGAGAGAAGGAAGCGTTATACTCAATCATTAAAGAGAAGAATTGTCGGCATTGCGCCGATTTGTGTGGTTTTTTTTTTTTTTTTTTTTTCATTAAAATAAAAGAGATCCTTATATAATTTGGATCGAGGATATAAGGAATTTACACAAGGTTAGATAGTTTAGATATTAAAAAAAATTTTTTATATATGGGTGGATATGTTATTGATAAACGCACGTGAATCATACAAGTTCAATGTTTGATACGAATTTAATTAGTATCTTCTTTTTTTTTCATATTATCATCAAGGAAAATTCATTAAAAATTCTACATTTTCTGATAACGAAATTACAATGAAAAAAATATTCCTTTTATTCTATTCCATAATTTTGGAAAAAAAAAAAAAAAAAAAATTAGAAGCTTCGGAGAAATTAATAACTTAAATTTCAGAAAGAGGAATTAAAATTATTTTTTAATCATTTATAATAGTTTCCTTGCAATTTATAATTACCAAATATAACAATGATCTGAGATATCGTGCATCAGCTTTATTTACACTGATTATCTTGATATTATCTACATTTATCATTGTCATATTCGTTATATCAAGTCACGCAATTCTTTGAAAATTTTTGTTTTTTGTATTGCCGCCATTTGGAAATTTTTTTTTTTTTTTTTTTAAGGTTTCTTATTGTTCTAGCCGCACCTTTTGCCGGTTTGTTATTGGACAATGATCGGAAACTATCAACTATCAAACATTCGAATTGTGAATTACGAATAAATATATAGGTATATATTTTATTTTGTTCCATTATATATTTTATAAATATATATATATATATATATGTAATGTTTGCCTGTATATGCTTGATGGCACCTACAAGGCTGACAAAAATTCTACACTATTTTTAAGCGTATTATTGCGTCAAAAGTATATTCTCTCATTGAAAGCCACGAATAGAACTTCTCATCTTCAAAGTCGTCAGTCTCCTCTAAAATCATTGCGAATGTCACTATAATCGAGTTATTATCTTGAATAAATTGTCATTTATTTTTGCGACTAAAAATCCCCCTTAATATGACACTATTATGTGATTATTTCGAGTGATAACGAATTTATCATGTCAATTATTATTTACTGACACGCTGGCGCGCTTAAAAATAATGAAAAAGTCATGAATGGTATGTTTGCAATTAAATTGGAGTTGAGCCAAAAATTTATATATATATATATATTTTTTGTGAATTGTTTTATTTCCATTTAACAAAATTAACACTATATGGGAAATTAATTTATTTTTATACACAAAATTTGTGATTAAATTTTAATGATAAAAAAAATTTTTTCCTCTTCAATTAAATCAGAAGAGAAAATATATATTTATTGTTTTTTTGAACACTGGAGTTTGAACTCTTTTTATTTGTCATTATGTGATTTATAATTTCAAAAATGTCATTATTACTTTAAAATTGCAATAGAAAAAAAATTGAGATAACGTGTTCAATTGTGTCATAAAGGGAGATTTAAAAGAAAAAAAAAAGAATTTTTTAAAAAAAGGGAAAGAAAAAACAATTATTTACTAAAACAAATCACTTTTCGAAAAAAAAGTGATTTAAAATAGTTCTTTATTGAAAAAAAAAAAACTGATGAAAGTAGTAGGATTTGTGAAAAATAATTTATTATATTATGTAAATTGAAAAAAAGAAAAGATGAGAAATATATTTCTTTTCGTTAAAATCTGTGATTAAAAATGCCAACTCATTTTTTCATTGTGGTAAATTAATTATTGATATAATGATTCATCAGAAATAATAAAAATTACCCAAATTTGTATTTTTACAATATAACAGTCATTATCAGAAAATTTACACAATTAAATTCCTTCTCAATTATAATTGTAATTTGTCTTAATGACAAATTTTTTATCTCACCAGAAGTATTTTTTTTTTTTATCTCGATTATATAGCATATAAATTACTCAAGTTTGATACCTTCTGAAATTTTTTTTTTTTTCTTATTTTTTCATTATAACAAATAAAACAAATAGAAAATCAGTATAAAAATAATATTTTTGAATTCCATAAAATTATAATAAAAAAAATTTATTTTGAAAATTTTTTCCTATATTTCGAAAATAAATTTTAGAAAATAGAAAATCAGTATAAAAATAATATTTTTAAATTCCATAAAATTATAAGAAAAAAATTTCTTTTGAAAATTTTTTCCTATATTTCGAAAATAAATTTTAGAAAATAGAAAATGAGTATAAAAATAATATTTTTGAATTCCATAAAATTATAACAAAAAAAATTTCTTTTGAAAATTTTTTCCTATATTTCGAAAATAAATTTTAGAAAATAGAAAATGAGTATAAAAATAATATTTTTGAATTCCATAAAATTATAACAAAAAAAATTTCTTTTGAAAATTTTTTCCTATATTTCGAAAATAAATTTTTAGCACATGTTTCTAAACCGCATGTGATTGAAAAGAACAAAACTGTGAAGGTAAAATTGCAGTTGAATTATAATGTTCATTTTATGATCATAACACACCATTCGGCGATATGTTTAACATATATATATATATAGAAGAACTGCGCAACGTTTCAATCGTCCAGTCATCTCCCACTACTCAAATAGTTTCTGAAGTTGCATGTAATACACAATTTTAAAAGTGCTCTCGCAGATATAGGTACTCTCGAAGCTTTTACTTTTTGTTGCTCGAGTAAAATTTTAAAAATTCCACAAGAGTGAGAAAATAAAAAAAAAAGAGAGAAAAAGTGTTATAATAAAAGAATACTCGAATATTGTTATACAAAATGACGTGCAAATGAAAATATTTGGATTGCCGACCGAGAAAATGAAAATATTAACAAAAAAAAATAAATTTTTCCTCATCGTTCATGAAAATTTTTTTCATTATTCAGAAATACGATGTATTTCATAAAATATGTGAAATTTTTTACTTAAGTTAGTGAATTTTCAAAAAAACGTGAGTAGCTATTAAAAATGTATTTCATTAATTTTTTTTTTTAATTTTTTTATTCTCATTTTTACAAAAGAAAAAAAATCATATAACGGTTTGGTTTTTTTTTTTTTGTAATGTAGAATAAAACGGAAAGTAGATTATAAAAAATGATTGCTTCTCTCTCTCTCTCTTTCCAATTTTGCTAAAAGAAGAAATAATTCTTTTCTGTCTTAATGTAGACGATATTTGAATTGCTTTGAAAGTATACAATACATTTTTCAAGGCTGATGAAACAGGAAGACGTTAAATCATTCAAGGTGTTGTCGGTAAATCGACCGACAAACAACTAACAACATCATGAAGTACATTGAGGCGACATACTTATTTAACAATTAGAGATTTCATTAATATATCCGAAAGTTCTAACTAGCGAAAAATGTTTTTTTTTTACATCATTAACCGGTTCAAAATATAAAATTCGACATATTAAATAAATTTTCACAAAATTGGTAGAAGAATATTTTCCATAAGTATAACGAAAAAAAAAACGATTTATATACATCGTTTACATTATCATTTGTAAGAGTTATTAAAAAAAAATATACGTTTTATAGATTGTTTTCCAGTATTTAATAAGTTAATTTAAAAAAAAAATTATTACGTAGTTATTATTAAGTTGTTACCGTTTTTTTATGTTCAATACTCAATAATTGAAAAAATATAAATTTAAATCTTACGATAAGATGACGGTATCTCTAATCAAATTACTGTTAATCTGTTTGTAAATAAAATTAAATTGAGGATAAAAATTTATGAAAAATTACATATTAAGACTAGTCTTAAAATTTAATGATAACAATTTTTATTGTTGGATAAATAATCTCCATATAATTAATTACATATCCGACAGTTGAAATTAAAAAAAAAAAAAAAAAAAAATTCTATTTTCTGTTTCAGGAAAGATGTGGCCTTGTTTTTGGAGTTAAAGCCTTCCCGTAGGCTTGGCAAGACTGAGGGTCCGCATTTCAAACCAATTGGCAAAAAGTAAGGATTCACATCCTCAAAAATTTGTCCGCAAAATTACATTAAATTCACCAAATTGGAAACAGAAACTTAATAAAAAAAGACAAAAAAAAAAGAAAAAAAAATAAGGGGGAGGGGTAAAAAAGCGTAGTGCGAAAGTGCGAAAACAAAAAAGTGATTGAAGATTTAAAAAATCAGTAGATAAAGAAAAAAAGAAAATTTAATAATAAAAATCGCGACTTTTATTCATATTAAAAAAAATAAACAAAACTTTCTTGCATCTCATTTAACTGATAAAACAATTAGAATTATATCGTTAATTAATTGAAATTTTTATTCGCGAGTTTTTTCTATTCTAAAAAAAAAAAAAATAAAAATGACGTTAAACTCTCGAGGATTTGTGACATTACTGGTGCAAATCACAATTGGCATTCTGACGATCCTACAAATTCTCTTCGTTACTGCAGGCCAGGATACAAATTCAGAGAAACCACTTCCGTGTCCAAGGTAAGTGCTTCACGAGAAAAAAAAAAAAAAAAACATGTCTGATAAATTTTTTATTTGGAAAAAAAATTTTTTTTTTTTTTTTTAATTTTTATTTTCCACAGAAAAAGGAGTTTAAATGTATTTATTTATTGTTATTTCAAAATTTCTCTTTTTATAATTTATTTTACTTATATGTAAAAAATTTGGGCTTTGTTTTTTTTTTGTAATATTTAGTTTAGATTCAACAAGGGGATAAATTTTTTAATTTTGAGTGAAAATTTTAGAAAATAAGTTAATTTTACTGGAGTGACCTTAATATTGAACTTAGAAACGATGAAACAGAGTATAATGTGAGAGGGTTTTAAATTAACGTGTTCCGCAAGTACGATGCACATGACCTTAACACTGAATGTCCACGTGCTTCGCGCCAATGAACGCATCTTCATCATCGTCGTCGTCGTCGCGCCTGTATTGATGACGATGACGATATTGTCGATGTTGATTTTTATGCCAATGACAATTTCTATGTTGTTGGCCTATGATAATAACAATGCTGCGAGGTAAAGCCTTGTCCAAATTCAAAAAAAAAAGTACAATTAAAATTTTTTTTTTTAAATAAATTTTTTCATTTAAAAAATTATTTTACAAATTATTTTGTCATAAAAAACTTTTTTTTTTCCTCTTAATAATTAGCGATATAATTTTTGTAAAAAATTTTTTCAAAATTAATGATTAATGATAATTATCATTAAATAAAAATGTATATATTTTTTGAATTATTATATTATCAAAATGTTTGTTTTAATATATACCTAATTTTGTGGTTAATGGAGATTTAGAGAAATAAATTTAAAATTAATTGCAGTGTTAAAAAATTGTAAAAATGAAAAAAAAAATTTTTTTGTTAATTTTTAATTAGATTTTGAATTTAATTTTGATATAGAGTTAAATGTGATTTAGAGGAAGATTTTGGTCGAAGCTTTCGCACTGCGTTACTCTGGCTTTCATCCAAACATATAAACTAATGTCCCCGTTTAATGTGGCCTCTTTCTTTATGATGTAATAAAAGGGTTGCAAATGTTAATTTATCGTTTTGAACTCTCATCACAGTGCATAAGAGAATTCAAAATGATGAAAATATGAGAATTTAGACATTTGCTTTTCAAAAATTGAATTTATTTATTTAATTAAATAATGATGTCTAATTTCTCATAATTTAAATGTTCAACATATCAGCACAACTAGACATCAGGGCGTATCCGGAAGATTTAAAAAAAAAAAAAAAAAAAAAAAACGTTAAGGTCTTCCAGTTTATGTATAGAAATGGAAAGTGGATGGAATATATTATACGAGGTCGTAGATCAGTGACGATTATTTACTGATAAGATTATTAATTCTTAATTTTCCAAATTTTAATTTTTTTTTTGAATTTGTTTATTATTATTTATGAATTAAAATTATTTTATTTTCTATACTAATTATTTATAGGTACAAGCTATTTATTAATAGGAAAATAAGATTATTAATTTTTTTTTAATAGAATATTTTTTTCAAATAAAAATAAAAACCAAAAAAAAAAAATATTATACCTTACAGTGAAATATACTGCCATGGAGATTTATTGCATACTGTACAAATGGCCAAGATTTTCAAAGATTCGAAGACTTTTGTTGATATGAAAATGAAATATTCACCAAATAAAACGATGTCATTGTTTCGTGAATTAATGAGTGATACCGAAAATAATCCAACATCAATTCAAGTTGAGGAATTTCTTAATAGAACTTTTGATCCAGCTGGATCGGAATTTAAAACATGGGATCCCGTCGATTGGAAGGAGGAGCCAATGTTTCTTGAAAATATACGTGATAAAAGTTTGAAAAAATTTGCCAAAGATTTAAATTATATTTGGAAATTACTTGGTCGACAAATGAAGGATGAAGTTAAAATGAATCAAGAGCAATATTCAATTATTTATGTACCAAATCCAGTTATTGTTCCTGGTGGACGTTTTCGTGAATTTTATTATTGGGATTCATATTGGATAGTTAAAGGTCTTTTATTATCGGAAATGAAAGAAACTGTTAGAGGAATGCTCTCAAATTTTGTATCAATTGTTGAAAGAATTGGATTTATACCAAATGGTGGAAGAATATATTATACACAAAGATCACAACCACCAATGCTTATTCCAATGGTTAATGAATATTTAAAAGTCACCAACGACAGTAAATGGTTGGAAGAAAATCTTTGGCTATTGGAGAAAGAATTCGATTTTTGGATGACTAGACGAACGGTTCAAGTTAAAAAAGATGGTGTTACTTATACTCTTGCCAGATATTATGAGGATTCCATAGGTCCTCGACCCGAATCTTATAGGTACAAATAATTTTTTTTGTCGACGAATTTAAATTATAATTTAAAAAAAAAAGATAAAATATAATTATTTTGTTTTCTTTCATATATAGAGAGGACTATTTGACGAGTCAAATTTTCCGAACAACCGAAGAGAAAAATAATTATTACGCGGAACTGAAAACAGCTGCAGAAAGTGGATGGGATTTTTCCAGTCGTTGGTTTATACTTGAGGGTACAAATAAAGGTAAATTTTATTTCGGCCATTAATTTATTACTATTATAATTTTTTTGTTTTCTAAAAAGTAGAAAAAAAAAACTTTTCCTGTTTTAAAAAAATGACCTTAATTTTATGGCACTGACAATAATTGAAATAAAAAAAATTAGCAATTTACAGAAACGCAGAATTTAGTGTCATAAAAATTATCAACAATAATTCTAAGAATCTCTCAAGTTGATTACAAGGAACAAGGAAGACAAAATTTAATAGACAAACAATTTAATAAAAAATTATAGAATATAATATGAAAATTATATTTATTTTTTTTCTTTCAATAAAAAAAAATAATAATAATTCTATTGAAAGTAAATAAATAAATATAATTTTGTCTGAGAAAAAAAATTGTATTTCAGGTAACTTGACGAATTCAAAGGCAAGAAGCATAATTCCCGTTGACCTTAATTCAATAATATATTTAAACGCACAATTGTTGGCGGATTTTAATCGAATGGTTGGCAATCAGACAAAAAGTGATTATTATATGAAAAAGGCAGATGAATGGAGAGATGCTGTGACGGCGGTATTATGGCACAATGAAGTAGGTACATGGTTAGATTATGATATAATTAATGAAGATAAAAGAGATTATTTTTATCCAACGAATGTACTTCCATTATGGACACATTGTTATGATGTTGATAAAAAAAGTGATTATGTATCGAAAGTATTGAAATATCTTGAAAAACAACAAATAATGCTCAATCTTGGTGGTATACCAACAACATTGGAACATTCCGGTGAACAATGGGATTATCCAAATGCATGGCCTCCACTTCAATATTTTGTAATCATGTCACTTGATAGAACGTCCGATCCTTGGGCGTTAAGGTTGGCCTACGAATTAAGTCAACGATGGGTGCGCAGCAATTACAAAGCATTCAATGAAACTAATGTCATGTTCGAAAAGGTGAGCTCTAAATTATTCTGATTTTAATTATAAATAGCAAAAATTATAAATCTTGTTTTATTATTATTATTATTGAAATTATTAAATTAAATGTAAATATAATCAAATTGTAATTTAATTTTTCAAATTGATTTATTGAAATTAAAAATACAAAATTTGATGATTGGAATAAAAAAATATGAAATTTCGAAGTGAGAGTGGAATTTCTTTCCAGTATGACGCTACAGTATCAGGTGGATATGGTGGTGGCGGGGAATATGAGGTTCAATTTGGATTCGGTTGGTCGAATGGAATTATTATGGACTTGATAAATAAATACGGTAACCAGCTTACGGCAGAAGATCATTTCTTACAAAAGGAAAATCCACCTGAATCACAGGTAGCTGTCTCAACAGCTGGACAACTTATGACTGGTATTTTGGCTATCATGATATCAGTAGCTGCAGGATTTATAGGGTGAGGTGAGTATCTCAATCAAATAGATAAATTTATTTTATTTATACAATTAAAACTTGTATTATGCAATAAATCATTTTTAATTATAAAATTTTTTAGTTCTAATAGATTTTAATGATTTATATAATATAATTATAAATAAAATTAACTTCAGAATATTAAAATATCAAAATTTTTAAAAGAAATTTCAAATAATAAATACATTTTAATAATAAAATTGAATTATTTTTCTGTTTCAGATATTCGTCAGATCTAAGTCAGATATAAAAAAAAAAAGTTTTACGGAAAAGTATTATTGAGAGAAGAAAACATTGATATTTTAGAGTATACGCTGATGATTTTTGATGATTGATGATTGCTTGCTAAGTAGAAAACTAATGATGACGTAGTCTAGAGATATATAAAAAAAATAATCTCAAAGGCTGATAATTGAGTAACACAAGAAATTCCACAAAAATATTGTTTATTTTTTTTTATTTTATTTTTATTTGTCTTTTTTGTTCGTTTGATTTTATGTGAGTGTTTTTTTTTGTGCTTTTGAGCTTTTATTAACTTTTTTTTCTTTTTTTTTTTTTTATTTTTAGACTCAAATTTGGAAACAATGTGCTGGCCACTACGTTTTCAAGAATATTATTTTCTAAAGAAAATTTAGACACATAGAAATTGACACATTTTTGGACATTTTTGCATATAAAATTTATGCATACAAAATTTATGGAAAGAAAATTTATACAAATTAATGCACAAAATAGATAGATGAAAAAAATTTGGTGCATATAAAAAAAAAAAAATTTAACACTTGCTGGCAGGTGATAACTAATTTTACGTAAATATTGTGTACATATTTATATATACATATAGAGAAAATTTTATTAGTAAATTATTGTTTAATGTGGAATACAAAAGTACATTCCTCAAGATAATTTTATGAGACAGAATTTAACGCAGTGAGAATATTCTTAATGATTCGTATAAGAATAAATTAATCTCATTGTTTTAAATTCTTGGACATTATATTTAGATACTATTTTTATATAAGAATTATCGGAATGCTTGATTTTTTTTGCAATTAAGAATTTTATGAAAGTTAATCTTAATGAAGTTATTTCAGTTTATATTGACTTTGAATTATTGACGAGATTATTGCTATTTTATAAAGTATCGTTAAAATTCAGACTTATCAAAAATAAGGAAGATGGAATTTTTTTTCTCATTAATTTTGAAAATACGAAGGTATTTTATTATAAATATCGCTGGTCGATTATTAATACAAATTTAACCTGATCAATATTGTTCCTTAGTTCAAATTAATGTATTAACTTACCTATTTTAATTTTTTGTGTTTTTATTAATTTGCTTTTCGTATTTTTCCAATAGATATAACATATTTCACTGATAATTTGCTTTTTACACACAAAATGTATTTAATAAAAATAGTCAAATTTCGATTAGAAATAGATTAACTTAAATGAAAAATAGTATTTCGCGCGAAATCTTAAATTTTTGTTAATTCTATAAGTAAAAATTAATTTTATTTAATTGAAAAATAGCGTAAATATATTTAATGACGTATTAACTCAAATTCTTAGAATAGTTAAAGTAAATTGAAAAATTAATATATACGTAAATATTGTTATTATTATTATAGAAGAATGTGAAAAAAGCGAATTGTCAGAGTATTAAAATTGAATTTCTCTACGATTTAAAAGAAAGTGATAAGCCATGTAAATAATATAAAATATTTAAGGAAGAGAACAAAAAGTAGATATTTCTAGTCAGACAAACGAGTGACGTTATAACTTATTGTTGTAATTTGTGACGGAGTTCTTGATTATTGTGAGTTGCTATTACTTTAGTACAGCGTATCAAGTATTTAATCCGAGAATTTTTACATTACAGTATGAAAATATTAATCATCTTCACAAAGAGTTTAAAAAAAAAAAAAAAAAAAAAGTGAAGAGAAAATTATTACTTTCTGATATACTTATTCTGATGATCGAAGATGATCAAAATGAGTTACTGAATGTAATGTAAAGAAAAGTATAATTCTAAGACGAAGCGTATTTTTTGTGAAATCAAATTAGCTTCCATAGAATTAATGTTGAAAAGAAATAATTTTGTTTTGTATAAATAATCAAAGAACGTGATACAAATATTTTATTAAGTTGTGTTTTACTGTTAATTTTTACTTTTTTTGAAATATTTTAAATCTTGTTATATTTGAAATTAAATACTATAAAGAGTTATTAAATTATCTACAATTTTAAAATTGTCACTAGCTTTATATCCAATGTTATATAAGAGTATATATATATAAATGAGTATTTTACGAAACTATCGTTACTATAATAAAAACACTTTTTTAATGCTATAATCTGCTGAAGATTTTATTAAATATACAAAAGTAATTCGCACATGAATTAATAACGAAATTTGTCACGAAAGATTATTTTAAAATTTTTCAAATGCAAAAAAAAATTCATATTTTTTGAAATAGATTTTATAACTTTCAATTTTTTTTTGACACTTAATAAATTATCAGAAATTATTCTGCATGGAAAGTTAAAAATTATACTAATAAGTTTAAAAACTGATGCATGTATCCTATACAATATTAAACTGTTGTTCTTTCAAAGTAGATATTATACTTCCTAAACAGTAGTTTACTAACTCAATTGTTGACTATCTGATAAACTAATCGTGAAAAAATAATCTAAAACAAGTTTATATAATAAAGTTAATATAAAAACAAATTCCTACCAATAGAACCAGCACTTTCCTTTTTAATCCATATATATATATAACTCCTAATTTTTTTTTTCTGTGCATGTTATAATGTAGATTTGAATAATCTTGAATTTTTCTGGTATTGATTTTCCTTACTGGTTTGAAAATAAATTAGTGTCTAGATCAATTGAGCAGATTAGATAAAAATTAATATTAAAAATTTTAATATTTTGAAAAAAAAGTTTATCTTTTTTATAATTAAGAAATTAACTTATACAAGGAATATAAAAAGTAAGAAATTTTTAAACAATTTTTTTTATAAATAAATATTATTTACTCGTTTTTTTATTTACGATTATTATCAAAATTTAAATTTTCGCTCTTAATCATATTTAATTAAATGAATGAGCCAAAGTAACAAAAATGTTGAAATTTTAATTGCTTTGATATTATCATTATTTTTTTTTTCTAGAATCTAAATCTCAGTTATCTAATTTAAAAATATAACTAAAATTTTAATTTTGACGACAATTGTTATAACGTAAGTATATTAGAAAATGAAAAAGAATCTTAGATGAAAATTATTCAATTTGAATTTAATTACGCGTTACTTCGTTATACATTAAAAAAAAAAAAAAAAAAAATGAAAAAAAAGAAATATGTCTGCATTTCTGCGCAGACTGATGATAAATTTATTCTTTGAGTATTTCACTTTTTGCAAGATACCGTAGACAACGTCACAGTCTCTTCAAGGACTAACTCATTGGGACGTGAGACTATTAAGTTCAATAAGTCCATTCTTCTTGAGATTGCTTGTTCCTGCATTAATTAGGGAATTCCTGAGAGTTAGGAAAATCAAATTCATGATGAATAATAAATGTACACAATATATACAATTTAAATGTGAAATATTTTATTATATAACTATTTTTAATTTATGTAATAAATTTAATGATTTTATAAATTGAAAATAAGATATACATTTCAATAATTTTTGTCTGAATTAGAAATTTGAACTTTTTATTATTAAAATAATTATCGATATTGATTCAAGACAATTTAACGTTTTTTTTTGAAATTTAGCACAATGGAAAAAATTACATAATAATACTTGTTATTTTTTTCGAAAAAATGAATTGAAAATAAATAATTAAGCAAATTTTTTGAAGTAAATAGTTTTCTCTTATTTAATTTTTCATTGATCTTTTGCTTAATCAATCTTTTAAAGATACAAAGAATCTAATTTTATTTTCTGTATTCTTTTTCTTTAATTTTTTAAAAAAATTTTTTTGTTTAAAAAAAACGCCAGCATTGTGTTAATATAAATTTATATTAAAGATAAGTCATTAATTTAGAATGAAGATAGCAGAGCGAGGGAAAGAGAGAGATTCTGTAAATGTTGTAGATTTTTAAAAATTTTCCCATTTACCTGATTTATTTGTGAGAATTTCTCTCAGCTTAAAGAGTGAATGTTTTCTTCTCATTTTTATAAATCTCAAATTATTATCATCAATTTTTTTATTTATTGAATGCACATTAATTAAAAAAAAAATTTTAATTAATTTAAAATTAAAAATATTTAATAAGTGTCCTTGTTGATACAAAAAAAAAAATGTAATTAACTTACATTATAGGATAAAGTTATATTTCAAAACTGATAGATATTTTTTTTTACAGGATGGTGGTGTACAAAAGACGTCAGTATCTCTCGCTCGAACCAGCTACCACTTACGACAAAAGACAATTTGGAGATGCTGGTAATATATATAGGAAAAAAATCGCATACACGGAACTCAGAGACATGAGCAACGATTGACAATGAGTCGAATTATAGGTGTACACAAATTTATAATACTCTTTTTTTTTTTGCATAATTTAAGTAGCTGTAAAATATGGACAAAAACGTCATTAGCTGAGACTTTTTCTAAATTGGAAAAAATTTTTTTTAAATATCTTTTCTACTATTGATGAAATCAATTTGCAATTATTACATAAACCTATTATATACGATTATAAATTTGATATGACAAATTGTATATATATATATAAATTTTTTAATCAAGAAAACCAGCTAATGGCCAGAGTAACGTCATTCATTTTTTTTTTTAATCAAATTAATTATCAAATAACATATATATTAATTTTTATGAATCGTAATTTTTGGTGATTTTATATATTATTGAATTATAATTACAGATTTATTTTTAAAACTGTAATTGTATATAATTGCAAATTTAGTGATAAATGAAATTATAGAGTATTGATTTTAAAAATTGCAATATTATTGTAATTTGTATATTAGATATATTATAAATTAGCTATTTGCCCCACAATGTTTGTCAATTCTTTTTGACGTTAGTTTAATTTATTTAAATTGTTATTTGCATGTCCAATATAATGACCAATAAGTTCTCGTCAATATTTATTTGTTCTTTCGAGAAAAATATGCCAAATAGTGTTAATTTTTTAGCGCAAAACATTTTTGAACATTTGGAAAAATTTTCTTTAGATCAAAGAATTTTGATTTAAAAAAAAAGAACTATCTTGCGTCACAAATTTTCTTTTTCTAAAAAAGAACAAAATGAGAACTTGTGGTACTTGTGATTTAGATACTTTTTTTTATAGAATTATTTTAAATGTGCAAATAGCTAATATTTGATAAAAATTCTGTTTTCATGATATATCGTAGCGATGCAGGATTTTAAGTATTTTTCATGCGATCTTTAGTTAATAATGGCCAATGTGAAAAATGTGTATATATGAGTAACGAATTAATTATATTAATAGTGAGGATCATGCTTAAGAATATACATTTTTACGTACAACAACTTTCACTGATGAAAATTTGAAAAAAAGATAAATCTTTCTTTCATGTATCTCATCTCTTGTCTCTCAAAAGACAAGGAAACTGAGAGAAAAAAATCTCCTACTGTTATAAATATCATTTCAGTTGAAAAAGAATAAAATAAAATCTAGGATTATTAGAAATTTTTTTTTTCCCCTTTTATTAAAGTAGAAACAGGAAAAGAAGAAACAAATTTCTTACCGAATAGATTTGTTACCGTTAGTTGAGGTTGTAAAAATTAAAAAAAAAAATTTATCGCTCATTTTAGTGAGAATTTTTTTTTTTTTAACAATTTTATAAAATTTTAATTGAATTTATCTATAGCAGTTGGAAGTTTTATTCTCTGTGGAAGTAAAGACAAAGGAATTCGTGCTGTGCACGATATTTCGCGAATTATTATAATTATAGAAACTTTAAAGTCTGCTGGTCCGACCACTATATTATTGTATTTCTATTATAGCTAGAAGAAAATGCATTATGTTATGTGACAGACAACAAAACTTCGTATTAGTCATTGTGACATAATTATTTGCATATAAAAATATGTTCATAAGGGATGAAAGCAATTTGTACCGACTGTGGACATTTATAAAAAACATATTCTCATATTTTAAATATTACACTGTGAGAAAAAGACTTCGTTAAATCCAGCGATCATAATTGTTAGAAATTTTCTTCAATTAAATACATTTTATTATCTAAAGTCATTTCTATTAGAATTTCAAATTTATTTTTAATAAACAATAAAAATTAAATTAAAAAAAAAAAAAAACAATTTCTATTAAAATTAACTTAAAGATAAACCTATTTTTATAAACACTTTGTATTTAAAATATAATTATAGCAACAATAAAAGTAATAATGAAAATATTTTTTATGGAAATGACTTCATAATTAAGAATGTAATTAAGATTATTTCAACAATATAACACTGAATACGTCCAAATAAATATTTTTTTCACTTCAATTTTTCTGTTTAAAGAAAGTTTTAATTAAATTAATTATGATGAAGTGAAATATTTTTCTCACTGTGATATGAAAATGTCCACTAATGGTTTGGTCACAAAACGATTTTTTTTTATCCTAAGCCTTATTGCGCAAAAATACGGAAAGAAACTAGAGATAATATAAATATATTTATTGTTGCGCAAAAAAAAGGATATAACTGTGAATTACTTTTATATAACTTCGAAATTTTTAGAATAATTGTAAAAAGTTAGAGAAACAAAATAATGATTTTTTCAATGAGCATAACAAATTATTGCATGCATTTGCGTCAAAAGAAAAAAAAGCCTTTTTTTGAGACTTTTTTTTTAAATAGGCTGAAAAATAAACTTGTTTCTTATATAAGTAATTTTGAAAATTTTTAAATTCAAAATTTAAACAAGTGTTGAGAAAAATCGCATTTCAACAAATAGTTTAAATTTTGATTCGATAAATTGTACATATTATATATATAACTTGAATTATTATATCTCTTTTAAATGAAAAATTATTATATAATAAATAAAATATAGGCAATTTAGGCTGAATAAACTTGTATGTATATTTAAATTTATAGACGATTTGTTAAAGTTTATTTTTTTTGTATAAACAAATTAACTATTTTGTACACTGAAGAAAATGTCTTTGAATCTATTATTATTACTATTATTGCTTCTGAATAAATGCGGCAAAGGATTCTATAACGATCCTGTAAAAAAATTTTTTTTTTTTTGAGTGTATAGAGTATTTTACAAATAATATGAACTCATAATGAATACTTTTAAGAAATTCCTTTATAATTGTATTTAAACTAAATAAATTACACATGTCATGTTCTACAATTTTTCAACTCTATAAATCGTTATTATGTATATTTTAATTAAGAATAAAACTTTTAATTTTATGGTTAAATTGTTTTAAAAGAATTTTTTAAAAGAGCAAAATAATGCTCATTTTATTGTTGTACTTGTTTTAACACGAAAATATTTCTATTAAAGTTTATTATAGTCTATAAAAAAAAATTATATAATTCCATAATAGATAATGATCACAAAAATTTGATTTATTGTACAAGCAGATTTAATAACAAGACGCATTTTTTTTAATCGCACTTAACTTATTTACTATTTACAATTGAACATAGTCTTAAAATTTCACAATTTCTAGAAATATTATTGCTTCCTGTAAGTATATTTTATTTTTACAAAAATCGAATTTATTTTTGTTGTAAAAGGCAACTTTTTGATGCTACAACTTGGCAGCGGTTTTTTTTTTTTTTCATTTAATTGTGAATGTAGGCAACTATATAGAGACTATTCGCGCAATATCAATCATCACAATTCTATTGTATAACTATTTCAAACAATAGAAGTGACACTGAATACAAAAATTCAAATTCAATAAATATCATATTACATTTCAAAAAAAAATGTAGAGCTTAATCAACATTATTATCTAGATTATTTGAATCAGTTTTCGTTTAATTGTGCTTTTTCTTGTAAGAGCTTTGTTATTTACTATTTCACAGTCATTCGCTTATTATCCAACACTTTTTTTTTAATATATATATACGCTATTGAAGAAGCACTTTTTATAGGCACATTAAACTTTCTACATACAGTTAATAATATATATCAACACAAATTCATTTCTCTGTATATTCACACATTCAGTTCCACGACAGCGGATATCAATATTGCAGCCAGTCATAACTTAAATTATATATATATGTATTAAATCAAGCTACATTTAAACAGGTTTCACAGATTTTCAAAAAAGGGTAAAAAATTCATAAAATTTTAATATGAATTGGTCATTTTAAAGTAACTAAAATTACTTTAATAAATAAATTTTGTAAATTACATTTTTTTTTTCATTTAAAAATTCACTGGGATTCACTGGGATTAAAAGCACTTGATTTTTAAAGCTAACTAAATATCATACTAAAATACATAAAACATTTTTGTAAGAAAATGGGGAATAACAATTATTCCTTTTTGTAAAAAAAAAGGAAAAAAAATAGAGAAAGCACTGTGAAGCCTGTACAAATTATTCTAAGCTAAAACAATTAAAAAAAAAAAAAAATACTGCGTTATTTTACGTATGATAATCAGAACAAAAAATTTTGACATCATAACTTTATACTTTTTTTGTCTTAATTACCTGACTCTTGTTGTATTATGTGTCGTTCATGATTTGTATAACGAAGAAGAGGATTTTCTCCATTTGCTGCTTCAACGTCTTCTTCGTTATTAGTGGCACAATTCATCAGTTCTTCTGTAAAAGAAAAATAATTTTTATCAATTGAAAAATAATAAATAATAAATATAATTCTACTAATAGAAAATTGAAAAATCAAAAATTGCTTACCTGGCAAACATAATTGCAATTGATCATTACTGGGATTAGTACTATCGCCAGTACCGCTGTCTTTGCTGTGTTGAGAACTTGTATCCAAATACAAGTGAGTTTGTGTTTCTGGCACTATTGGAGCAGATGTCGATAATGATTGTCGATGAGAAGCCTTAAGTCGTTGTCTCGTTTGATATATAATTACAACCCAAACAATTGAAGTTCCAACCGCGCAACATACAACGGTAATAATTATTAAACCAAGCATGTCATCTTCATTGACCATCGAGCTAGGTGCTACAAATGAATAATAATTTATGTATTCAATTTTAAAAAGTAATTTTATTTTTGAAATTAGATTCAATTTTACCTGGATTAATTTTAAGGTGAGAAGCTCCCACAATACTTCCTAAAGTATTACTAATTTCACACTCATAATCACCGGCATCACTTGCAATTGTATTAACAATAATCAACAATTGATCTTCAGCAGTGAAAAAATGTCGTTCAGTTGCTTGTAAAGGACTATTGTTCTTGCGCCACAATATTTTCGGACGTGGTGAACCACTTGCACGGCAATCAAGAACAATTGAACCACCTGCCATTATTTCTTTATTTTCCATTGGTTTCACAAACGATGGACCCTCTATAAAATAGAAATAAAATTAATATTTTAAAACTAAAAAATTTTATTATTTTAATGATTTTAGAAAAAAAAAAAAAAATTCTCTTTGACTTAATTTACCTAAAATGGTAAGTGTAGCGTTTACAATAATCATTCCAGCCAAATTTTGTGCAATACAAGAATAAACACCGCTATCAGCTGTTTTCACATCAATTATAAAAAGTACATCATCAGCGGGCATTTTATGCATTCTTCTCTCTCGAGCTGCTGGAAAATCATTTCCACCGTCTTTTTGCCAAGCTATTTGCGGAGCTGGTAGCCCTTCAGCAGAACATTCAAGACGAGCAGTACTTCCCGCATTAACACGTTTATCTTGAGGAATTTTAGAAAAGGACGGATATACTGTGAAATACATTTTTTTTTTATTTAGTGACACAAATTCTTTTTATTAGTAGTAATAAATTTTCAGTATAATTAGTATAATGTATGAATGAATGTTAGATTAAATACAATACAAGTATATTTCTTTTTTTTTTTTTAATTTAAAAATTAATTTTACTTACTTAATACGCTAATTTTTGCTTTCGCTGAATACGTAGTACCATAATTATTAGTAACCATGCATTGGTATCTTCCAGAATTAGAATGAGTTATATTTGTAATTTGTAATGTGGATGAGGCTTCAGTGAGGCCTCTATTAGAACTAACAACATCTTTATGAAAACTTGGATCCCATTCAACATTATCGTGCTTCCAAGTAAAATGTAGTGGCGCATCGGCTGTACTTGTTGCACGACAAATAAGTGAAACATTATCACCTTTGATGCTCATTTGACTTTCGGGATTTTGTATTATTAGAGGTTTTGGATAATCCTCTGTAGTAAGAAATAAAATAATAATTATAATTATTAAATATTAAAAGATATTTGTTATTGTAATATCAATTAAACTAACCACAAGTAAAATTCGCTTGATGAAGATGCATTAATGGCATTCCATACAACCAATGAGGATAACCGCAGTGAATTTTTGCTTCACTTTGCCGATGTGTTTTTAACCATAAACTAAGCCATTGTAGTCCACAATCACAAACCAACGAACCTACAAATATTTTCTCAGTTATATATATTTTTACAATAAATAAAAAACATTTCATATTTATTTTTAATTACCTGTATTCATCTTAAGTTTTATAAGATTCGGTGTAGGCGAAAAAGCATTTTCTTGAATACTTGTTATATTATTTCCAAGTAAATCAATTTCTGTAACTTGAGATAAACCCTTGAATGCATTTTTATTAATTGATTTAATTTGATTATGAGCCAATCCAAGTTTCATAAGTTGTGTAAGTGGAACGAAAGCTCCACTAAAGTCTTCCACCATATATGAAATTTTGTTTGAATTCAATTCTCTGAAAAAAAGAATAATTTAAAATTAACAAAATAAAAAAAATATATGTCAAAATAATTTAGAAATTAAATGATAACATACAAAACTTGTAGACTTTGCGTATTATTAAATGCGCCTTCAGAGATGTATGATAATTTATTTTGATCAATTTTCAATTTTTCCAATCTTCCTAAATATTCAAATGTTCCACGTTCAATGGATGTTAATTCATTGAAAGACAAATCTCTGGAAATTATAAAAATACATATTAAAAATTAAAATTCACTGTTTAAGAATATAAGAAAAAAAAATCGTGTATTTACTAACAATTCTAAAAGTTTTTTGCAAAATTCCCAAGCTTGTGCTTCGATTTTTGTTATTTTATTGTGAGACAATGTTAATTTTTCGAGATTATCCAATCCAAACAGGCTTCCTTTTTTAACACTAGTCAACAAATTAAAATCTAACTGAAGAAGTCTCAAATTTTTAAGCGGCCAAAAAGCACCATCATACAAAGATTCAAGTTTATTTCTTTTTAAACTCAGCTCTTCTAAACCTTTCAAGTCTTTCAAACTTAAAGCTTCAATTTGTCTCAAGTCATTTCTATTCAATTCTCTGTAAATATTTTATCAAAAAAAAAAATTGTTTTCCATTAATACATAGTAATATTAATTTACTATAATTATAATAAATAATTGATAATTGTAAAAATTAAAAGAAAAACTTACAAAATTCTCAGTTTAAGAAGATTTGTGAATTGATCTTTAATTTGAATAAGTCGATTTTTATTCAATCGAAGTTCTTCAAGAGATGTTAAATTTTCCAAACTTTTATTTTCAATAATACTTAATTGATTCATATTTAAATTTCTGTAAAAAATAATGTTAATTTTAAAAATAATATATTTATTGTTGGACATAATAAATATAGGAATTTAATGTTAATACATACAGTGTTTTTAATTGATTCGGAGCAAGAAACGATCCATAATGAATAATACTTATTTTGTTACCAGTAAGATCCAAATATTGAAGTCCTGGTAAATTTAATAAAGTGGATCCATTTATTTTAGTAATTAAATTATGAGATCTGAAATAAATAAAAAATTGTGCTTAATATTTCAAGCTTCATTTTTTTTTTTGAATTAATAAAATTTTGAAAATAACTTACAAACTCAAGTGCGTGAGACTTGAAAGAAACAAAAACTGTGGCAATTGCGTCAGATGATTTTTATTGAGTTTTAAGACACGTAATTGAGTCTCAACTGGCAATGAAATTGTAAAATTGTCTCTTAATTGATTAGCACTTACATCTCTGAAATATTTAAAAAAAATATTAATTATCTATAGAAAAAAATAATTAATTAAAAAAATTATTCACAAAGTTTACTCACAATTCTTTGAGCTTCAATAAATGTAGCAGTACATTGAATTCTAAATTAGAAATATTATTGGAATTCAACTCTCTGGAAAAATGAAATTCGAAATGAAAAAATTATTAATTTCAAGTTTTAACAATTAAATTTTAATTATTGATTAATAACTTGATTAAATTTAAATATTATTTAATTGTTAAAAAATGTCTAATATACATGTAAATAAATGTAACTATCTATTATCTAAATATATATATATATATATATATATAAATACGTTGAGTATGTAAATATGTCTAGGTTTAAAATAGTAATTGAATAATTGCGACAAATTTAGATGTGTTAGTGAATGAGAGGAAAAAGAATAAATTGTTATGGGCTTACAGAGTTACGGTCCATGGTGGCAAACCACTGGGTGCTTCCACCAGTTGTAATTCACTACAAGCAACAACATTTCCAAGGCAGGCACATTCCACAGGGCACTGATTTTGACTTAAAGCTAAACTACCAAGAATCCCAATATTCGATGCAAAACAAGTCATCCATAATAATGACAGCCATAGTCGAACAAATGACGCTTTTTGCAAATTCGACATCATAAATCTTTGTCTCCTTTTTTTTTTTTTAAAGATTATTTTTCAGTCCTGTTGTATATTTGCTTACTGTACTCCATTGAAAATCACAAGTAAATATCATGGCACAATTTTTTTTTATAAAATACTATAATACAAAGGGCTCATGTAGGTACTTATTGTAAGAAAAAATACATTAAACAATTAGATACACAACAAACCATGACACCTACGCCCTGTATATGATTTTCGTTGTAGTTGTAATCGTTTACTGTATTCACATTGTGAATATGACTTTAGATCAGGGTTGGTTCGTTACGCAATTGATTTTGCGCATACTGAACATACATAACCTAAAAAAAAGATAAACAAATTTTCTAAAGCCGGTAAAGAATAAATAATGTTTAATAAACAATAAAAGTTTGATTATTAAACGAAGTAAACATCTGTAGTTGTGAAAGTTAAATGTCAAGACGAAAAAGATAGAAAGTGTGAAGTTATTCTACTATTTATATTTAAATCCGTAAGTCTTATTTTTCGTTTATGAATTTATTTCTTTTTACATCAGTTTAATAATGAAAGATAGTTTGCATTAGAAAAAAAAAATTATTTAGGAATATAATTTGTCACCTTATAGGAAAAATCTGCATAAATCAATGGAGGTTCTATCAATTAATAGTGGCGATGAGGATGATGAACAAAAACTGTTAAATTTTAAATTATTATTTTTAATAGTACGTAAAAAAGGACCACAACATGAAATAAATCAATTAATTAAAAATTGTCTAAATGATGGAACAAATGTAAATATTAAAGATGAGAATGGTACGTCAGTTTTGGGTATTGCAGTTGAAACAGGTAATTTGGAGACAGTTAAATTTTTAATAGAGAATAATGCAAATGTTAATGCTGAAGATAATTGTGCTAAATCTATTTTGCACATTGCGGCTGAAACAGGTAATTTTGAGATTGTTAAATTTTTAATAAATAACAATGCAAATGTTAATGCTACTACTGACGATGGTATCTCCATTTTGCACTGTGCAGTTGAATCTCGTAAAATTGAGATTATTAAACTTTTAGTTGAGAACAATGCAGATGTTAATGCAACAACAATAGCTGCTATTTCCATTTTACATTATGCTGTTGAATCTCGTAATTTTGAAATTGTTAAATTTTTAATAGAGCATAATGCAAATGTTAATGCTAAATCTATCGCTGCTGTCACTCCATTGCATCTTGCAATTAAATCTGGTAATTTTGAAATGATTAAATTTTTAATAAAAAACAATGCTGATGTTAATGCTAAAGATATTGATTCAACATCACCTTTGCATTATGCAATTGAATCGCGTAATTTTGAAATTGTTAAATTATTGGTTGAAAATAATGCAGATGTTAATGCTAAGGACAATAAGGGTAGATCTGTTTTACATATTACGGCGTCTGAATATTATAATTTTGATATTGTTAAATTTTTAGTAGAAAACAATGCTGATGTTAATTCTAAAGATATTCGTGATAAAGCAGTTTTGTCCATTGCAAGTGAATGTCATAATTTGGAGATGATTGATTTTTTAATTGAGCAAGGTGCTATTGAGAATTGAATGCTTATAAATAATTAGTTATAATTTAATTTTACCACGAGTACCTGTATTTAATTACCTCATTTATTTACGAACTAACCAGTTAATAAATTAATTGTAAATTTTACACTAAAATGACTTTTTCTTTGTTAGGAATTAATTAATAGTTGATTCAAATTTTTGAATAAAAAAAATTACCGTAATTTACAATTTGATAGTTATGAATTCGACCTAATAGTCAGTGCCTATGAACTTAACTTCCCACCCCTGTAACTATATGTAAACAATTGAAACAAATCAACTTTAAAAACTAAACAAATTATAACAATTAGATATATTTATTTTCAAATATCTAAGCGAATTGTAATCATTTCCTTCAAAAAAAATGAAAAAACATGCAAATAAATAATGAAGATTATAACCTAAAAGTATACTTGTCAAATACGACATGAATATAACCTCAAAATTTAAACGTCAAAAAGAAAAACAACTGTGCTTTATAAACATCAACTTCAAAATAATTGTGTGTTTAATTGAAAATAGAGAGTAGAAAATATAAACAAAAATGAAATAATATTAATCCAATAATTGTTACGCATGTGAAAATACTGTGTTTAAGAATGTTTAAAGAGAAAAAGATGGAAGGAGTTTGGTGCGCGTGGATTAAGCGCACGATATGAATCCACTCCCTTTGGAGCAATTGTGATGTGGAGATCATCCTCCAAGAGGAAAGGTTTCGTATATTCGCTTTTAAAAAGTGTACAGTTTTTTTTTGTCTATTATAATCATCGAGGGAGTTTTATTTTAATTTTGTGAGTCGCATTTTTTATTGGAAATCAATTAAAAGTTGTTTCTTTCAATAAAAAAAAAAAAAATAAAAAAGGAAAACCTCGTCGGTTTCGTGTCGGCTTGGCTACGAATGGCGGCTGTCAAATCGTGGAAAGTGCTTTCAAATGAAACAATTTTGGAGTGTTTGGTGATTTTCGCAAAAATCAATTCCTTCAGTTGAGAGGATCTTAACAAGAGAAAACAGAGAAGGGTGTTTTGGAAAAATTCTATGATTTCCTGTTTATACCTCATTATTAGGTACTACTTTTATGACATCCGGAAAGGAAACCATGGGGTAAGTAATTATACGAATTGGTATTTGTCTCCTTTTAAGGGTGGATAGTATAATATATATATATACATGGAAAATAATAATTATTTCTTCAATAACTAAAAATAATTATCAATTCCACTCTGATTGGCATGAAATAATATTGAATTAATTTTTTTTTTCTGTGGATCAATTCTGATCGGGGTTTAATAAAGCTGAAAGTTTATTTTAAGACACAAGTCGATTGCGAGCAGTGATCTGAAAAAAATGTACTTGATTTTTTTTTTCTACTTACAGTATACAAGTAAAATAGTTGAATGCAATTTTTTTTCTATCTATTCATATTTTGTTGATTTGTAAATGTTAATGTAATATTTGAAAATGATTGTTCATTTTGAATCGAGTGGAGAAAAAAAAACCGGCTGTTATTTTCTGATGCACATGGATATACTCGAAGGGAATGGAGATAATTATTCATTTACGGAGAATTTTCTTTGTGTCAGGGGAACATTATAATACATGAGTGAAACATACACACAAGTCTCGATGTATAAACCATCAATTGTGCTTATTTTTTCACCCTCTTTGCTATTCATTATATTGACAAGTGTGTGTGTGTGTGTGTGGTAATTCATGTATATGATCTATTGAATTAAGAGCAATGTTTATTAATTGTGAATAAGATGGATTTTCTTTCATTTCAAAATTTGATTTTAAATTATTTTTATTGTAATTAATTAATTATTTTATAGTTTTCAATTTTTTTATATTCTTTAGAAAAGTATTTCTTAAAATGTTTTATATACTAATTATGTGACAATATTCTTTAAATTTCTATTTTTAGTATTATAGGATGAGTATTAAATTAATGTAAATTTTAGGGAACAGCCGATTTTCACGTGCAAGGCGCACGTGTTTCATATTGATCCAAAGACAAAAAGATCATGGGTCTCAGCATCCACAGCAGCAGTTACAGTTTCATTTTTTTACGATTCAACGAGAAGTTTGTATAGAATTATTTCTGTGGATGGCTCAAAGGTAATTTTTTCTCTTTAAAATTGAAATGAAATTTTCCACTTATAAAATCGAATATAAAATTTTTTTCAGGCCGTTATTAACAGTACAGTAACGCCCAACATGGCATTTACGAAGACTTCGCAAAAATTCGGTCAATGGTCAGATGCAAGAGCAAATACAGTTTATGGTTTGGGTTTTTCATCGGAAGCCGAATTAGCCAAAGTTAGTTTAATTATTCGATAAATTATTATTAATCAATTGCAAGAAAAAAAATAAATATTTAATTTGAAATTTTTACAGTTCATTGAAAAATTCCATGAAGTTAAAGAAGCTACAAAACTTGCTGGCAGTAAATTGCAATCGAATAGTTCGTCCGTTACACCAGCTACTAGTGCTAATGTTAGTCCAATTACATCTCGATCTGGAATGACTTCCGGTGATCAAGATTTGATTGACCCACCAAATTCATCAATGATGAATTCCAATATTTCGGCATCAAGCAATCAAAATTCTAATGCTAATATGATAGCTACGCAAAATAATGTTTCATCGGTGAGTAGCAGTCCATTACCTGGTAGTGGTTGTCAGGTAAAAGATGAAGAATTAAAAAATGCATTACACGCAAGATCGCAAAGTATTTCACAACAAAATACGGAGAGTCCTCAACATCAGGGAAAACCATCTCAGCATAATGCAGCTCAAAGTGGCCAATCGGCTGAAATGCAACTTAAATATGAAAATGAAAGGTTGAAATTTGCACTCGCACAAAGTTCAGCCAATGCCAAAAAATGGGAGGTGAGAAGAAATGTATTTTTATTAAATTAAGAAATTGCAAATAAATTAAATTTCTTTTTTTTTTTTTTAAAGAAGTCACAATTTAGAAAACAATTGTTAATGTTAAAATGTGTTTTAGAAAATTATTTTCAAGAGTATTTAAATTCACAGGTGGAGTTGACTAATTTAAAAACGAATAATGCGAGATTGACTAGTGCACTTCAAGAATCAACAGCAAATGTCGATGAATGGAAGAGACAATTGCAACTTTATAAAGAAGAAAATACACGTGTAAAGACAAGATATGCTGATTTGGAAGCTGGTAAAATTGCCGAAGGAAATGTTGAAGCGTTAAGGTTACGAGTTGAAGCCTTGGAAAATGAACTTAGAACGCGAAATGAAGAAATTAAAGCTTTAACAATGGCAACTAAAAATAAGGACTTCATGGTATGTGAAAAATTTTAATTATTATGTTATAATTATAATTTCAAAAAAATGAAATTTGACTATTTTTTTCTTGTTTTTACGTTTGAAAAAAATGTTTCACCTTTTTTTTTTTTTTTTTGGTATTTATTCTCTCCTTCAATGGTGATATTTCAAGTATTGCAAAATAACGATGCAATTGTACTTGGTTAGATTAATAAATTTATGAAAAAGAAATGTAAATTTTACAGGTTTTACAAAAGGAGAATTCGGAGCTTCGTGAAATGTTAAATGTGGTCCATGAACAATTGGAACTTGCATTGAGTGCCAATAAAGTTCAAAAACAAAATTTGGACACATTAAATGCCAGATTAGCTGGACATATTCAAGATTTAGTCACGGTACATCGAGAAATTTCAAATACGTTACAAACTTAAGAAAGAGAGAGAGAGAGAGAGTCCTTTTTAAGAGAGACTTTTTTTTATAACGACCATTAGATTTATAATATGTGCGAATGACTATATTAATTCTACAAAGGGTTGTGTTGTAGCTCGAATACCTGATTTAATCGCACTATTTACAAATTTACTGTCACAGAGTAAATTTTACATTTTTTTTTTTAATTATCATTATATGATATTTAGTATTTTTTAAAAGATAGACAATTTTTTAAATTGTTTTTTAATTTCGAGGCTTTTTTAAAAAATGTTTCGTAAATTTTACGAAACTTTCTGGATGTTTTTTCTTTTTTTTTTTTTTTTGAAACTTTCTTTAAAAGGTGAAATTTTAAAATTGTTTAAAAATTACTTTGAAGATAATACTTTTTTTTTTTTTTGTTAAAAAGTAAAACTTAAAAAAAATTTTAATTAATGAAAACGAGGTTTTAAAAATATTCAAATACTGTGTTCATAGACATTTTATCGGAAAAGTACTGAACAACATGAATATTTGAATTTTGAGATAGTTATTAAAACATATCATAAGAATTCCATTTTGCACAAACAGCATCTAGTGTTTTCAGTACACATTCTATCTAATATGCAGAACACAATCCAGAAACAAAAAATATGCACAATGATAGTACGAGTTAGTTATTTTTCTTTGTTGAAAAACTATTTAATTCAATTGTATTTTATATCGATGGATAAATAATTCTATCGCTACTATTAGTGATAAGTTACTTTAGAAAGTCATACATATATAAATATATATATGTGTACTAACAATTTATTTTCATTTTCAATACAATGATTCTTGTGCTTCCAATCGAAGAAATATTCGAATAAGCCTGTAAGCTTTATATTTAAATTTGTTTTTGTATTTTCAAAAGCAAGAATCTGAAATTGCTTATTATTTTATAAAAAAAATATTCTATTCAATAGAAACTCTGTACAAATTAGTTTTAATCTACATTTTTATATAATATACTTTTGTGCACAAGATTTTTTCCCCAAAATATAATCACGCAATCAAGACCAATAAATAGGAAAAAAAAAAAAAAAAAAATTCTTAACCAATAAAATAATTGTGAACAATATATTAAATAATATTAATAATAATAAGAAAGCGAGTAGAGAATTTAAAAATAATGAAACAACATTTACTCGAAAATAATTGTCAGATTTAGTGTTTATAGTAGAATATTGTTAGAAAAGAAATCAAGTTAGAAATTAAAAATCATCTGTTAATTGTACAGAGTTTCTATTGTATTTTTAGCTTGTAATGTCAGAAGTGATTTTTAGAAAAATGAAACACGTTTTTTTTTAATTACTAAATATTATCTTTATATTATTTGAACATTATTTAGTATTAAAAAAAATATTGTTTAGTAATAATTAGTATTATTAATTAAAGAGCATATTTATATGCAATTATTTTTTCATGCTTCTGGCATTGCAAAAAAAAAGGCTCAGGTGTGAAAGAAGATAATTTGCAGAACAAATATTATATAGATACAACGATATTCAGGACGATAATTTTTGTTTGACTTTAAAAATTTGTCATGTTTTGTCGTAGGAAATGATTCTTTTAAAAAATTGTTTCTAATGTCCTGAAATATTAATTCGAATTTTATTGTTTATAACTGAGGTCACTGCGTAGTTAATTTGTGATTTGTCCAATGATTAATTGACATTTTTTTTTTTTTTTGCACAATAGTGGCAAATTTTAACAAGATGCGTATTATATACAAAAGAAAAATAACTCAAATTTACCAGCTACTCTGAAAATTAATAACAATTTAAAGTTAGACCGATTAGAATAGCGGAAGCTTTAAATATGATAATTTATGAAGAAAAAAAGAGAACAATTTTTATTGTATTATTATTAATGCTTTGTATAGGCAGAAGATGGAAAAAACAAAAAAAAAAAAAATGTTAAAGAGATGAATTTTAAATTTTGTGAAATTGGGAGAGGAGAGCCTCGCTTGCCATATATTGTAATCTTATTAATAATCCACGTGAAAGGCTTCCAGCCATATTGCTAGTGTTGTAATTTTATAATTAAAGAACCGTTCATTTATATAGTCTCTTTTAGTTTCAAAAGGCAATTATTTATTATAATTGCTTATTCATTATTGTTAATTTATTAAAGGATATTCATTATTACGTGATAGTTTTTCGTATACGTTTAATGTTTTTTTTTTTTTTGAACAAATAATTTAACACATACAGCTCTCTAGAAAATTATTAATTTTTTTAATTTAAATTAATTTCGAATAACATTTTTTAAACAAAAGTTTATAATTTTTGTAATATTAAATTCAGAAGAAGAGAAAAAAATATGGTATTTTATTTTTATAATAGTACACAATTTTTTATAATTATAATTTTTTTTTTTGTAATATTGTTACATGTATGATAAATACTCGTAGTTTGTGAGATTAATCTCTTAGAAAATAAGATCTGAGTGCTTCTGTACATTCGCTTTAGCAAAGATTTCAGCCAGAAATGGAAAGAATATTTTTGCTTTCCAGAACCAAAGAAAAACTAGAAAAGCTCCTTCGAGAGATTATAAATTTATATCGTCTGTAAATTATGTGTAAGTCTGACTGAAATTTCATCGAGTTTGACGCACAATATTAGAAAACTATAATTTTAATGAAAATATATTCTATATTACTTTGCTCAAGCAATCGTTGAAGTACAAATAACTGACTTTCATTTTACAAATAATAATTTTATTAATTACTAAGTGTCATTATTGGTAATTTATATTAAAGTATTAACTTTTTACCAATAAGTATTAATTTTTATTAATAAATAAGAATAATTAATTGTTAATTTTAATAATTATTGTTATATTAATAATTAATTTTAGTGTAATAAAATTTAATTGCAAATGAACGGTTCTTTAATCAAGTCTGCTTATTGTTATAAAAAAAAAAAAAAAATTCGAATTTATAGAATCTCGTATTTTTCTTTTTTGAAAATTTATCGAAAATTTTCATTTCACAGTACGTGCCAGAAAGAATTTGTCGAGGGAGTCGTATATATATATATAATAAATATGAATATATATACTGTAGTCAGAGAGTGAATCTTGCATTTTTTTTTTTTTTCAAAGGTGACGTAATTTTTTTTGTCTTTTTTGTGGAAAAAATTTTTTTTGAGATCTATTTAATTGTGAATCTAATACAATTTATAAAGAGAAAAAGAGACGTTGAATTATTATATATAAAAAATGAATTCAATTGCCATTAGGTGAGTCATCTCTTAAAAAAGAAAAAAAAATCGAACTTATTGTTTGATTTAGAAGAAAAAATCTTGGAAAAAAAAATCCAATGCACTTAAAATGCATTTTTACTATGATTAATATGAAAATGAGAGATATAGCAGAGGAGCCTTTTTATCATTAGCATATATATTAATAATAAATATAAAATTTGTAAATTGACCTATTTATCTTTTTTTGTTTTATAGAGTGAAATGAATGTTGTAAGAATTATTGAAAGAAAAAAATAACAAATTGGCCAAATGTTGAATGCAATATAAGAACATCGAAAATTGAAACAATAATTCACTTACTGCAAGAAATATTTGTACTTGTTTTTTTAAATTGTAAAATAGCAATTTAAAAAAAAAAAATTGTACGCTGATCTCAGTGAAACTCGAAGTTTTTGGTTGTTTCAAATAATGGAAAAAATAGTTTCAGTCCAAAAAAAAAAATTTTTTTTCTGATTAATTAAACATTTTTAAAATAAATTATTTATTAGTGTTTAAAAGAAGATAAAAGTATTTGCTTTTTCTTTGTTATTAAAAATTTTTTATCTTTTTTTTGTAAAAGAAATCAAGTTTGTACAGAAAAAGGTGGACATTGCCTTGTGCAGTGAAACGCTATTATTGTTCACTGCATAATTTTAAGAGTAAAAACTTTTCGAGACAGTGGACTTATTTTTATTTGTGCATTTTGAAACTATTTATAATTATAATATATGTTAGAAAAATGGAAATACCAAAAAAATGGTTTTTTCCCCCTTGTATGTAATGCAAAGTGTTTTTTTTTAATTTAGTTTTTAAAGCGCTAAAAATCTAGAATTTTCTGTAAAACAAATGAGAAGTATCAACAATACTTTATTATAAAATGAACGTTTTAATAATATTTTATTCTGAGAAAGTTATAGCTCGTTATAATTGTAATCAAATAATTGTCCTGATATGTCATCAAATTTGTTTCAAAATGACGCGCACAAAACTTTTGTATATGAACCGTCAAGAAAAAAAAAATGCACAATAACTAACGTTATATTTTCTCATTTCATTTGAATAAAAATACATTTTGCGTACATTATATAAATATATATATTTTTTTTTCCAATTTAGTAAATTTGGACCAAAAGAAATTATGTTTATAGGAAAAAAAAATTTAAATATAATTTTATTTATATTTTCAAATTAAGCAGGACATTAATTAATTTTACTTTTCATTGTAATAAAAATTTTAATCATTATATAAAAGTAATTTGTATTTTATTCAAATGGAAAAGAGAAAAAATTTGTACTAGAAATGATAAAAGGCTGGAAATCGATCATGGTCGTTTTATCGACGATAGATTTTACACTTTTGCTGACTTTGGTAATTGTTGATGAAAAAAAAAGAAGAAAAAAAAAAAAAGTACCGACATTGTATTTATTGATTCATCGCCCTGACCAATCGTTGGATTTAGCCGCGATGATCAGTTCCGAGTGTAGAAAGAATTTTTAATATAATAATATTATAGGATCATGCCACTGATGTTTTTAAATTTAATTTTTAATTCATTTATTTCTAAATTTTATTGACATCAAATGGAATTTTTTTTTTATAATTTATTTGCTAGTCAGCATATGTAAAAAAAAATATATATCGATTTCATTCTGATTTTATATTATTAAATTTTTTAAGTTATTGTTTAAAATATATGAAAATCTGGTATTTTATTATTTTTTAAATTACTCATTTCTTTGAAAATTATGTATTCTGCCCTTTGTATTTTATTAAATTTGAATAAGAACAAAAAAAAGAATGGAGAAATTGTAAATTTTTTTCGGTGGCATGATCTCAGAGAATTAAGAAGAAAATTAAAAAAATATATGACTGAAAGTTACTATGTATTAAAAAAAAGAAAAAAAAATAGAAACTGATTTGGACTCTATAGGGTTTAATGTTAAGTAATTTTTCGCTATAAGGACTTTGTAGTCGTTATCGCAAACGAATTTGTTACATATATGAAGTGATATGAAATAATATTAATATGAAAATCATTGAATATTGATATTATATACTCAATGCGTTGTTCCAATGCGAATGCATACCTAAATAATTACAAAATTGCCTGAATTAATTATTTATTATTATTATTATTATTAATTTTGAAACCATTTAAAATTTATATGATTTCCAATCAATTTTTTAAATAATAGATGTATATTATACAATATACATTTCTATGGTTTTATTACAAAAAAAAATTTATTTTCTTCAATATATATATATATATATCAAGTATGTTCCTAACTTTGCACTAGTAACAACATTAATTATTGTATAGAATATTATTTTACAAAAAAGAAAAATGGGATATGAAATAAAAAAAAAATTAAAAAGTCAGTTAAGATAACGTTATTTGTTATTTATAATCTATATTTACAAATTTGACTTAATTTTACACGTTTTTTTATTATTATAATTTTGGCTTAAAGTAAATTAAGAATAACATATATATATATATGTATACGAATTTCAGTTTCGAGCTATATAATTTCGAACAAACAATTAGTCCAATTACACTGTTTTACCTGAGAAGTTCGTGTTATTCCCGAAAGCACTGATATTATCATTAAACATCAGGTATACGATAATATTAGCATGTCACGTAACTTTTCTCACGCATATCGAGTCAATTCTTCTCTTTCTTTTTTATACAAGTTTTTTTTTTATAATATTATATATACAAGTTGATTTTTATTTTTTTTAATGATAAATATTTTTTTCCACACGTATTGTCAGAAACTGAGATTTTAACTTTCATCTAAACTTTGAATTTTAAAAATACTATATAATTTTAATCACATTCATTTAAGTATTTGTAAACAAGTAAAATTGTTATATATATTATAATCAAAATTTGATTTTATAATCAAAATAGAAAACATAAAAAAATCCAAAAAACTATTTTTTTGAAATAATTTTGGAATGTTTTTAAAAAAATATTCCCCTTTGAATATTCCGTGCTATTGGCGAAAATTTTATAATATTTTTTTTGTCACTGAAAAAAAACATAATTTCACAGAAAATTAAAAGGCATTAAAATAAGCAGCAACAGTTATTATTTTAATTCAATTTTGCTTTTTTTAATCCATTTTGGTATTAAAATAAGCAAAATTGGATTTAAATAAATAAGCGTTGCAGCTTATTTATAATAACACAGAAAATTAAAAGGCATTAAAATAAGCTGCAACGCTTCTTATTTTAATCCATTTTGGTATTAAAATAAGCAAAATTGGATTAAAATAATAATCGTTGCAGCTTATTTTAATGCCTTTTAATTTTCTGTGAAGCTTATAATTTTCTGTGTTATAAAAGTGAAACAATGTGATTGACAATATTTTTTTTCTATATAAAAAAAATTCACTGATTTAAACAAATGAAAATTGATATTAATGTTATGAAAATATTTATATGATGAGAATTTGTTCCACTAATAATTGCATCATTCATGGAAGTTTGTTGTGACATCGAAGCCAAATGAACAACTGCAAGAGGAGAAACAAATTTTTAAGAATTTTAATTAATTTTTCTTTCTTTTTTTTTTTTTTAATTTTGAATTTTAAAATCGAGTAAATTCTAAAATCACGTATATATATTGACAATTTCTGTTTTGAAGTTATAGGGAAAATATTATACATCAGGAAATGAGAATTGAAGCATGGCTAATTGGAAAATTTGTCAATTTCCTCAAAAGCAGACGTAAGTTATGGAAAGCAATCTTCAATATCGGGGGGGAAAAAAAGAAAAAAATTAAATTCTATATAGAAACTTTTTTGGAAAATTAAAATTTTTTTTAATATACCTGGAATTAATTTTTCATCTTGAACTTTTGTCCTTGCATATTCAGCAGCTTTATTTTCATCTGAAAAATTGAAATATTAAATTTTATTTTATTAATTAATATTGTAAATAAGAAAATTATTACTATTTCTAAAGTTTGCTAAGTATTTGTATATATATACGAAACAATCATCATTATTTAAAAATCAATGCTCTTGTTCCACTAAATTATTGGTAACCGTTATTCTTTTTTTTCTAATAGCGGATATTGGAAATCTATTGCAAAAAAAAAATTTATACCATTTTTCCCTTATTTATAAAATACTGAAAAAGTTTACTATTGTCCCTCGTCTAGAGTTTAAGAGTAATTACAGAAAAAAAAAATAATTTGGAAAAAAAGTGTTTTATTTATTTATACTAAAATTGTACTACTAATAATTAGTAAATGTTTAATCAATACACAGAAAATTAAAAGGTATTAAAATAAGCTGCAACGCTTCTTATTTTAATCCATTTTTACTTATTTTAATACCAAAATGGATTAAAATAAGAAAAATTTGATTAAAATAAGAAGCGTTGCAGCTTATTTTAATACCTTTTAGTTTTCTGTGTATTTATTTTATTTTAATAAAGAAATTTTATATTTTATATATTTTAAAATTAAGGAAAAAATAAATAAAAATTTATTATTTCAATGAATAAATATTACGTTTTGTTAATAAAAAAAAATTTGAAACATACATGTATCGTCTGTTGTGAATATAAAAAGTTTTGAAGGTTTACTCCATCCGTCACGATTTCTTGATGAAACTAGAGCTTCATAAATAGTTCCTTGCTGTAATCCAGTCAAGTTGAAAGATCTCGTATGCAGTGGTCCAATGGCATTACTTCCACTTGGAACGAATAATTTCACCCAGTCCTCACCTTTCTATTCATCAGAAAGAGAAAATTCAATCAAATAGAAATATTTCAAAATTCATTAAAATTCAATAGGCAGTAGTAAAAGACAATTTTAGTCAGACAAAGAAGTTTACAATTAAAAAAAATTTACGATATCAGTAGGTAAAGTCAGTGTAGGTCAGACAGAAATGTATTTTTTAAATTTCGACATTAGTAGAAAAAGATTTTTTTAATCAGACAAACTTTTGTAGAAAAATTACTAAAAAAAAAGTTGATAAGTTTTTAGTTAAAACTTTAATGGCAGTAGTTTAAGGCAAGTTAGGTCAGACAATTATTGAATTTCTAATTTTAGTTTTAGTAGAGAAAATAACATTTTTAGTCAGACAGAAAATGTTAAAATTTTTTATGTTTTAATATTCAGTAAAAAAAATTTCTATATTTGATAAATTTTAATTTAAGTAGTAGATAACAATTTAAGTCAGACAGAAAGTTTTCACACTTTAAAATTCAATGTCAGTAGAAAAAGACAGTAATAGTCAGACAAAGTAAAATTCATTTTAAATTCAGTAAGTAAAAGTCAGTTTCAATCAGACAGAAAATTAATAATTTAAATTACAGTATCAGTAGGTAGTAAAATACAGTTTAAGTCAGACACAAAAATCAATAAATTCGATATCAGTAAAAAAAGACAGTTTCAGTTAGGCATGGTTTTTTTAAATTTTATTATTAAATTACCAAAGGTTAAGAATTTAAGAAATTTAAAAAAAAAAGAAAATTTTCTCACCTTATACCTTCGAAACCAAAATTGATATTCAATAATAGAACTGTAGCTATCAACTTCCCATATAAAATTATAAGCTGTTTTAGTAATTGCATGTGATTCTTTTTTGAAAACAGCTGGATTTGCAACACCTGATAATTCAATAATTGTTTCAGCCGATCCAAGAGAATTTGTCGCATTGCAAATATATTGTCCATAATCATACACCACCACTTGTCTTATAATTAAACTATGAACATTGTCATTTGTTTGTTTCACTATTCTTTGTGAATAAGGCACTCTTGTATCCTTAAAATACCACTCGACCTTAAAAAAAAAAAATTATTAAAAATAACAAAAATTATTTTACATAATTGCAAAAAAAAAAACAAAAAAAAAAACAGGTGTCTTATTTTAAAATATCTAAGACACTTATAGGAAATGTCTTAAAATTGTCTCGACTTGTGTTTTATTTAGGAAAATATATTTCGTCATTGACAAAAATTTAAGACACCATAAAATGTCTTAAAAATCAGGACAAAAGTGTCTTAAAATAAGACGCATTTCTCATCATTAAATTAAATTCATTAGAAAAATATAATAATTTTATTTAAATTTGCAAAAAAAAAAGAAAATTATTTCATGATAGAATAAATTAATACTTTTTTTTTTAGGAAAAAGTGTGTGAAATTTTTAGTAACCCAACACAAATTAAATATTAATTAAATTAGTCAACTAACTAATTAATATTTTATTATATATAAAATCGAAAACACCAAGAATTTTTATTCTTTATTAAGTATAATATATATTGCAAATTATTATTTTAAAAAATCAAAAAATAAATATAAAAATATGTTTATTATAAAACCAAAGTTTTTATAATATATTAAAACAGTTTCAGTAAAAATACAAATGTTTATAAAATAATTATAATGTATATAATTATACAATTGGCTATTTAATTATTTTATTATTCACTTTAATATTATTTGCATCAAAATAAATTTTTGAAAAACTTTTTTGTCAAGAAAATTTTTGTAAATTTTTTTTTTAAAAATTATTAATTTTTTTTAATAAAAAATTTTATTTATTTTTAGTTTGATCGTTTAAAAATTTTTTTGCTTTATTACATATCTGAATGCAATAAAAAAAAAACTTGCAAAATGTTTTGGAATTAGTCTTAGGAAAATTTTTTGTTTAAAATAATTTTACCCACAAGAAAGCAAAATAAAATACCTTTTAATTTTCAAAAATAAAATCAAAGTGAAAAAATTTTTATTAACAAAATATTTAAACCAAAAAATTTATCAGGTTCACTCTAGAACTTTTTGTAAACTACTCTTTAAATCTGAATTAGCAAAAATGTTTACTAATTTAAATTAGTGACTTACTTTTTGCTTCTGAATTAGTAAAATTTTACTAATTATTAGTAACTTTTACTAACAATTAGTAAAATTTAACTAATTCTAAAGGAAAAAACTAATTTAAATTAGTAAACATTACAGTACAGATTGTCAAGCCTCGGCAGCCAATATTGAACCAGTACTGCGCCAGTAGTTAACTCTGGTATAATACTGAAATTTTTGGTTGGGATGTGATGTACACTATTAATGTCAATTTTTTTTTTATTAATCAAATTTTTCTGTCACTGTCGATATACAAATTGCTTTAAACGTTTGGTCAAAGGGTGCAAATTGAAATGATTGCTTGAAATACAATGCCACACAGCTTTGTGACGATAATATAATTAATTGAATTATTCTCAATTACTCACCTTCGCCTCGGGCCAAGCACTGACCCTGCAATCGAATTGCACACGTATCCCAGGAGATGCGTGAATCCACGTCTTCCTTACTTCAATCATCGGTTTATCTATATATATAAATATATATATGAAATTAATCAAATTCCATTACAATAATTGCAAAAATTGAGTAAAAATATCTATATAATTTTTAAATTTGTTTTGGGAATTAAATTTCACTTATAAATGAAAATTATTTGTTTTGAAATTAAATTTGAATTTTTTAATAAATATATTAAATGAATAGTTATAAAGAAGTTTTAGTCAGACAATGTTAGAAAAAATTTATTAAGTTTTAGTAAATTTTTAGAAAAATTTTCAAATTCCCTATATAAGGGTTAATTCGAAAATTTGCAATTTTGAAATTTTTTTTTATCTAATTTGGTCCATTGTAGCTCGGATGCTGTATAGGGTCCAATCAAAAACTGCGCCTTTTTGCATTGAATGCATAAATGAGATAATTCTCCTTCTATGTCCGAGAGTTTATCTCGAAAATTTGCAATTTTGAAATTTTTTTTGTCCAATTTGGTCCATTGCAGCTTGGATGCTGTAGGTCCAATCAAAAATTGTTTTTTACTTTTTTTTTGTAAAGCATTATCTGCGGGGGATAATTTTCCTTCTATGAGAGTTTATCTCGAAAATTCAAAAATTCTAAAATTTTTTTTTTCACCATTTTGGTCCATTTTAGCTTGGATGCTGTAGTTCTATAATTTTAATATTAGCAGTAAAACAGAATGTTATAATAAATATTCTATAAATCTAGGGATTTTCTGCTATGAGAGTTTATCTATCGAAATTTTTGGTCCATTCTAATTCGAATGCTGTTGGGTCCATTTAAATACATTTTTTGTAGAGTACTATTTCGGGATAATTTTCCTACTATTACCGAGAGTTTATTTGGAAAATTAAAAAATTTCGAAATTTTTTTATCCACTTTGGTCCATTGTAGCTTGGATGCTGTAGTTCTTCAATTTTTAATATAAAACAGTAAAAGATAGTTTGTGTAATAAAGAATTTTAATAAATTCTATAAATTCAAATTATTAATTTATTAATTAGAATTTTATTTAGCAGATGAGTTATAAATTTCATTATATATCATACACGAATATGGGCAAAATAAAATTTCATATAATAAATTTTGCGTGACTGATTAAATGGTGGTAAATGAAAAAAAAACTCAATTATCTAATTTTAGAATATAATACAGCGTGAAACCATTTGTTCTTGTTGAGAGAATCTTGATTAGCAACGACAATGATGACTCGTCGTCTTTTATTATATATATAGTTGAAAATGAATCACCTAATGTGACAATACAATAATGCTGCTTGCGCGCCTCTGGCAATTGAATCATTCTCTATACGTTTGATCAATTAATCGACAAGGTGATTGCAATTTGATTTGATAATTTAATTAAAATTGCTTTTCTTGCATGCTAAGATCTGATTTACATAATTACTTTTGAACAACTGCACCGTGTCTTAATTAAACTCGATCAATCAACACTTTCCATTATGCGAACTTCATTTCTCGAGTTAGATTATAGTCGAACTTGTCGAATATTTTATTTTAATTGTTTGAAAAAAAAAAAAAAATTAAATAATAAATTATATTTTTACCGTTGATTTATAATTATATTATTAATTTATAAATTATAATTTCTAATTAATCCAATAGTTTAATAATAGTTAATTTATAATTAATTTTAATTTTTTTTTAATTTCTATTATTATGCGACAATTATTTTATTAGAATAATAATCATTGTCGATAATTAATATATATATAAAATATGTTAATAATTAATTTTAAAAAAAAATCAATTTAAAGACTTACATCGAATTTTGAGATCAATAGTGGCAAAAGCCGGATCTCCCACTCCATTGTCTGCTTCACAAGAATAACGTCCGGTTTGATTAACGTTGTCAGTTCTAAATCGAAGACGATCTCTGTGGTCAAGCAGTGGTATCACTTCACCCTTTTTTTTTCGTTAATTTTACAAATAAAATATAATTAATTTGAATATTTTTTTTTTCACATCCTCTTATAAAATATTTATAATTTAATTATTATTATTAAAATAATTTTAATTAATTAATAATCACAACTAATTTAAATGTATTAAATTGATATAAAAATTTGTATCAATTTGATATTTTTATAATATTAGTGCGTGTAATTAAAAACTAATTTTTAAACTGTTTAAGTAACGCGCATGCGCGACAATTATAATTAGAAGAAAAAATATATATTTACGATTGAATTTTCTATTGGTCATATATATATAATATTTTTAACAGTTGCTAATGGGGGATTTAAAATTAAGAAAGCTCTTTTTCTGTCACGCATTTGAAAAATTAGTTTTATTAAATAAAAATTAAAAAAAAATGATGTAAAAATTCTAATTTTTCGCTTAATGAATGATATAATAATTAATAAGGGGAAAAATAAAAAAGAATATGATAATCACTTTAAATTTCCAAGAGATAATTGGTACAGGGATGCCTTTGGCAACACATGCCATATCGACTGTTTCTCCTAAATTGATTTCGAGCTCTCCAGATTCTGGAAGTGGGTGGACACTGGGTGGATCTGAAATTAATAGATACCTATATCAATTTTTTTTCCAACTGAAGTTATTTCTCAAATTTTCAAAAATGTAATTAAAAGGGGCTTTTAAATCTCTCATTAATACACCCAAAGCGCACATTTGAAATTGCATGTAAATTGTTCATTTGTCAAATGGCTTTTGAAGAATTGCATGAATTTTTTCATTTTGAAAAAATATATGCTTTTTGTTTTTATCTCTCTTTTTCGATATATTCTATGAAATATTTTCGAAAATATTTTTCTTTTCTATTTCTGGTATTATTATTATAATATTTTTTTTTATTATTATTTTATTTCAAAAATACGCGTAAATTTAGTTTTAAATAAAAAATTACTTTTCTCTCCTTCGAAATTAGAGTAAAAAAAAAATGTGTAATTACTTGAATATTTCCTGATAATCATTAGTGGGGAAAAAATTCCTGTTTTCCCCGCAGATTAATTAATTATATTGTCAGAATCAGAATATAATTCCACTTTGAATCCTAAAGGAATACCGACACGAAAAGCATCAAGTACAAAAAATCACCGACAGATTGCACTTGAATTCATTAATAAATAAAATTTTTCATCTTAGAATTTGCAATTTTCTTTCTTTAGAATAGTGTTTCTCAAAAAAAAAGAAAAAAAAAATCGTTTGATTAATGACTAATATTGAATTTGTATTATTTTTTTTTCAATTTATACCTTATTTTCAGAGTAAAAATAATTTTCATTTTTAGTATAAATATTTAAAAGGAAAATTTTTTTTTTTTCAAAAAAAATTTAAAATTTAAATTGATTTGAAAATTACTTTTTTGTTTTGTACTCTCTAAATCTGAATTAGTAAAAATGTTTACTAATTTAAATTAGTGACTCACTTTTTGCTTTAGAATTAGTTAAATTTTACTAATTGTTAGTAAAAGTTATGAATAATTAGTAAAACTTTACTAATTGAGAAGCAAAAAGTGAATCACTAATTCAAATTAGTAAACTTTTTTACTAATTCAGATTTAGAGAGTAAATAAATATATTTTTCTAAATAAAAATTAAATTGGAGTTTTTTTTTTGAATGTAAATTAAAAAATTTTTTTCTTTTTTTGTTTGTTCCAGAACTTACACATGACTTCGATGGCATGAATTTGAATGACACCACCCCAGGGTGCAGGACGAGAAGCATTGCATTTGTATTCACCAGTATCTTTCTGTTGTACACGATACACCTCGAGGCTTCCATTGTTCCACAATCTTACTCGTTCAGGTGGGACAACATTTGTGTCATCACTATCAACGAGCAATAATCCATCTTGCCACCACATCACTCTTGTCGGTAATTCTAAATTTTCTATATACAATTAGGATAAACAATTAGGAAATATTTTATTATTTTATAAACTAATATTATATCACACTAATTTAAAAATATCAAATTGATACCAAAAATATCAAATTGATATAAAAATTTGTATCAATTTGATATTTTTGGTATCAATTTGATACTTTCAAATTTGTGTGATATTAAACTATTAAATAAATATTGTCCTTTTGTAAAATTAAAATTTAACATCAATTTAGTGTAAAAACGCACTTTCAGTCAGAAATTTATTGTTCTGCTTTTAACAGTCACACGGAGAAAAAAAGTTAGCCATATTAGCTAAAATTTAGCTATTTTAGCTAACCCTATTTGTTATAATATGGACAGCAATTTTCGTTAGCTAATACAGCTAAAAATTAGCTACTATAGCTAAAATAGTTTGCTGTAACAGCTAAATATTAGCTACTGTAGCTAAAAATTAGCTATCCATATAATAGCAAACTCATTTTTCTCCGTGCAAATTCTAATATTAGTAGAAAATTCCAGTTAAAGTCAGACAGAAAGTTTTTTTTAAAATGTTTATTAGTAGTAAAAGACAGTTTCATACGGATGACGATTTTTTTTTAAATATTTAGTTTCCGTATTAGAAAACAGAAAGAGAGATAGTTTTATAGTTAAACGAAAAATTTATAGATTCTTTATATTTTATTCTAAGTAGTAAAAGACAGTTTAGGTCAGACAAAAAGTTATCGAATTTTTTAAAATAAAAGTTTACTTTTTTAAAAAGATTCAGTAAATTTTTTGGTCAGTAGTAAAAACTACTTTATAATTATTTTTTTTTATATTTTTATATTTCAATATTAGTAGTAAAATTCAGATTCAGTCAGACCGAAAATTCTTTAAATTTCCTTGGCAGTAGTAAAGTTTAAGTTAGGTGGAAAGAATTTTTTTTTCAGTGGTAAAAGACAGTTTCAGTCAGCCACAATTGAATTACTAAACAATTGTTTAATAATATTTAAAAATATTCGGTAAATTTTACAGTCAGTAGTAAAAATCAGTTCTAGTCAGACCTAAAGTTATCGAATTCCTGAAAAGTTGGGTTTTAGTAGAAAAAGATATTTTCAGTCAGACTGAAAGTTTATAATTTTTTTTATATCAGTAGTAAAAGACAGTTTTTTTATATTAGTAGTAAATGTCAGTTTCAATCAGACAAATAATATTTTTTAAATTTCCTTATCAGTAGTAAAAATTTAAGTTAGAAAATTTTCTTCTTTTATAATTTTTATATTAGTATAGTCAAATACAATTTAAATCAGACCCAAAAAAATATTTTCTTTTGAATTTCTATATTAAAAATACATTTTTAGATAGGCAGAAAGTTAATCAATTTTTTAATTTTCTGTATCGTATAGAAAAAATCTAAGTTGTGAAACAATTATTTTATTTCAATATCAGTATAGTAAAATACAGTTAAAGTGAAAAATTACAAAAATCCCTAAATTAAAATCAGTAGAGTAGGAAATTTTTACTCATCCGGATTGTTTATAGAATTATTTAATTTTACTATATCAGTGATATAAAATACTTCAAGTCAGACGAAATATAATTAAATTGATAGAAAGAGTTTTAGTCTTTTTAGTTTTTATTAAAATAATTACTGCTACATTATTGATTATTAATTTTAATTTACTTTTATTATATACAATATGTAATAAACAGCAATTTCATTTCTTGTGGCCAAAGGCTGATGTTAATTAAATAAATAATAAAATATTACACATATATTGTAATTGAAATAATAAACCGTGTTTCCATAACATAATTCTGGATTTCATATATATATATATATAGAAATATTGCATATAAATATGCATAAAAATAGTAGGGATATAACCGCAGAGAGTGGAATATTAAATATATGATGGATGTATGTGTATATCAGAAATTTACAATATATGTATGTGAAATATAGTCTCTTACTGACGACATAATCATGCAGTCAATCACACATGTATCGGGTACAGGAGCAGATCGATCGATCATGCATAATCAAATTTCAAACCAAACTCCTCTCTCTCTCTATATATATATATAGCTATACACGTATGTACATACATTGAAAATATCCGAAACGAACAGATTGTAACCTTCCGTTTCAGATTGCATTGTACATTATTTAAATGACAATAAAATATAATGAAAATTACGGGAAAATCATGATTTCAAACATGGTTAACATTTTATTCAATAATATAATAATATGATTATTCAAATATTTCTATTAAGTGAAAATATCAGATAATTTGATTTAATTGTAATTTTTTTTTAAATATTTTAATTTTATATAATTAATTTAACAATTACTTAACGAAAAAGAAAATACAAATAATAATTTTTAAAATTTTTTTCAATTTTCAGTTTTTTTTTGTTGTTGTGCTTTTAAAAAGTTGAGTAATTTTTTTTTTTCAAACGTAATTGACGTCTCTTGTACAACTGTACAAGCTTTCGTGATCTCACTTGAAAGCTTTTAGTGACCTTCCTTAATCACTTCTTTCAGAACTAGTTACAGTTCCTTTTAAGATCTCAATGTGTATGAATGTTATTGTTATATTCTTATTTTTTTTCATATTGAACGGAAAAGACTCATTATTATATTTGTATTTTTTTTTTTTTTTTTTTTTGTAAGAATAGTTAATCCAAATTTTATTATAATTAGGTATTTTCTAATTTTGTTGATATAAAGGAACTTTTTTTTCTATTGTTATTTAAATATTTAAAAATGTTATTTTGCTAATAATAAATATATCAAAAATTTATATAAAGTGAATAAGGATCACCATTGAATAGAGCATATTCATTGCATGATGGTAACACCACAGTGTCATTCTCGTAAGTTTTCACTGTTGTTGGAAGGCTTCTACCACCTCGAATCAATTGACTGTACTGTGTACCTGAAATTCGTTAAATTAAATTCCACATAAAAATTTTATAAAATTCGATTTTAATTTAAAAAAAAAATACTAAAAATTACAGTAAAAAAATAATAATCTATAATAAAAAAAATAATATAATAAAAATAATTACATATTATTATTATTATTATTATTATTATTATTATTATTATTATTATTATTATTATTATTATTATTATCATTATTATTATTAATATTATAAATATTGTTATTATGTTTAATAATAATCAAAAATAATTATAGCATCAAATATTTTTTTCCATTTTCATAATTTATCACTTGTTTTCAATTTTGAAAATTAAAAATTAAAAATTTATAAAATAATGTAACGATTTGTACGAAAATTAAATTAAATTCAAACAAACCAAAAATCAATATAGAACATGGAAAATATAGTCAACTTCATAATTAAAAATAAAAAAAAAAAAAATTATCTATGTTCACAAGAATAAAGTTACTAAGTTCGGTGCCCTCTTTACGTGAGAGTTGTTGTAACTTGAGGTGACCCAATAAAAGAGCACATGAGAAGCAATTTTATACAAGAAAATGTACTTATGCTTTCTATTTTAAAAATAAACAAAAAAAAAAAATTTATGTCCGGAATGTTTTCTTTTTTTTTTTTTTTTTTAATAATTTACATCTCAATTTAAAAATTTTCTCTCATTCACGAGAAAGAACAATAAAAAATTGAAAACAAACGAATGTAATAATTAATTCAAATGATGCTTTTTAATTAAAAACTGGGTTACCGTGTTTTGTATAGAAAAATGAATGATGGAAGAGAGATAAAAACACTTGTTGAAAATAATAAGCGGTTGATTGCAAATTGAATTATTACAATTGCAGTAGAATAATTGATTACTGATTAATATATATATATGTATACAATGTGAATTTTGTCAAGTTTGTATGTATATTGAATGTATTTTCAAAATGAATTCCTTTATTTTTAAAAATTGTTTCTTTTTTGTTTAATATAAAAAATTGTAAACAAATAACAAAAAAATAATTTATTACTGTTTTAGTAAAAAATAAATTTATATATTTTTTACTGTATATGTTATTATTATTATTATTGGTAAAATAATAAAAGCTTGAGATATCTTTATTTATAAATAGTTATTTAAAAATTATGAATAAAATAGAGATGATAATTTAGTATAATTTTTAGTATTTTTGTGAATAACTTTTTCATTAATAATTAAAAAAATAGGATTTTTAGGAAATTATATTTATAATTACATATTGGTACAGTAAATATCCGGTTTAGTGCGACAATCATTTCTTTTTATTATTAACAGTAAATTCCTGTTACACACGCAAAATATTATAATAAAACTATTTTAAGTATTGGTTATTTGATTTCAGTATAATTGAAAGGAATTCATATATCATAGAGTTTGTAATATATAATTTGCCGGATGTTAGTTTCAAATTTTGTTGAAAAATCGGAAATTGACTCCTTCTTGCAAATCATTAATTATAAAGAAAGATAACACTTTTATTTACAAAATAATTTATTTTCATTTTTTGAGAACAAATAAATATTTGTTTTCAAATAAATTTAAAAAAAAAAATTATTTTCCAAAAAAGGGGAGAATAATTTTTCAAAAATTTATTTATTGGAATAAAAATAATTTCAATTCTTACCGATTGCTATTATTAAATATATCCTCAATGAAAGCACCATTATCACTATTTTTTTTTTTTTTTTTTTTTTTAAATTTCAATAAAATATGAATCACATTCGACTGGATATTGCGTTAAATATTGAAAAACGAAGAAGAAAGAAGAAATGTGATCGCGCACGATCCCTCTGACAACACTGATCCTACTCTAATGTTAGATGGGTCCCGTGTACCAACTGATTCACGCACACCACAAATACACACACTCATACATATCTTATAATTATGACCACTCGTTCATGTTCTTCCCAGTGATGCTCAATTATTTTTTTTTTTTTCGTATTAAAACGACAATATAATTAAATTACACTCGACGAATTGAGATCTTTAGTTTTTACTTTATAAATTAATTGAGTTGAAAAAAAAAAATTGTCAAGAAAATTGAAACTATATTTCGATAATTTTCCTCAATATAATTATACGAAATATATGTAAAAAAAATCAATTTTAATTAATAATTAGAACAAGATAATTAAGATATAATAATTTATTTTTTAATTTTATTTTAGAATTAAGGGGGTAAATTTATAATTTATTCTAATATATTATATTAGATTATATTATTATTATTATTATTATTATTATAATTATTATATTATTATTATATTATTCTAATATATATTTATATTGGAAAAAAAATATTTATCTGGAACAGCGATATGTTTCTCAAGAATAACGAAAACTTTTGCTGTGTTTTATAACTGAAAAAAAAGGTTTGGTATTAACAACCAAACATTTGGTTGGTATTTAAGCAACCAAAAATTTTTTTTTGGTGTATCAACAAAATTTTAGTTGTCCCAATCAAACTTTAGTTGTAGGACAACAAAAATCGTTTTTTTCTAATTTTTGTTGTGTCAAATTTTGATTGAGACAATTAAAATTTGGTTGATTCAACAAAAAAATTTTGGTTGCTTAAATACCAACCAAACGTTTGGTTGTCAATACCAAACCCCTTTTTCAGTGTAGTGAAATTTATATATATCATTGTTCCAGGGAAACTTATCGTAAAATTTTTTTTTTTCCATGTAATACTAAAAAGATGATTAAGATAATTTCGTTAATATTTTATCTAAATATTTTTATTTAGATATTAGAGAAAAATAAAATTGAAAATATATTGAAAAATAGTAATTTTCATATGAAGCATATAGAAAATTGGAGAATTGAGAGACACTGGTTTGCAGTGATCTTTCTTTAACATTATGGGGGTATATAGGGTGTCCACCCACCGTCCTTCCTAAGGCATTCTTCTATAATTTGTTCAATTTACGCACCGACACGAATCACATATATATACAGTCATTCATCGAGTTATCCATTAAATCGTTAATCCAATCTTTGATTCGACTAGAGGCACGTAGTTTCTTATATATTTACCTTTCAAAGGCGCCTCGATCATCTGAGTCAAATTCTCTCTCTCTCTCTCTCTCTTCATATATATTAATTTAATTCATTGCCTTCTTAGATGGGCTAATAAAAAAAATTTCATTTTTTCCATGAATTTATGTCGTAAAGAACAGATGTTCAAATTAAATATCATATATATATATATGAATATCTAATGAGATTTCTTATTGTGAAAGAGGCAATTTTTCGAGATTTATTCTCGAAAATATTATTATTGATCCCTCAGTTTTAATTTTTAAGTATTTTTAATTTATCGAAAAAATTTTTTTTATATAATTGAGATATTTTTCACTTTAATGAAATTGTATCTTCTTTGTTTTGTGAATATATTATATTATGCTAATCTACAAATATTTATTTTAATTAATTAATTTTTTCTTCGCTTAATTTTTTTTAAAAATAAAATTATTCACTTTTTCGCTTATTTCTTATTATAAGAAAAATAAATTTATTTTTAAATTCATTTTTGAAGTATTATTAAAATAAAAGTAGGGAAATTTTTATTTTAATAATAAGCAATTATTAATTAATAATTGATGGATTTTTGTTTAAATTTGTTTTTAAATTTATTTTTGAATTATTGTAAAAAAAAAAAATTTTGAAAATGTAAACATTATTTCAACAATTATAATTGGCGTGTGGTTGACCTTTTTTTTCGAGAAGAATTTTTGAAAAAAGCTTATTGATGATTAATGTTTCTATTGTTCGTATTGTTTCCATTATATGTCAAATTTTGATATTATACTCAACTTGGAGTCTCATATATATATATATATATATATAGATATAATATGGACTTGCCGAGAGTACAATGTACTGCTTCTGGGCTACTTGAAGTAGCCAGCAGCGGCAATTGTTACCGTATTACGTTATCATTGTCAAGCGTGGACCACCTTTCAGCCACAACTACTTGTTCAGTATTGTGCCAGAGATTCCATTCATGGATATATGAGGAGATATATAATTAATTCTTATAACAGTAATTCACATCACATAAATGCCCCTGCGAGTTCAATTTGTTAAATATAATAATCAAATTTACGTGTATAAATCGCGCGAGTTCAAAATTATCACGTCATTAATATAATTGTATCAAATTTGTTTCTATTTTATATTATATATATTATTAAATAAATAACATATAGTAAAAAGAAAATCACATATATAATTCTTTAATTAAAGTTTTGAAAATAAGATTCTAATTTTCTTATAATTTATACTCAAATAGGATCTCTACATGAAAAATAAATTATAACAAAAAAATAAATAAAATAATAATAAATAAAATAATAATAAATAAAATATAATAATAATAATAATAATAATAATAATAAAAGATATAAAGTTGTCGGTGCCAAAAAATACATTAATTTTAATGAAGTCTTTTCTCAGAATTTACCATCAGGCAGATGTTTTTTTTTTTTTTTATGCAAAAATTATCTAAATTATTTCTAAACATTAATTTAAAATTCTGTAAAGTGACGCGCATCTTGATCAACAAAAGGGTTAATAAGTTCAATTACCTTTGTAGTATGACTATTCGGAATACTTAAAAAAAATACCACTAAAAATTATTTTTTATTTATCGTCAAACAAAATTTAAATTACAAAATATATATATTGTATAATTTTTTTATTTAATCAATTAATTATTATTTAAACATATTTTATTATTAATTATTTATTTATTACTAGTGGGAAAGAAAAAATTTTAAAACTTTGTAAAAAGTACAAAATGGAGAAATAAAATCTATCTAAAAAAAAAATTATTTATTTATTAATTATTAATTATTTAATTTAATTTTAAAAAATTATTTAATAAAAATTGTTCAAACTCGTTAAAAATTTTTTTTCTAATTTTTTTTAGGAATATTAAACTAAAGCATTCTATATTGAAGTCGAAAGAGAAAGAGAGAGAGAGAGAGAGAGAGTATCTATAAAGAGGGGTCTGGCACTAAAAGTCCCCATAATTATCAGCACGGAAGTTAATTAAAAAATTTTTCGAGAATTCTATTATATATAGAGGATAATTGCCATATCGTCGCCGCAGTTATTTGGAAACTTTTTTTTTTGTGTTACATTTAGATTATATACATTTAAGAGATTATACGCGTTGCGCCCATTGGAGAAAAGTTGTCAGTTTAATAAGCGTTGACTTAATAGAAATTCCTATATGTTTCATTAATATAATTCCAGAGCTTCTAAATTTTACCCAAAAAAAAATTTCAAACTGGAAACTGACCCGGAAAAGCTTCATTTCAAAAGTTATGTGACACTGACAAATTGTTAAGCTTTCAGAATATTATAATAAATCTAGCCATTTTTGGATCATTTTTTTTTTTAATTTTACAATTTTTTTTTATTATTTTTATTAATAAAATGGAAAAAAAATTAGTTTTAGATTTTATGGAAATAGACTCTAGAGGAATTTGAGCGGAATTTGTAATTATTATATTCATGTCAGTAAGATATTATATGATTTAAATTATAAATGATCTCGGATTTTGATTATAACGATAATCAATGTTACGCATTTATGGTTCGTTATGGATATTATATATTTATTAAAGAGATACTAGTTTTATTCGAGATTTGAAAATTGATCTATGCATTTGGAAATCGTAGAAATTTCCAGTTGAATAAGAATGACCTAGATTTTAATACACACAGACTCTGATGGTGGTTGATGAGTATCATATTAATTTTAGGTTTCTAAACACCAACATCCAGACGGGAAATCAATTAAATTTACTACATCGATTAGAATTCATTGTGGTTAGCCAATTTATTTAATGAAAATTTCATCTTTATTTTCTTTTCAAAATAAAAAATGTGAATAATATATATATATATATATTTATTATTTATAACAATAACTGTTTGTAATAATTATCTATAACAAATAACTATTTGTTAATAATAATTAATTATAATAATTTAATTATTTGTAATTATTATGCAATTATAATTTGCAATTATTGTTTATAATAATTACACAGAAAATTAAAAGGTATTAAAATAAGCTGCAATGCTTATTATTCTAATTCAATTTTGCTTATTTTAATACCAAAATATATTAAAATAAGCAAAATTGGATTTTAACTAGCAGCTTATTTTAATGCCTTTTAATTTTCTGTGTATATTTTTAAAGAAATTTTATAATAAATATTGTGATTCTATTATATAAAATTTTTAAATTAAAGATGAAAAAATTTTTTTATTTTAATTATAAGAATAAAATTTTCTATTCCAATTAAAATATATATGTAATTTTTCCTTGGTTGTTGTTTACCCTACATTTACAAAAGATTAAACTTTACGAGTATTACACTTTTTCTGGACTTTATCTTTTTCATTTGTGAGTTTCATTTTTTTTTTTTCATTTGCACGAGATTTCTTTTTAAACATGAAAGAAAAGGTGATTTTTTTTTTTTGCTTTTTTATATTTTCCTTTTTTTTTCTACGTTGGTTTTACAATCATCCCCTTATATTGTTGCACGATTTACCTTTATATATATATGTATGAAATATCGTTTTAGAAAGTTAGCCAAGCGGGCACTTGTTATTTTATTACGTGCAACTTATCTCGAACGGATGATTATCACAACGTTTACAGCGCAAGCCACAAAATGTGCGTTCGATGAAGCTTTACCACGCGATTCACATTTACGTTTTATTACTAATGTGTTCATATGCATGAATGGAAACTATAATCTCTATTTCCAAATCAACATTTTGCAATAGAACTTTATATATAGA